GACGTCTTTCGTATAGACATTGCTATGTCGCATCTGATGAGTTGGTACTTCAGATGAAGAGAAAAGAGGATGAATTAGGGCTTAAAGACCATATACCACGTGACTACCCCAGAATGGACGGCCGATTAGATAACGCGTTCCGACCGACTAGACAGAATCCGGAAGCATCTTATCGCCGGTGATCACGTCTGTCTTCCACGCTCCCACCAACTCCGAGGCTTTGCGCAGGATTCGCTTGTTGATACGCCTCCTTCTACTGTGGGATCATGAGTGGCTTTGGCAAGGTGATGAAGGAGGGCTGGCACCCCAAGAGCCGAGATGGAGGAAAGGAGAGCTGGCGGGGTGACTTCAAGGGCATCAATCAAGTGGTTCGTTACTCTCCTGCAGTTCGGCGGTGGTAGGGTGATGGAGATGATTGTCTAACCCTTTCACTATACAGGCCGGATGGATGGGTAAAGGCCGCGACAAAGACAGCGAAAAGCAAGAACATGTTTCCGCCCCATTGTCGTCCCTCAAGGATCCCGCCTCATTTGGTCCGCCTCCGAGACATGTCAAATATCACGGCCCAGGCGCCCTTCCGAACGAGACGACGCCGGATCGGAGAGGGCTCGGCGCCCCTCTGTCTCAGGAGCAGATCCATCACCAACGTCTCCAGCAGGAACAGGCCGAGTTGGAGGCCCAACGGGCTCAGGAAGAGCAGGCTCAGAAACCCGCCCCTCCACCACTCCCCTACCGTGCCAATCGAACCGGGGTCGATCCCAGTACTTTACCCCCTCCCCCGGTCCGGCGGATCAACTCCCCTGCAGAGTCCGTCATCTCGGCCAACTCCCCTCGACCACGACCCAGTATTCCACCCCGGGTGCCTGCCCGCACCGACTCTACACCGTCTTCCCATGCGCCTACCCCACCCCCGGCATATTCACCTCAGCCTTCACAACAGCCTCTGGAGGGATATCTGAATCAAAATGCTACGTCCAGTCTCTCGCGGGCCGGCGTGTCTGTTCCGGCGCTGGGCATTGGCAATGGGAGCAGTCAGAACCATTCTTCGGGCACCACCTCCACCCGCAGCGGCTACGCCGGACAGCCTCCTGCGAACGAACTCCAGACAAGGTTCTCCCAGCTGCGAACCAACTCATCGGCCCCATCACAGACACCTTCCCCGCCGGCTCGGGGAGACACGTCTCAGCAGGCCTCGTCAATGTCACCCTCTGCCACGCAGAGTGCCTCGTCCGCGTACCATGATTTCCGCGAACGGCACGGCGACAAGATCGATGCCGGAAAGCAGAAGATTAGCGGACTGGGGTCTCGCATCGGATCGTTCATTGACGATCGGAGGTCAGCGCCGTCAGCCCACAGCCCGGTGTCGAGTGGGCCAACGATCCCCCCACATCCGAGTCGGACGGCTACTACTAGTAGCGTTGGATCGGAGGGAGGTCGTAAGAAGGCGCCACCACCGCCGCCCCCCAAGCGCTCGGACATACGGTCGACGCCGGTGAGCAATAATACGAGTTCACCAGCGCCTCCGCCGGTGCCGTTGAACACGAAGCCTCGCTGAGCGGGTTGACGGGGCAGACGATCTTTGTTGTAGCTGTCTACCTGGCGTAGATGCATTGGGGAGGAGTGGAATTAGCTGTGTATGTATTACTGTCATTACTATCGTTGCGGAGTACACTATTTGTACCTATATCACCACATATCATATACTAGTAAGATCGACTGGGTCTGCTGGTTCTGCGGGGGTTCGAGAAGGAAGTCACGTGCGTCTGCCGTGTCAGGCAAACCAGCGGCCTCGTGGGGGACTGGCGTCACCATGACTCAGGAGAAAGTGCCCGATGTATACTCCTACTACAATATACATACTTGTTAGAACGAAAGATGTCACCGATATTCCCATGTACGGATCACCCCAGAGTAACAATGGCGAAAACGGTGGGGAGACCGCATCCCCAAGCTGAGGCGGTGATATCATCGCGATATCATCGCATCCAACAGCCATCCACCACGTGAGAACATTTCCCTCCGCTGGTCTTTGTCTGCAGCGCAATCATGAACCGATCGGATGACGTGCAGCCTGTTGAAGGGCCCCGATCGACGAGATAACGAGACTGCGCGAACACCATCACAAGCCGACAAGACCAGACCGGCGGAAACAACAAGTGTTGGGGCCGAGGTTTTCGAGGGTGGTGTTCCCAACAAAATGCGCGCCGGAGGGGATCCACCTCGCCCGGAGCTCCCATTGCTCCATCGTCCACTTCCTACTACTCTCCTTCTGCGGCCTCTTTTTCCGTCCTTCTCTTCCCCCCGACCTATTTCTCCAGCTGCTCTGCCCTCTTCTGGACCACCGTGGGATCCGTCTCAGTGACTGTCGCCATCGGAGATCCTGTCCGAGGTACGTCCACTCAATTGTCCGTCTTCAATTGTTTCTTTCCCTCCGCCCCGGGAAATTTTTCTAGTCCGCCTCCATCGCTAACGTCAGTCCCCAGTATTCCATACACACCATAGACTCAACATACTAGAAATATGTTCGATCTTCCCCTGAATACCGCGTCGGGGCCCGCGGTCTTGCGCATCGGACTGCCCCCCGCGTCGCTGCTCAAATTCCCCCCGGACGAACTCCCGGCGCCGTTGCCCGCGCCGCTCATTGACGAACCCACCTGGGACCAGCCCTTCAACATCCCTCCCGATCTCTACGCCCAGCTGCTCGATGTGCGCGTCCCCATCACCATCGCCAGTGTCTACGCCGTCTCCGTTGTCTTGCTCAATCGCGTCAACAAGAGCCGCGGCTACAAGCCCTGGGCCTTCAGCCAGACCCGCCTCTTTAAGATTTTCGTCATCCTCCACAATGTCTTCCTTGCCATCTACTCCGCCTGGACCTGCGCCGGCATGGTGAAAGCTTTCCGCAACTCATGGCCCGATCGGGACGACCCCAACGGTCTCATTGGTGTAACCGACGCCCTCTGCAAGATTAATGGCCCGCGCGGGTACGGAAACGCCGCCACGTACGACCCCCTGGTTGACCAATGGGTCATCCGCGCCCCCGAGTTCAAGCTGACCGAGGCGGGCCTGCCGGATCCCAGCGACGTCGGTCGCATGTGGAACCAGGGTCTCGCCTACCTGGGATGGATCTTCTACCTCTCCAAGTTCTACGAGGTGCTGGACACGGCCATCATTCTGGCCAAGGGCAAGAAGAGTTCCACCCTGCAGACCTACCACCATGCCGGCGCCATGATGTGCATGTGGGCCGGCATCCGCTACATCGCGCCCCCCATCTGGATCTTCACCCTGGTCAACTCGGGCATTCACGCCATGATGTACACGTACTACACCCTCACCGCTGTGCACATCCGCGTTCCCACCGTAATCAAGCGCTCCTTGACCTCCATGCAGATTACGCAGTTCCTCGTGGGCACCACCATGGCCGCTTCCTACCTGTTCGTTTACTACACTCTCCCCGCCAGTCAGGCCACCCCTGCTCCCTCGGCCAACGTCGCGGCCGCCACCGCTTCGGCGGGCGTGGAATCGTGGTTGAAGAAGTTCGGCTTCCGCGCCGCGGGAGCTGAGGGCATCGCGGAAAATGTGGGAGCTCCGTCCGGCAGCGTCGGCTCCGCCCAGCCCCCGCGCGTCGGTCCCATGGTGACGTGCATGGACACCTCGGGCGAGGGCTTTGCCATCTGGCTCAACGTTAGCTACCTCCTGCCCCTGACCTACCTCTTTGTGCGCTTTTTCGTCCGCTCGTACCTGTACCGCAAGGACCCTGGCCCCCAGAAGCCGACTCACATGCATGCCGCCGAGAAGGCCGGACTGGATGCCCTGAAGGGAGTGAGCCGGGAAATCCAAAAGTCCGTCGAGGTGAATGGGGAGACCAGTGAGGCGACCGAGGACGAAGCCCAGAGCAAGTCCAAGCCCAGCCGGTCGGCCGCCAAGAAAGCCCAGCAGGCCCCCGTCGAGAACTCGCCTATCCGCACCCGCGCCGCGTCCAAGCAGAAGTCCCGTGCGGCCACCAGCGAGCCCGAATCGGACCAGGGTTTCTCTCCCGTCTCGTCGAAGAAGGGCGCCAAGAAGGCTACCAAGGACGACTTTGCCAGCTCGGCTAATCCCCCCAGTGCGAAGAGCAAGAACCCGTTCGGCGTTCTGGATAGCACTGCCTAAACCATTGGTCTGGTCGACATGGATGCGGTGGGCATCCAAATGTCGATTGCCCTTTCTCTCCTACTGGATCTGTGGGTCGTCCGAGACTGGGATGGCCGGTCATCCGCTGATTCCGGCTGCCTAGCCTGTTCGATCCATGCAGTCCACCCTCTACGTACCTATCCCCGGTCAACATCCCGTCGCCGAGACATCTGGGAACGCTCCGCCCGATCCGCTGCGTCATCTAGGGACCCGTCGGGGCGCCCCTAGTCCGCGGAGACCCGGATCATTGGAGCCGCCGATAATATGCTTATGGTTGCATGTATTATTGATCTGCCGGCAACTGTCGGGTTTTCCTCCTTCGTTGCTACTTTTTACCCTCGAATAGAGCGGTGTTGTGTACATATATTTCGAGACGTCGGGCGTTCAAAAGTGGAATTTGTATGCTGCGATGCATGACGAGGTTAGAACATGCATTATAGCTTAATTGTTAATCAGGTCAGCGTTTTAATGTCAGCGAGTGCATAAACGATATTTTTTCAGAGAGTGTAGGTGTACAGGGCTACAAGGCACGTGCCCTGCTCTTCTGGTCACTCGACTTCTCTCCTCCTTTCTTCTCTAAGTACGCCATCAACACTAAACAACGACTGCTCGTCGAGACGGAGAAATTCTTCCGTGCGCGCTCTTGAATGGAGGAGAATCCCTGCCATACCCATCTCACTCTCCAATGCCATCCCCCATTTGGAACTGGCGCCATGCCAATGCTCCACCGCGGTAGACCTCCAACCCCGGCGGGATGTCCTCTCTGCCTTCGGGGCTTTCGAGCCCGCGTTCAGAATCGCCTGCGCTCTCGCGCAACAGGGGGTAATTAGTATAAATCAGTCGTCGCTCGCTACATCCCCCACAATGCGCTCCCTCCCCGTTCTTCCAGTCCAGAAAGTCAATTCGCGACGGCGCCATGGCGCGTTTCCCACAGCTCCTGTTCCTGCTCCTCGCGAGTATAGGGCTCCTCAGCGCAGCCCAGAACCACAGCGATTCTGAATGGCCTCTCCACGATAACGGTCTGAGCACCGTCGTACAATGGGACCACTACAGTTTCCACGTCCACGGCCAGCGCATCTTCGTCTTCTCCGGCGAATTCCACTACTGGCGCATTCCCGTCCCAGGCCTCTGGCGCGACATTCTGGAGAAGATCAAAGCCGCCGGGTTCACCGCGTTCGCCTTCTACTCCAGCTGGGGCTACCATGCGCCCAATAATCACACCGTGGATTTCTCGACCGGCGCCCGCGACATCACTCCCATCTACGAGCTTGCCAAAGAGCTGGGCATGTACATCATCGTCCGGCCGGGGCCCTACGTCAATGCGGAGGCCAGCGCTGGCGGCTACCCCCTGTGGGTGACCACCGGTGCGTACGGCAGTCTGCGGAACGACGACGCACGTTACACCGCGGCGTGGAAGCCGTACTTTGCCAAAATGTCGGAAATCACGAGCCAGTACCAGGTCACCGACGGCCACAACACCTTCTGCTATCAGATTGAGAACGAGTACGGCCAGCAATGGATTGGCGATCCTGTCGATCGGAACCCCAACCAGACGGCTGTTGCGTACATGGAGCTCCTGGAAGCGAGTGCCCGCGAAAATGGCATCGTCGTGCCCTTGACCGCGAACGACCCGAACATGAACACCAAGTCCTGGGGGAGTGATTGGTCCCATGCAGGGGGGAATGTCGACGTTGTCGGGCTGGATTCTTATCCTTCTGTAAGCTCGACCGTCGTATACAACGTCTCTTCAACTGACAATTATGCAGTGCTGGACTTGCGACGTCACCCAATGCACCTCGACCAATGGAGAATACGTGCCGTACAAGGTGATGCAGTACTACGACTACTTCCAGGAGGTGCAGCCCACCATGCCGGGCTTCATGCCTGAGTTCCAGGGTGGGAGCTACAACCCCTGGGCCGGACCGGAGGGTGGATGTCCCGGGGACACGGGAGTCGACTTTGCGAATCTCTTCTACCGGTGGAACATCGCGCAGCGGGTGACGGCTATGAGTTTGTATATGCTGTACGGAGGCACGAACTGGGGCGCCATCGCCGCTCCCGTCACGGCCACCAGCTACGACTACTCCTCGCCCATCTCCGAAGACCGCTCCATCGGCAGCAAGTACTACGAGACCAAGCTCCTGGCACTCTTCACCCGCAGCGCCACGGACCTGACCATGACTGACCGCATCGGAAACGGCACCCATTACACGAACAACCCGGCTGTCGCTGCCTACGAACTGCGCAACCCCGTCACCAACGGCGCCTTCTACGTGACCATCCATGCGGACAGCACTGTCGGCACGGACGAATCGTTCCGACTGAACGTCAACACCTCTGCTGGTGCGCTCACTGTCCCCAGTAAGGGCTCCATCCGTCTCAACGGACATCAATCGAAGATCATCGTCACGGATTTCCGCTTCGGACCTTCCCACACGTTGCTGTACTCCACCGCGGAGGTCCTCACCCATGCGGTGATGGACAAGAAGGCTACTCTCGTCCTCTGGGTTCCCACCGGAGAGTCGGGCGAGTTTGCCGTCAAGGGCGCCAAGTCCGGTAAAGTAGAGCGTTGTCCGCAGTGCTCCAATGCGACCTTCACGCGGAAGAAGGATGTGCTCGTTGTGAACTTCACGCAGGCCGGAGGGATGAGCGTGCTCCAGCTGAACAACGGGGTGCGCGTCGTGCTTCTCGATCGCGCCGCTGCATACAAGTTCTGGGCTCCTCCGCTGACGGACGATCCGTTCGCCCCGGAGACGGACCTTGGTAAGATACCTCTCCCCTCCCAATACCACATGTGCTAACAGAAGTCAGTCCTGGTCCAAGGCCCATACCTCGTTCGCTCCGCGAGTCTGTCCGGGTCGACCCTCGCGCTGAGGGGCGACTCAGCCAATGAGACCGCGCTGGAAGTTTTCGCGTCCAAGAAGGTGCACACAGTCACCTGGAATGGGAAGCGCATCAAGACGTCCAGGTCATCGTACGGAAGTCTCACCGCGTCGCTCGCTGCTCCACCGGCCGTGTCGCTCCCGGCGTTGAGCTCGGCCCAATGGAAGTCGCAAGACAGTCTGCCCGAACGGCTCCCCTCGTACGACGACTCGGGGCCCGCCTGGGTTGGTGCGTATCCCGCTACACCTATCCTCAAGCTACATACTAACCACCCATGTAGACGCCAACCACATGACCACGCAGAACCCCAGAACGCCAGACACTCTCCCAGTGCTCTACGCAGACGAATACGGTACCACCATCACCCGCGTCCCAATCCACACTCCACTAACACTCACTCCGCAGGCTTCCACAACGGCATCCGCCTCTGGCGCGGGTCCTTCACCGACGCAGCATCCGGCGTCTACCTCAACGTCCAAGGCGGCGCCGCCTTGTACGTCCCTACTCCTCACCCCCACCCCTACAACACCCACTAACCCATATCCCAGCGGCTGGTCCGCCTACCTCAACGGCCACTTCCTCGGCTCCCACCTCGGCACCGCCACCACCTCGCAGGCGAACAAAACCCTCCTCTTCCCAGCCGGTACCCTCCGCAAGAACACTACCAACACCATCCTCGTCATCCACGACGACACAGGCCACGACCAAACCACCGGCGCGCTGAACCCGCGCGGCATCCTCGCCGCCCGCCTCCTCGCGCCCTCCGACTCCTCCACCGCCCCGAACTTCACGCAGTGGCGCGTGGCCGGCACAGCAGGCGGCGAATCCGACCTGGACCCGGTGCGTGGGGTCTACAACGAAGACGGGCTGTTCGCCGAACGCATGGGCTGGCATCTCCCGGGCTTCGACGACGCCGACTGGCCGGCCAACAATTCCACCACCACGAGGGGGGCGCAAGTATCGCTCTCCGTCACCGGCGCAACGGTGCGCTTCTTCCGCGCCGTGGTTCCGTTGCACCTGCCGCGCGGCGTCGACGCTTCCATCTCGTTCATGCTGGGCACGCCTGCCGGCGCGTCCACCGCGTACCGCGCGCAGCTGTTCGTCAACGGATACCAGTACGGCCGGTTCTACCCGCACATCGGGAACCAGGTCGTGTACCCTGTTCCGGCGGGGGTGCTGGACTACGACGGGGAGAATACGATCGGCGTGGCGGTGTGGGCGCAGAGCGAGGCCGGCGCGGAGATGAGTCTGGACTGGCGGGTGAACTACGTTGCGGATAGCTCGTTGGATGCGGTACGGGTTGCTGCGGAGGGGGCGTTGAGGCCGGGCTGGAGTGAGGAGAGGTTGCAATATGCATAGACACCTCGTTTACTCTGTAGAGAAGTGATGAACATGGATTTGATTGATTTGATTTGATTTGATTCCTAAGTAGATTCCGGACTGTGTCGTGGATCGTGTACTCGTAGAAGGTGCGTCCAAACGCAGGTACTGTCTAGACCAAAAAGCGGAATCCCCTCGAGCTCGCCTGGCCCGGCACGCCGCCGGTGATGCCCTCGCCGCGGTCGAGCTTCTTGTTCAGCCGGACGAGGAGGACGCGCAGCACGGTGGCGGAGACGATGGCGACAAAGGCCGTGCAGCAGTTGACGCTCATAGCCGTGACTAGAACATCGGTCAGTAGAATCCAAGGTACAGAAAGAGGGAGGCGTACTGAAACGCGGGGCATCGCTGTCCGGATACATGTAGCTAGCGTAGATGCTGCTAGCGTTGCTGACACAGTTGATCCCGGCGAGGGCGGCGGCGCGCTTGGACGCAGGTCGCGGCAGGGTGTTGGAGATCCAGCCGAGAGCGACGACGTAGCCCGTGTAGAGCGAAGGCACCATGAGCATCATGGAGAGGTAGCGCGGAGCGACGGCGGTGGTGGTGGCGGCGATGATGAAGGCGGCGACGGCGATGTACAGCGGCAGGGTGACGTGGAGGTAGCGCTCGCCGGAGCGGTCGGCATGCCATGCGTTGGCGAAGGCGCAGATGACGGCCAGCACGTAGGGGGGCGCGGTGAGGAGGAGGGTTTCGATCTTGCCGAAGTTGAGGGTCTCGACGACGGTGGGGAAGAAGTTGGTTACGGAGGCGGAGGAGACGATGCAGAGGATCATGAGCATCTAGATGGTGGTCAGTGAGTGATGTGGGCGAGGTGACGAGTGTCGTACCAAGATCCAGGTTTTGATGTCGGTAAAGGCCAGCTTGCAGCCGTGCAGGAAGGACTGCTGTTCGCTGTCAACCCAGTCGTCCTCGCCGATGTCCTCCTCGAGACGCCACGCGGCGAGCTGCTTCTCTTCTTCCGAGAGCCAGGACGTCGTGCGTGGGAAGTTCGGGAGGACGAAGATTGACACAACGGCGATCACGATGGTGATGGCTCCTTCGATTATGAAGAGCCAGCGCCTGGTGCGGTTAGCAAAACTGAGGGATGTACACCGGGTCTGTAGTCGTACCATGCGCGTAGACCCCGGGCGCCCTCCATGTTATCGGTGATACCGGCCGCAATCAGGCCCGAGAAGGCACCGGAGAGCAGAGACCCAGAGTAGAGGGCCGCCGTGCGGAAACCGAGTTCCTTCCGTGTGTACCAGGCACTGAGGAAGTACAGACATCCAGGCTAAGGAGGTCAGTGATCGGTTGTAGGCACCCGGTGAACAAGACATACGAAGTAGGCAGCTTCGACGAAACCGAGAAAAAAGCGAATCACCACGAGGCCAGCGAAATTCTGCGCCGCAGCGGTACAGGTAGAAATAATACCCCAAAGCATCATGGCGCAAGGGAGGTAGATGGCGGGTTTTCCGAATTTGTTCAGCATCAGGTTGGAGGGAACTACAGTCAGTCAGCCTATGCTCGTTTAGATTCGGGGGAGGGCGTCTTACTTTGCATCAACAAGTAACCGACAAACAAGATACTAACACAGGTCTGGTACTGATTCTTGACCAATCCCAGGTCCTCGGGCAGACCAGCCAACCGAGCACTGGCCTAGCGAATATGAATAACCACAGCAGAGAAGGACAAGGCGGTACATACGATATTGTTTCGGTCGAGGTAGTTCATGATGTACATGATAATAATCATCGGGAGGAGACGGATGTCAATTTTGCGGACCAGACGCTTCTCCGCCTCGATCCGTTCCTCAGGGGAGAGATTGGCGACGTATGGAGGAGCCTCCTTCTTTGGATTGGGCTTGTTGGCATTGGCCACGGCATCGGGCACGATTTCGACATTGTCGACGTGACTTTTGAAGTCGTCGGAGTTCCGAGGCGACATGCCTGAGGTATGTAGGGTGAAGGAAGAGAGGAGTAAGCAAGGCAGACGCAAAGAAAAGAAGGGTTAGCACAAGGAAGAAGAGCACAGAACTACCGAAGCACCTCCAGTCCTATCGGGGCCCCAGTCCCTTTTGAGCGAAACAGGGGAGTCGGGGGAACAACTCTGGAACGGCATCAGCCGGAGGGACAGTACCAATAAGGGACTGGAGGGAGAGAGAAAGATGGCAAAAAGCTGGAGAAAGGCCGAGATGAAGTCGAAGTAATTGCCGGTTTCGGTTAACCCCGTGGGGTTTGCGCGTGGGGGAGCAGATCCCGTGACTGCCATCCGTTCTAGACTTCGAGTATCTAGTACTGGCCATTTGGTAGGTAGAGATAGTACTACAGACCATGAAGTGGAAGAGTTATTAATGTACCATCACGATGAAGCCATGCTGCTCTATGTCCATCCCGTCCAAGTCAAGCTCCGACAAGCCTCGAGCCAAGAAATTCAATCTCCCCCGTGGTTGATTCCAGCCAGATGGACGATCGGGGCAACTCCGATCCAAGATTCATACTGCATCGGGCCCATAGAAACTTGCAATTCACAGCTGCCGAATTTGCTTCCCCAGCTCTTTCAATCCCTTGGCCAACTTCGTCTGATATTCACCCGCTTGCGCAAACGAGATCCCCCAAGAATTCACTGCCTGACCCTGCGTACCCCCCCAAGTGAAGCCCGGCAATCCCACCTCACACGTATCCATCTCCCAGTTCCTCTCCCGCTTATTCTCCCGGGAAACATGCTTCTTCGCCGCCGCAAGATCCTTTGCGCTGAACCCATGACAGAAAATTGCATAGTTCCCCCGCTCAAACTCACGGCTCACCAGGTCCAGTTCCCATGCGCGCCGCGCCACGCGCCAGTCCCGCATGCGGTGTGAGAAGTCTTTCAACTCGAGCTGAAGGCCCCGCTGCCACTCTGCGATGAGATCGCGCGCCCGCGTCAGCCGGTCATGCTCCGTGCGGAACCTTGAGTTGAAGCGAAAGTTACCGTCCACGATGATGTTGTCCTCCGCATCGATGTACTCGTAGAACGGGGCACTCACAGCCGGCCGCATGTAGACCGAGTCGTCAGCGCAGCTGGGATCGGTGTCGACGAGCATTCCAACTCGTTCCACTGGTGCGTAGATTGTCTTCCACTGGGGAATGGGCTCTGGCGCCGGGCCGCAGAAATCCAGCTCGGGAGGGTCAATCATGATGCGGCATCTTTCTGGGAGGAATCTGACGATGTGACCTGGTCGGAATTCCGGTGGATCTTGTGAGGAAGTTAGCTGGGTCAGTCGTGTGTATGGAAGCTTGAAAAGACGCATCGTACCCGGATAATCTGCTTCGCCCATATTGCGAGATCGTTTCTTGTAGAGATTGGTGAGGGAGTCAGAGTCAAATGTAGAACTGGTGTCTGAGTCTGACTCTATGACGAACTTTCTGGCTTTTCTTTTTCTGGCCATGGTTCGTAAGAGCGGAGAGAGATGATGGGAAGTTGAAAGGATATAGAGCTGGTGCAATGGTGAAGGAGAGAGTATGGAAGTAGAGGGGTAGGAGGTCGTGAGAGAAGAGAAGAGAAGAGAGGGAAGAGGGAGAAGTGAGAGGGTAAGGATTCTATTGAAGGTACCCTGGCACTTCTGCGGCCGTTCTTGATATCGGAGTCATACCTTCAAGAGTAGAATCCAGGTTCAAAGAGTGCCTAGCTTGTAGGTATTCGAGAGACGTAGAGACCAAGCCACCATAGACAAACAAATACAGGATGTCTCCCTGGGTAGGTTCTTTGAACAGAGGATACAATACTGTGGGATGAAGTGAAGGTGACTTGAGGCTCTTTGTTCGGCAGGTCCTACCTGATATCAACTGCCTGCAATCAAGCAAGTCCTCCGTCCACCCGCCTAACCTGGTAGGACCAGTGCAGGTCGACAACTTCATGTCACCACCATCCAAGTCTAGTCTAGTCAGTCTATCAAGAGGATTTATAAGCCTTCAGCTCACATCGTCTACAGCACACAACATCCTTGAAACTATTGTATTCATCGGTCTGGCCGGTAATCTCCCGGTCCAGACGGCGAGTCACAGCCATGTACCACACAAAACGACCGGAGCGCGAAGAAATAAACGACGATGATGACACTATGAGAAGGATTGCCCAATTGCCACGCTCTCAAAAGGAAACATAATGACAGGAATGACCGGATGGCTCGTATGCAAGGTCAACAGAAGCAGGACACTAAAATGATTAGAAACAGAAACCCGTAGACATCAGCGGGCTGGGATTTAGATGAAGTGTAATAGATCGACGCCAAATGAACAGGCATGCGGCCCATGCAGGGACGGTTCCAAAACTCGATCCATCTAGCTCCATCGGATGGGAATATCGCATGAGTCGCGACGCATTAGAACGGAATGAGAAGAACTTCAAATGTGGTTCGCCGTAACACCCAGAACACGCAAGGGCAAAAAAAAAAATTAAACGAGAAAAGTACCAGGTCCGCGCAAAGTCAGGAGACAGCCGACGAGAGAAACGATGAAGCAGCCAAGACAACGCTCTAAAAGCAGTCTACTACAAGTCAAGGCACCAAGGCGAGGACCCGCGTCGTTCAAAGATCCAACAGTCCTCCGGACAGTAATAACGGTCGAATCGCCCATGAATAACGCCGTTCCAAATGCAACGGATCAGAGGAAGTGGGTATAGATTTTCGAGGTCTCGTGAACTTCCATCTCCATTTTGAAATTGTTCAACTCCTCCTTGATCTGCTGGGCGAGCAGAGGAGTCAGTCGATTGCAAGTGGCGATGTCGCCCCGGCGGTCATACTCCCCGCTCGGCCAGGTTTCATGGAACTGGATCCGAGGACTGAAGACGAGGCTCTTGGGCATCACGGCTTGCGGGCTGATCGGCGCGCTCTTGCTCTCGCCACCCGCCAGACGTCCCTCTGTAAGGTAGTCGTCCTCCCCAGCAATCCGAACCGCATCAGATCGCCGATTACCAGATCGCATCTGATCCTCTGGGGTGCTGGGGGCGCTGGAATGCGGGGAGTCGTTACCGTTTGCCGGTTTATTCGGGCCAGTGGGCTTGGCCGAGTCGGAATAGGTTTCTAGAACGAGTCAGTCAACAGTTGAGGAAATGTCTGCATACAGGAAACATACTCTTGAGGATGCCCTTTCGGACAGCGGCAAGAACCTCGGCCCGTTCCCGATCCCCTCCCACAATGCTTTTACGCGATTGGGATCTGTCGAACGCTCCGTCTTCGTTGCCGTGCGCATCGGGGTTCTTGGATTCCACCTTGGGGAACACCGTGCCGCCGCGGGGGAGATCTTGTGGGTCTGCGTTAACGGAAACGCTTTTCCTTTCTGCCTCGACATTGACCACGGACAACTGCGGTGTCATCGGCTGTACTGCGACACCGTCATTGGACGACGTGCTGATCACCGACTTCGGGCGGAACAAGCCAACCAAGGACCGAGTTGAGCGCTTCATTCCTTTGCCCATCTTGCGAAGCATGATCGAGGCGGAGGATGCGGTGGACGAAACTGACACATTATCGGTGGAGGCATTGAAGAATCGCCCTTGGTGGTGAGAATAAATGCTCTCTCCCAGCCCGCTGGCTTCTTGCTGTTCGGCAATGGCTGCCTGCTCGGGACCCAACTCCTCCTCTAGCATCTCTCTACGCGCCTTTTCTGCCATGATGGCATCTCTCTTGCCCGCATTTGTCTGTGCCGAGGCCTTGAGGAGCTCTGACGCACTACCAAACGAGAAGGCCCTCCTCAGCCTGGATTTCCCGAGTCTCTTCGGATCATTCTTGGTGATTTCGGCTAGACGTTGAGACGCGACGCTCTCCGCTACCGCAGGAGGTTCTTTACGATCTGTTTGCTGGCGTTGCTGTTTTGGAGGCGAGGCATCTGCAGCGACAGGTTGCGACAAGGGGGATGGTCTTGTAGGAGCTTTATTGTGGGAAGATGCCGAATCTGTTTGTGCAGTCGAACGCACCTGGACTTTGTCAGAACACTTACGGTCTGGAAAGACGGCAATCACTTACGGAGGAAGTCGACGAGTGGGCCGAGTGAAGGCTGCCTGGAGATTCCCGGTTGGACTGGGCAGACTGTGGCCGAACATTCTCATCAAAATAGTCATTTCCTCCTGTGGTCGGAATCGGAGATGAGGTCGGCAGATGGAGTTGCATATTAATCAGACCAGCGTTGTCGATGTTTCCCCAACTGCGGCGACGATATCTCTTCGCGAGCTCGGGGTGGGACTTCTCCGCACGCGAGGTGTCGTCGGCACTCGAGACTCGATGGTGACCAGCGCTACGAGATGCATCCGGGGCCGAGCCTTTCGGCTCGTCTGTGAGAGACGTGACGGGTTGCATGCGCGGAGAGCCAGGCCCCGTGGTCGTCGAGGGTGTGCCAGCTACACTGTCGGGCCTCCGAGCGCCTCGGCGATACCGATCCGGGGAGGGGCGAGCCACAGTAGGAGATGATATGTTCATGAAGGAGGGGGAGGACGGAGAGGGGAGGTTGGCGGTCGAAAGAGGGCGGAGAGGAGGCTCGCTACGAAGCTGCCTGGATGGAATGGCCGTGTCGTCCTTAGACACGTAGGACTGGAGGGAAGAGTCGGAGGAGGATGTGGATACAGAACCAGCTGCAGGATTATGGACATGACGTGAGTTCGCTCCCGGGAAATTCGGGCCCAGCGACACCTGAGGAGCAGAGGGGGCCGAAGAGGTGCGATTCGCCGGCCTCAACGACCCCGCCCACGACTGACGATTCGAGGCGGTGGTCGAATTGGAGAGGTTGGGGGTGCTGGTAAACGCGTAAGGGGCCACAACCGGGTGGCCAACCCTGTAGCTGCCCGAGCTGCCCGTCGTGTTGTATGTATTCCAGGACATGTTCCGGGAGGTCTGGGGAGGGGAGGATTGGGAGGAGGTGAATGTGCCCGAGGACGACGAAGGACGAGTCTGAAGCACCGAGACCGTGCCACTTTGTTGCGGAATCGTCTGAACCAAAGCAGCCATGGTGTTCTCCTCGGATACCAGAGGGCGTAGGAAACGGTCGGACGCGTCACTGGCGACGTCTCCAAGATTGAGAAATGGATGGGTTGGAATCCGCAGGACTCAGGGGAGGAAATCGAGATAGTGTCGAGAGGCAGTCGAAGGAGAAGAGGTCGGGAAGAACAAAAGGAAAAGCAGAGGAAATCCTGTACGACATCTGGGTCAGCAAAGATTGTACAAGGACGACCACGTAGGGGATGCCATCTGATTGAGCGATGGGGGGTGATGCGTGGGAGACGAATCACAACAGATGGGCGGTCCAGGGGCACATTCAGGGGGAACGACAGAAGCGTACCTGTTCTAAGAAATGCCCACGATAGATTATACAAATGCAATGACAGACAATGAGACGCTTCGGAGAATGCAGAACGAATGCTATCGAAGACGAGAGAAACGAAGGGCTCGAATCGGACGAGGATGGAAAGGGGCGGGGAGGAGCTGGCGACGAGCGAAAACGTCCGGAACACGAGGCTCCCAAAAGGCAAGTGCTGTTAAAACGGTCGAGCCATGTACATAAGATGAAAAGAAAGGAAAAATGAGGCGACAGGGGAGAGAAGGGGGAAAGGGACAAAAAAAAGTATCAACAAGTCCAGAGGACAGAAGAATGCAAGGTGGACGGAGGGGGTGGAGGATGGAAGAAAAAGGAGACCAGATCCTTTGGACAGACACCTTATCTTCTGGGGACGGGCAGAAGATGGGCCGTTCAGTGGACTGGGGAAGAGATGAAAGGAAGATGAGGAGAGAGGGAGAGGAAGAGAAGAAAGTGAGAGAGAGAGAGAGAGAGAGAGAGAGAGAGAGTAAGAGGGGTTGTTGAAGGGAAAGAGGACGAAGAGAAAGAGGTAATAATAGGGAGGTGATTATTGTTAGTTCACTTTTTTTTAGGGGAGATTGACAGGCGGAGTCGGTCTCTCTTCTGACGCGACCCAGGTGGTTTTTAACTTTCCCGTAAGAAATTGAGAACCGATCAGAAAATAAAGAGAACAGGATTATTTTCTTTCGGAATAGAAGAAAAGAATCAATCTTTTACAGTGTATAATATTGTGCGATTTCCTTTCTCTGTGGCCGCGTTGAAGAAATCCACAAGAGAGCGAGGGGGTGGGCGGATTCAGACGGAGAGGCAGAGCACAACAATCACTATCATCATTATTCACTGCGATGAAAGACGGACATCAACAGGTCCCGCAATTGTCTGAATGGTTATTATCACAGCTGCAAATCATGCCAAAGCACAGTCACTGGCGATGTTCCCATGCGATTCGGGATATCTCCTATCTATCTATCTACCTATGTAGCTAGGTGCCTAGTAGTGAATGGTACCTGGGACTTGAGCATGACTACTGGCGGTATTGACGATACCTATGGACACGGGTACCAGGTACATCCACTAGTACGGAGAAGACACCAGAAAGGGGGTGAAAGCATCGTTCATTACTCGCATTATCCGGAAGAGACAATGATTCATAACGTTCTATTCTTATATTAACCCCAACCCCGTCCCAAACAAATCGGAATTCTTCTTCATCGGTCGCCCCAGAGTCAGCCAACCACGCGGGCTTCGGTAAGACACTTCTGGGGCGTTCCAGCGCGCTCGATGGAGATAAAGACCATGTAAATTACATCCGACCGGACTCATGGAGCTATGAACGATCCGTTCTCCTTATCATCTATCCAGTCCAGGTAGTTAGTCACTACTCCATCGGCTGATATTATGAGCAAAACACGGCCATGCTGACTGACACGGTCTTCTATGGGGCCACCGGAGCCAGTGGAGGCTCTCCTCCGGTCAGTATATTAAGGATCTAAGTATAATACACTCGCAGTATCACAGTCTCTCCATCCGCTCTGCCGCCTCGGTTTAGAAAGAAAAGATCGTTACACTGCTGGATTAATCCCCAGGCAACTGCGAGGCCATGAGATCTCGAGCAATCTGGCCGAATGAGCAAATTGAACGCTGATTTGCGACCACACGGTGACTAAAACTCTTAGCTGTAACGCCATCCACCCTGGAGGAACGAGGCGAAGCCAAACCCACCGCGCGGAAGTTCGGCCTGGAGAGAACTAGTCGCAGCCACTACTACGTACTAGGCACCGAGCGAACTCCCTGCGACCGGCTGAAGCGAGTCTCGGTCCCAATTATTCTGACACGCAAAGTTAATCACATATACTATGTAGGTAATAATATCAAATACGGGGAAGGGAAGGTTCATCTGCCGAGTGCGTGGGCGCAACCCTAGATACCGATCCCGGCTCTCGCGCTTGATCCTGATGATTCCTCTTAACGAGTCCCCGGATCGCCGTCGTCTCCTCCATGGACACAGACGAAAACGACCTCATCCCCCCGTCATCCTCACTGCCGATCACGAATTACCTCTGGTCGTCCCCGGTTGGTGCCGTGCCTCACCCATGGCCTGAGTCAGGGCATCCCAATCTCTACCTCCCGGTGGGAGATTCCCGCCCCCTGGTTCCATGGATCCAGCCGTTCCACGAAACCGAACCTAATCGACTGTCGTCCACCGTGTCGTAGCACCAGGCGGTCATGAACGGACCAGTCCGGCGTGTCTCCTTGCCCTTCCGATCGCCTCAAGTGGCAGCAAACTAGCAAATAATCAGACTGAGGACCTGTCTCCAGCCTTCTGGATATGCATAGTTAACTAATTCACGGTGTGTATGATGTCAACCATCCCAATGTCGACTTCCTCCCTGCCACCATTGCCGTCGTTCCAGGGATTCTCAATCTGCCTGCAGGTTGAGACAGCTGCGCGAGTGGTTTCAAGGAGCTATTGGGATCCGTAAGCAACAACATGTCCGAGAGGGAACGGGTAAACGTGGCGCAACAGGGCGTGTCGAGATGCGATGTTGAGATCTGGACGCGCGTCTGCCGTATACTGGGATTATGATGGATGTAGTCCTGTGCTGTGTCCCGCCGCACTGGTAGGCTTCAACCACCACATACCTCTTCATACCTCTTCATTCCCTGGCTATCTAGCTCACCGTGACGGTCGTCTACACCCCGCCATCATCTTCACTGGGACCATCTCCCTTTGAAGAAACTTTTCTGGATGGCATGCAATGGCCGCGTAATAACGAAACAACCCCGAGATATTCTTAGAGCGGTCGAATGCTTGGCTGCAGCCACGTTCGCTTACATACGCCGGTGACGCCTCGATGTAGAACCCCGAAGCGAGGAGGACGCAATAGGCTCGCCACCGGACCCTGTGGACGCTGAACTTCGACGCCTTGGGCGCAGAAAGATGACATGTCGGTGAGGGCGAATGAGACCGGTTCATCCAGTCGGAGAAGCTTCTTGAGGGGGTGAAGTGAGCCGGACACCATCGTACATCCAGGCAAATGGTTAGCTACCTAACGCCTAACATATGGTGTGATGATGAAGCTCGCTAGAGACCGGGAGCCTAGCTGGACGCATGCAGTTCATCTGCGACCCACCGTGCTTCTTTCTGACCGAGACAACAATAGTATAAGTGCACATCTGAATGGCGTTGGCCTGGTATCCCAGCCTCCATGAACCGTTGACTTCGAGCTCAATCTTACATACATACATACATACATTTATATAGTACAAGGTGCGATACCCATACCGCTGGACGGTCGAACACCATCCCTCTGGACCTTGAGTCGTTCTGCTTGGTGCAGATCCATGTAAGGAGTTCCCGCGCGATCGACAAGAAACGTCGCGTTCCTCGCATTTGATTCGGGCGTGGCCCTCTTACCGCGTCATTTCACCTGCCAGACAACAGTGGCGGGTGCATATCAGACCCTCCATCGCCAACCCACGACTATCATTCGATGGACCATGGATTTTCCTGCTCCGCCGTCGGCCGTTCACGAAAACAAAGAAATCATTATCAGTTCGATAGTGGTTCTTCATCAATGCGGTCGGCGCTCCTACCAAGTATGGAGGACATTCTTCCTCAACCGTCCCATCTCTCCAGAGCCCTCATCCTCTTTCAATCTCTTTTAATCCCTTGAAGTGAAAATTCCAACGAGAGGGTCAGTCCGTAGCGAGGAGCATACAGAAATTGATGTATGGACGGCGACTCCAGACGCCGAGCCTCCTTGCCCACAATTCCAGTGGAGAACCAACCGCCCACAGAGATATCTGTAAAACCGACACAGTCCACCTGGTGGTCCCAGGCCAGACGGCTGTAACTCCGTGGATTTTCACGTTGATTACGGAGTACAATATGTACGATGGAGAGATGATCATACGGTGCGGAGCCCGCCGGACATCAATCTACCATGGTTCCACTGGGGTTAGTCTCTCTGACGAGTGAACACTGGACACCATGTGGATAAGAAGCGATCCAACTTCCGAACAATGTCAAGATCTTCATCAGTATCCCTGGAGTAGCTGGGTCACCATATGCTCTTTCATTCGACGCCGTACCGCGCCTCACGGCGGAAGAAATTACTTCTCCAGATAGCAAAGGGCAACGTATCAAGGAGCGCATTCTGCAGTGGTGCGTAAACGGTACGCTGGAGTATGCCCCCACGGTGATTGACAGCTACACGCCTCCAAGGGGCAAGAGGGTAGAAACCCGCTGCCTTGACACTCCTATTTGCTGGAAGTCGTGACGAAGGGGGGTTCATCTTGACGTGAACACGAGAGGCTGTCAGATCGCTTTTAGCCCCTGTACGGAGTACTGACATTCCCCGTCACCCAGCAAATCGTCATGCAAACCATAGTCCACCAGGAGTACGACATGGTGTGACCAGGGCTTGATCCGAAAACGGCGCCGAAAGAAATCCGGGGTCTGGAGTAGGTAAGTAACTGATCTAGGGGGTCAACCCACGAACCCCAGACGCAGGCAACATTCCACAAAGCTTACCCTCAGACGCGCGAGAAGCGAGATCAAGGGTGAATTAAATCCCATCGCTCCCAGGACACTTTCCCTCTCCGGGCAAGAGGTGAAAGGGGTTTCGGGCTAAAAGTCTTGGTGTCCGCGCCCCATCCAACAAAAGGATGATCCCAATCCCAATCCTTGTGCTCGGACGAATCCTCTAAATTCGCGTCGTGCAGCTTGATCCGGGGAAACCAATTGCGGAGTACAGGGGATAGAAGCCATGTGTACATACGGAGACATCTGTGCGATGGCTTCTGCTTACTTCATTCCCAACTCCGATCCATAAGATGGAGTCTGTTAGAGTTCCCGGAGGCTCGAAATCCCCTGACAGAGGTCAGAAAGTCAATTCCGTTGGACGGGACATCATCAATCTCCCCGGATGGACATCTACCCCGCATGGTGGTGGCATCGATGTTCCATTTCACAGTGACTAAGACGCATGCAGCCGCGATGGAGATGTGTTTAATTCAGACAACCCCTCGTTGTTTTCTCCGATCAACCATCCATCACGGCTGCGATATGAAACACCGACACCACGCAGGTGTATTCCCTGTCTGGTTGGAAACGGAATAGCTGAACAGGACCGAGCAGTGACTGGTTGCCGGCCGGAGTTGGGAGTTGCACGGCTCTCAATCAGGATCGGTCATATGACCGCACGGCCTGGAGAAGCAGAGGTACAGTGCTTACCTGCATGTCGCTGCAACCGGAAACCACCAAGCGGGGTTGAGCGGTTGATATCGCCTCATACTCGGGACGGCACGGACGAGGGGTCGACGCTTGGCCGCTTGATAAGCCTCATGGTGCGTGCTGTTATAGTCGCTTCCGCAGATACGCTCGATATACACGCATGGTACGTCTGGTAACAGAACGCCATGCTAGGCGGGATACCTTCTTCGGTCCCACCGACACGGTTCACTGCGGATTACTGTAGTATCCTCCTTATGTCCAACGTCAATCAAACCTCGTACAGGTTGGGCCTGCCGCCTCTACGGCCCTCTTTACGCTAGTACTCCTACCAACCACCTGCTCGCATGCTCAGAGCTCCCGAGATCTGCGCACTAACTCGGCCAAATCTGAGAGCGGAGACAACGGAAACATCTTCATCGGCATATTGAAACATCCACTGACTCGATCCCGATATTTATAGACACACAGAGATCAAAATGCGAACGATCTACACTATCTACTCTTTCTTCTGAGCGACTGTTGGATCTCGACTACGGATGGTCCCTCTGAGTTGATACAAAGTGTACTATCCCGTGTCTCGGTTAAATGTTTCAAGCTGTTGCGTCAAATTCCCAACAATCTAAGTGAGATCAAAATGATCTGCAGTATCTAGTTGCCACCAATGTGGGTTGCGCGTGGGAGTGGTATGCACGCGGACGGCATTCCAAGCGCATGCTTATCCACCGCGCGACTCGTCGGAAGAATGTGTAGAGCGAAGTATAGGGGGTTTGGAATGTTAGTCGGGTGTTACTTGCGTAGGGATTGCTCTATGCAAGTGATGAAGTCGACCCTGTGTAGCCGTCAGCCATGGCCCGGTGTATGCATTCATTCCCGTCCCTTATCAAGGTACTAAGCTATTCGGTCCCTTGTCCCTCGACTAAGGCGCCGGAGACTTGACGGAGACTTTTGATCCCCCACCAGATTCCACACAGAACGAGATGAGCACATTTTCCTCAGAGCAAATTCTCCTCAGCAAAGTTCCCCACTGCCTAGACGTGGCCAAACGGAAATGAGAGCCCTAAAGCCTGTCCGGTAGACGAGTCATCCGTATAGGAGTACTCTCGATCAGCCATAGGTAGCCGTATCATGCCGCAGAGTCGAATGATCGATCATTCAGTGATCAAGCCACATGTCTGGTTCCACGCTGACAAGTAATGAAGAACACAGAAGCGCTTCTTAGCTAACAAGCTCAAGACTGGATACATGAAAGTGTCCATGTCCGACCCTTCAAATGTCCTGAATGCCGGAATGTGTCTCATATCGGATCTCTCATAGCGCCATTCGTTATAATCGACTTTTCCCGTGCTCAGTTGTGAGGCCCAGACAGTGTTGAGCTGCAGATATTATCAACCATCTCGAATTCGACCTTGTTATTCTCAAGCATTAGATCAACTTCTCAGCACGAATGGGCCAGCCTTCCGGAAGACTGCCACCGCCACGTCGATTCCATCCGTCGTCGAAGGATGTCCTACTGTCTATCAGCGCATTCGGGCCTCATATGTAATTCCATCCGAATCTTCCAATTATACCACGCTTATGTCTCGGCAGCACTCGCCTAATGATTGACCTACCGGAAACATTTTCAACTGTCGAGAAAATGTCTCCGAACTCGTCTTGAGGGCATTAAAGACAGGCAGCCCCGGCTCTTAGCTGAAAGGTGCTCTTGCTCCAAGTAACCTATGACTGCTCACTATTCTCCATTCATTACAAGCAACAAAGCGCATTGATCCTCATCATGCCGATCGGCAAGCTACTGTCCAACGGCGCGCTCCTCTTCGATGTGCTCATCATTGGAGCTGGTCCATCTGGTCTTTCGGCTGCGACCGGACTCGCCCGCCAGTTGCACACGGCGGTCGTCTTCGACTCGGGCGTGTATCGCAATGCGAAGACGCAACACATGCACAATGTGCTAGGATGGGACCACCGCAACCCCGCGGAACTGCGCGCCGCCGCTCGCGCCGACTTGACCAGCCGATACTCGACCATTCACTTTCACAACAGCAGCGTTGAGAGGATCAGACAGATCGAGGCACAGCAGCTCTTCGAAGCGCAGGATGCCCACGGCCGGCTCTGGTACGGTCGCAAGGTCGTTCTCGCCACCGGCGTTCGAGACGTCCCGCTCGATATTGAGGGTTACTCGGAATGCTGGGCAAACGGCATCTATCACTGTCTCTTCTGCGATGGCTACGAAGAGCGAGGCCAGGACACCGTCGGCGTCCTTGCGATGGGGCCCGTCGAGAACCCCCAGCGCGCCCTACATCTGGCTCGCATGGCCCGGCGGCTCTCCGAGACGGTCACCGTCTACACCAACGGCAATGAGCAGCTGGTTGCCGAGATCCAACAGGCCGCAGAGGCATCCATTAGTACGACCCCCTGGCTGAGGTTTGATGCGCGACGCGTCAGACGATTCGAAAAGGGTGCCATCGCCCAGACCGTCGTTGTTCATTTTGGCGAGACCGACAAGCCGAAAGTAGAAGGGTTCCTGGTAGGCCTTCTGTCCTTGAATTAATGCCGTACTGAAGAGAAACATCTTCTTGTTAACGCATTTTGTTCGCACTTGCAGGTGTACAATCCTCAAACAGAGGTGAATGGACCGTTGGCCAAGCAGCTGGCCTTGACCATGACCGAAGGGGGTGATATCCAGACCACGTCGCCCTTCCATGAGACCAGTGTGCCTGGAATATTTGCAGTGGGTGATTGTGCTACTCCGTTCAAGGCCGTCACCCCGGCGGTGGCTATGGGATCGCAGGCCGCCGGAGGGCTGGTTGCTCAGCTGCAGGCTGAGCCATTGCCGGACTTTAGAATTGATCGGGAACTGTAGGAGTATGGTATATGAATACTATACATGCGTCCTATTCGGTTGAGATTCTGTGCGTTATTTTGTATGATCTGAGCCTAATCTTGATTTGACTTGCTCCTACTCCTGCCAGTAGCTTGAAATGAAGATGAGCAATATGCCTGCGAAGAGATCGACTAAGTAGTCCTCCGCGGAGAGTCTCCTGCCGCCAAGACACCCCGTTCCAAGCCTAGGCCTTTGGAGAGCGGAGGCCTCTTCCAGGGACTAAGTAAACTTGGCATTATTCGACGAATAATATTGATACAAAGAAGCACATGCCCTGACCAGACTGCATGCACCGTATGCTCCGAGCAGCTCATTGAGCTTGAGCCCTCACTCAAAAAGATGATATAGATCAAGGTGTGACCCAGGGCTATGTTCGACATTCATCCTTTTTGACCTTATTCGATACATTCATAGACAGATGATGTTTGGTATTCCTACTCAACACCTACATCTGTGCGATGGTAAACATCTGCATGTTTGTTGGTGAGATTGTCGCCGCCCAGTGGTATGTCTCACTGCCATGACAGAAGGCTCAGAAGGTGTATATGAATACGAGATACTGCTTTCTATTTGCGTTGTTCATTCGTCTAAAGCTATTCTACCCTATACCCCTATCGACCAGGCCTTGATGAATACGAGGGGACGCTCTTTCATGGGCTGTTCATTCGTCTGAAGTGACTCCATCCGATAGCCAGTATGGAAATGCCCAGAGAGAAGAGGAGACCCAATTATGTGCCTATCAGGACTTCACTTGATGGCAGGCATGTGTCCATGCCATAATCATTGGTTAAGATGATATATGAACTCAGGGTACTGATGACAGTAGCTGAAGCCTTGGAAATCTATTTAAGAGGAGACTATCCAGAACCTCATATCTGTTTCTCAAGCCAGAGCATCAGAAGAAGAAGTCTCATAGCCTATCACTCAAACATTGTATGAAAGTCTCTCCTGGCTCCTTGCATCTTGTCACTGACAGATTCCTCATTAGAAGTCACAGCAATGAAGTTCTCCGTCCTCGCACCCATCGTTGCCCTAGCGCTGGCTCCCTCTGTTTCTGCCTGGCGCGTGTACTTCTATCAGCTTCAAAACGAACAAGGCCCATACATCACGAACAGCGGTCCAGGAGGCACCGGCTCAAGATGCCACAGTGTGGGAGATCTGAACCAGAAGATTTCGTCAATGAGATACTATTCCGACAATGCTGAGGGCACTACCCGGTGCTGCATTCAGCTCTTCGATAGCCCCGGTTGTGAGAACTTTTTGGGCCAGTCATTCTGCAGGAATCAGTTCGTCAACTTTGACGACATTGGTATGGACAACGATATTAGCTCTTACAAGACGATTTGCAATCCCCTTTAGGCGGGACGTTAGGTTGCTAGTGAGGTGTTTTCCACGTGAGGGAATCAATGGGACGACTGTATTTGACGCCCTAGGAAGTCATGCGATCTATGCTGAACACTGTTAATGCTGTTGAATGACTTTGTGGTATTTACTAAAGTATCCAATCCAACTATTACCGCTCACTGCTAAGGTATAATATTACAGACTGAGTGTACCTGGGTACCAACATAGAAAAGGGGAATGGACCTGGGATCGGAAGTCAGTGTCTTCTCCGATAGTTCCATCGTCCTCACAAGTCTCTGCGTAAGGTCAACCTGTTGTAATGGAGGATTGTGCTTGTATTCCATGTTTTCTGTAAATTTCTGTTCTAACAAGGACCAGCTGGAGGTATATATAGCAAGAACAATGCATTCCGTCGCCCTGGTCAAACTTCAGGCACATGTAGACCACCATGCTTCTGACAGGGCACTCGACGATGCCACTTGCAGGCAGCGAATTTAAAGTGCGTATAAAGTCACTGGAACGACAAGACAAGCCCTAATGTATTCAGGACGGTCAAGCTGAGACATCTCAACAGTTGGTGGTTGGCTTTATATTTACCAGCAATATATATCTGACATGCAATACATAGTTCCCCAGACAGATGACTGAGGTCCGATCTATCAAACCCCAAAACAACATTATGCACCCAATGTCTGAACAATTTCAACGGCCTTCTCAACCAACATGCGATCTTCTGGAAAACTTAGTTCCTGTCCAGCCTCCCCGAAACTATGCCACCGAGCCTCAAACACCTCACCATCCTCGACGGGCACATTGGGCGTTTCGGTTGAATCGGCCACCCCAAGGAACCAGAAAATGAGCTTCCGGACTCCATCTGGATACACCCATTGCTGCACTGCAATGGGTTCCGTATGTGGACCATCAGATGGTGGTACATCTGATTGATCTGCATGTGAACTAAGGGGTGCTTTCACAGGGGCCATATGAGGCAATAGGTCGCAGGAGTATCCTGTCTCTTCAATTGTCTCGCGGACTGCTGCAGATTCTAGGCTCTCGCCACGATTCTTGCGCCCCTTTGGAAGGACAACAACGCCGCGGTCATGGCTGTGCAGCAGAAGGACTTTCTGCTTGGGAATATCAACGGATATTGTGCCGCAGCTAATCACAAACTGGTCGGAAAAGGTGAGGAGTTTGTCGGTGTGCATTGTCATTAACCAAAAGAGAGGTCTGAAGGATTTTTCTCTGATAAGTTAGGAGTTGTGAGAATGCTGACTTGAGCGATATCTTGTCCATGTACTGCGGGGTATTCGTGTTACAGCTCGATCACATCAGCCTGGCGAGTGCCTAATGGCCATAGATAGATGGATATGTTGCGAGCATGGCATATTCATATCTTATAGACTACCTACCAATGTATATTGATCAGCAGTCACTACAGATTCAAGTCATGATACTGAATATGACTGACCTGGATACCTAGTAGTCTACGGAAGTAGAATCCGCGCGACAGCTCTACTACCGAACAGATGGCTGCTTAATTAATACCCCACAGGATACTGGATAATGAGGTACCTCCGTAGGTAGATTTGACATCGAAGATACACTGTAGGTACCCAGTAGGTAGAGAAAAATCAAACAATTGCAAAAAGGTCATGATGTTTAGGCAGTACCTACCTAGGTACACATCACGTGCCGTAAAATATAGGTATAGGTACACTCCGTTACCATACCGGCCATTCGACCGCGGTAAACAGAGCATCACCAGCCACATGTTTCTCGGCTCTCTCCGCGGCCCCCAGCCTGCGCGAGCTGCTCCTCCTTTCCAGCCTTCTTCATTTACCAACTCTCCTAGTTTCAATCAACCCCTTCTTTGGAGTGGGCGTGAGATGCGAACAAGACCCATCTAATCGATCTGTTTCTATGCGCCACGTCTGATTGACTCCAGTGATCGCAATGTCTTTCCCATACTCCCAGGATGCTCGTCGTCGGCGGGTCGGAGCTGCAGGAGCCGGGTTCAGCTCGACCGGGAGACGGACATTCCTGGGATACTACGTGCCATTGGCTTTGACCGTGGGTGTCGCAGCGATCGGTGTAGCTGCCTGGATCTGGAGTGAACGCAGCGAAGACGATGACGACGAACGCGATTACCCCGGGGATGGCGACGACGTCCCCGCGCCCGCCCCGGGCGGCGCCTATGCTGGCGATTATGCTAGATCGACCGCGACCGACCTCCATGGCGACCTGCAAGACGACCCCGGCATGATGGCTAGAATGCAGGGAGCTTTGCGACGCACGCCGAGTCCTCAGCAGATCTTCGACGGGGCTAGCAAGAGAGTAGCCGCCGGTATGGCCGCCGCGGGGGCATTCGTCGGTGGTGCTTTGACATCGATTCGAGAGGAGAGGGGCGACTTCGAAGATCACTCCAGATGGTCGGAAGAAGTGGAATCCAGAGCCGCCCGCAGAGACCTGCCTGATCCAGCTGTCCCAACCATGAGCGGCGCCCTCCCCAGTCGCAGTGTCGCAGGAGCTCCCTCTCTCGACAAGAAGAAGAAAACAGTCGCTATTGTCGTATCGTCCGAATCGCTACATGTCGGCCCCGATGAGCTCACCTCGGACCATGTGGTAAGTCAAAGCGGACGTAACTCCTTTTGCGCGCACCCACGCTAATGTACCCCTTCTAGTCTATCCTATCTCACCTCCCGGAGCACGTTGACCCCGACACATGCAAAATCTTCGTTATGATCTATGCACCGGGCTTGAAGCATGCCCCCAATCACGGCAACGGCTCCCAGCCTACACCGTCTGTCACCTCGTCCTACTCCAATATTGCTCCTGAGGAAGCTGCCGATGATCTGGATATCCCGGACGCCTCTAGACACGCAAGTGAACCCGAGGGCGCTACGCCGCTCTTCAACACTTTATACACCCAAGCGCAAGCCATTGTCGATAAGAAGAACACGATCATGCCTTTCAGCACGGCTACGGGCTATGTTCACCTCGTGCGCCATATCTCACCGGAGATCGTCTATGTCCAAGAGTCTTTGACTGGCAAGGATGGCGAACCGGTCCATCATATCTCCCGCTGGGTCCGACAGGTCGTGGTGGTTGTGGGTGACCGCGGAGGCTTGATCGACAGCGAGGACGAGTCAGCCCTTGCTGACCATGGAGAAAAATGGTGGCAAAAGGAGGGAACGACCGGCATCGGAAAGCGAATCGATGTGGTCGACGAACTTCGCATTGGTGATGACTGGCGACGCCGGGTTTCGGGCCACGATTAGATCAGTGGCCTGCGATAAATGGGTAATGCTGGGAGGTTCTGTGTATATGATGGTTATTGCTCGATTGTTCATACGCGTCGTATTTTGGTGCTTTTTATGGACTGTGCAGCTTGATGATTGATTCCCCTTGATGATGAATAATATTATTTTCCGTTTATTCTTTATCCATGGATGCTAGCTAGTAGTCTCTACAAGTAGAACCTCACGGAGATGCCCTCAGGCAGTAAGGCATCCCTAGGCGGCTGATATGGACCATGTACGCTAAGCCAAATGCGGGCATCACCTGACCCGGCCTCCTTCACGTCGCCCGCGGCTTGGCATCACCAAACTCCCTCTGCAGAGCCACCTCCGTCGACCGATATCCTTTGGCCGAACCCTCCTCCCTGCCATCTCCGCAGGTCCTCCTTCGATGGACCCCGTTCTCTCGTTTCTTTAGCGGCTCCGAGCTACCTGCAACTTTCCGCATCATCTCCGGCTTGCTCGTTGGCGACCGGCCCCGTCCTCCGCTCCCCACATGTCTCGCGCTTCGGTTATATCATCCTCACCTTTCGGAGCACGATTCACCTTCGTCACCATCGGATTCACATCCCGAAAAGTCGCCTCCTTACACCCTTGGATCTAGTCGCGTCGCATGCCCGGTGTCGACAAGATGGCCACGGCCATTTCCCAACCCACTTCCCATCCCCCGAAGATGAAGCGACCGCCCCCGCCTTTTGTCCAGACCGGGGTCAATGGAGTCAAGGCTCAGCAATCCTCATCCTCCCCGCAATCCGCGTCGAAGCGTCTCCCGGGCGCCGGCCAAACTTCTTCGGCTACCTCGATGGCTGGAACCACCGCAAATGGCATCAATGGCACGACAGATGCGAAGGGTCCCCTGAATCGTCCGAAGAGGGATGCGCCGAAGCCAGGGGAGGCTGCTGGCCGGTTACAAAAGCTGCAGTCGCGGACCACGTCCACGGATTTGGGCCAGCGCTCCAGCAAACAATGCGCCGAACCCTATGGTGAGCTCTCCTGCGATCGCCAAGTGGCCTAATCCTCAGCCCTGTTTACTGACTCGTGCGATCCGAAAGTGAAAACGACAAATTACATCCTCAAGAAGTACTCCAAATGTCCTCCATCGCTTGTCCTCCACCTTCACCCCACACATTTCCGCTTCGAACAACAAGATGGGAGTTTTCCGTATAACTCCGAAATGAAGGTTGTCATCGAACATCTTCGCGCCGGCACTGTGCCTCACGAGATAATAGAAGAGCTCCTGCGCGCCAACATCCGGTTCTATGAAGGTCTGTTCTCATAGTGTCTAGCTCCGGAATCTTTAACTCATTGAGGAATCTAGGCTGTCTCATCGTACGGGTGATTGACCACAAGTCTGTGTCCGCGCAGGCGCGAAAGACGACAGCACATTCATCCAATGAAAACAACACCCCCTTCTCGATCCACAACTATAACGAACACATAACACCATCTGCCTATGTCCCGTATCCTAAACAGAATCAGTTAACCTCCGAGAAAGACGACACGAATGCTACAGCTGGGAATCAGGCGGATGCTCCGAACAGCGAGCAATCCGCCGGCGCCAAGGATCAAGGCGATTCTGGATCCTCTCAACAGAAGGAAGCTCCTTCAAAACCGCGGGTTTTCACGACTGTCCTCCATCCTACTCCCCGTTCACTGCAAGCGGAACTCACGTTGCTTGCAACCACCCCTGCGAGAACATCACCTGCAAACTCGACAACTCGTACACAGGGTGCTTCCATGGCCCCTCCGTCGCCTGGGGGCTCTAACACTCAACTCGAACGAGGCCATGTTGCCAAGAAGCAGAAAATGATGGTTGAACCCGCGGATTTGCCTGAATGTGAATCACGACTGACGCGAGCCCTCGCACCACCTCTCTTCCTGGATCCGGTCGACAGCTTCGATGCTGCACAAGACCTTCTCAGGCACCTGGAAAGCCCTCTTCATATGGATCCTCCACCGTCGCCGAAGAGAAGGAAGCGCACGGTGGCAGAACTTGCTGCCGACGAAGCGTTGGCCGCCGAAGAGGAGCGGTTCATGCTTATTATGGACGAACGACTCGAGCCAAACGGGCCTGGAGGCGCTGGAGGGCCTAAGGCCGCAGCAGTGGACGATACTGGTGGAGGTGCTCCCTTCGAGCCTCGTTTCTCGAGATTCAAGACCCTCGAAAACATTCGAATGCAACATGAAGAGAAGGCCAAACGAGAACATGAGATCAAGCTCAAACAGGAGCTGGCCAAGAGGCAGCAACAGGAGCAGGAGAGAGAAAGACGCCGGGCCCTGGAACAGCGACAGGCAGAAGAGCACGCCAAGGATGAAGCACGAAGGCAGCACCTTGCTGCGCAGCAGCAAGCCCAAGCCCAATTGGCGGCGCAACAACAGAATAGGCATGTCATGGCCCAGGCGAATGGAGTCAGTCAGGCACCCCAGTCATCGCCTGTGGTCCGCAATCAGACCCCGCATAATACCTCGTCTCCCCTGGTCGGCAATGCTATGGGAACACAAGCCGGTGTTCCCATGAGCATGACGTCTTCTATGCAGGGTGCTGGAAGCCCTCAGAGGCCTCCATCAGCGCTACAGCACGCCCACCCCAACCTTATGAGCCACCCGATGGCGGCATCACGAAGCCAACAAGGCCCGAGCCGTCATGGAACGCCGCAGATGACCCAGGGAACGCCCGCGATGTCTCATGCCACGCCAATAATGCGCAACGTGACTCCCACCCAACGTATGAGCCACGCCAGCCCAGGTCGGTCAACGATGGCTCCTACACCGGTGATGAATCAAGCTATGATGGGAACTCCACAGATGGCTGGCGGCATGGGCCTCACCCCTCAGCAGCAACAACAGATGTTGATGCAGCAAAGACAGCAACTCCTGGCGCAGCAAGGACATCTCGGCCATGGCCAGCTTACTCCGCAACAGTACGCTCAGTTGCAAGCGAATGCTCATGCACAGCAGAATATCCAGTCGCACCCACAGCACATGATGCAAGCGCAACAGCAGAACCAGCAACAGCCAAAGATACCGAATCAACAGGCCTATCAAAGCCAGATGATGCGTGCGCAGCTCGCGCAGTTGCAGATGGTCCAGCAACAACAACAACAACAGCAGCAGCAGCAGCAGCAGCAGCAACAGCAACAGCAACAGTCCCAGGGCCAGCAGGCTCATGTACACCAGGGCAGTCCGCAGATGAACCCCCAACAGCAGATGATGATGGCAGCCGCCCAAGCCAACAGCGGACATCCACCGCAGAACATGCAGGGAGTAAGCATGGCACAAGGTGCTATGGCGCAGCGCTACAATAACATGTACCAACAGCGCTTGCTACGACTGAGGCAAGAAATGGCGTCCAAGTTGATGCCCCAGTACGGGCCGCCGGGGCAGTACCCACCGCACCTTTTGCAGCAATACCATGCTGGGCTCGAACGGAACGCTAAGGCCTGGGTGAGCGATATTATCCGCCGAGAACGTGAGGCCGCACAGCAACAACGAGCGAACCAGGTCGCTGCCGTACAAGCGCAAGTCTTACAGCAGCAACAGCAGCAGAACATGATGCAGAACGGCATGGGCAAATGACCACTTCAGTCAGTATAGTTGACATTCATTTCGTCTTGTACAAGCGAGGATGGTGCTGTTCACTTTGATTCTATTGACCTATTACTGCTTTTACATTTCGATCTTAGCCATGCCTTGGTGCGGAGCAGTCGGATCTGGCCGCCCAGGCCACTGGCACTTTTGTGTTTTTCCTTCTATATCACTTTGGATACTGTATAGGGGCCTGGAATTTGTGATAAAACAGGGCGGCGTTCTTTTATTCACGCGTGGCTTGAATGTCTTGTTTTACCTCGTGATGTTTTGGCGATTGTAACACTTGGGAACGGTTTGATATCGGGGGGAGGGAGCAAGGTGCAGACTTGATACCATTTTGTACAGGTGTCCCTTTGACATTTTCTGGCTTTACAGTTCAATGGGAGATGAATCTTCGTTGTGTTTCGACCTGCAGTAGTACTGATTGTAGATGTAGTCTTTAGTAGTGGTATGTTGACTCCAATACTTAATTAACCACGCCTATATGTACTACAACTGGGGGGTCCTTCACCCCCGGCATCCGATTTGCGAGATCATGGGTGTTTTGGCTGGTTATCACGAGTCTCAGCTGACGTCTCATGCGTGGTAATGGGTAGCAGCTGGATAGCGGGCATTGCAGGCTGGTAGATGAAGAGTAGAAGATGAAGAGGCTACGTAGTGCTGTCGTGGATGTTTGCTGAAAGGAGAGGAGACGCGAAGGCTACCTTTGTAGGTATGTTCAACCTCCCGAAATATATCTACCGGTGCCATCATCTCGCTTTGGCTGGATAGTAGAAGGAAGAACCAATCCATGAACACAAAGATATATACAAAAGAGGATTATCGTCAAGAATACGGTAAAGCCTGGCAGATATTGCATTGCTTTTGTGTGGCTCTCAGAAAGCGAGGATTGATCTGGTCCAAGAGGGACTCGACACCATCATCTCGACAAGACAACTCGATATCGAATGGTTCAACTTCTCTTCGATGGACGACAGGTGTTTTAGGACGAGTAGCCAGTTTATATTCGAGACAACTGGCACCTTGGAGTTTGATGGCCATAAAGAAGAAACGCGTGCATTGACATGGTGACAATATTAAGGGCAACTGGGGACTGGTTCTATTGACCGACTGAAGACATATGGAAACGCTCTTCGTCTGGAAACAGAGAACATCGACTGGAATACATGACGAGAAACCGTGATACTTTATATTATAGGTACAAGCTTGAAGGGTCTCCTATATTGCCCGCAGTAGGCTTGACATGAGTATCTCTGGATATCCAGACCGCTCCTCAATCAACCGTACCCCGAGAGGAACCAACACTCAGAGACCTCAAGCCGGCTGGAATGCAACTGTCAGAAGATTTCCCACCACCCACACCCGCTTGGAAACACTTTCCAGCCAAACTGCACAAGCGGGCCCCAACCCCAACCCCAATCCTCAACATCAACAAAACAAAGCCCACCCATGGGAATCGTGAATGCCCAACCCCCCGGCCACAGACAGCGTAGTAGCAGCTTACCCACACAACAATCGCCACCACCACATCGCAACGGTCATCGGACCATTCGGCATACGTACTTCGCCCTGATGATCATCCCCACCGCCAGAGAGGGCAGGTCGGCGACAAGTGACTACACACGGACGTCTGCGACCTCGGAGCGTTTCTCATTAGTCTCACGGCTAGAAGGCGATCGTCCAGAGCGGAGGGAGGGAGGGAACGCCGCCCCCAGACGGCGACGGGACCAGACCAGCCGATCGTGATCAGACCATGATCTACATGGCCTCCACCGGCCGCACTTATGTGCAACATAATCGAACTATATTGGATGGGTAGTTTCGTAGCACAGCCCAATCAGCCCCAGCGGGGCGGCGGTGGAGGTGTTTTGGCTGCCTGGGTTCAAGTCAGGGCCGCAGTTTACATGGCTGTGGGTGTGGGGATCTGTTTGGGAAGAGCCGAGGCCGGTCGGACTGATGATGGGTGAAAATGAGGCGAGTTTCGAAGGCATGCGTGTGTAACGGACCGGTGGACGGTGGTTCGTTCGGGGGCGATGTACATTCCAATGGCCCGACTATGGAACTTTACTGAGGGTCTGTGTGTTTTGTTCTGGGTTTCAGTTGGTTCCAAGGAAGTGCAGCGCAGGCAGTTCACCTCTCCTTTGGCGTCATAGGACGAACTGCCTGATGGGTTCTCGCAGAGTATGTGTTGGGTCTCTATTGCTGGTGGTAGTGAGGACAACACAGCAATCGTATGGGCTATTTGCGGAGATTGAGAACTTCCTACCACGCTGCACGGGAGGTATGCATGATGGAACGTCAGTGATGTCTGATTATTGGACTGTGCATTGGTAGTCAGGCTGCGGGCAGGATAGGGCCGGGGCAGACGGTCAATAAAATGACGTAGGGCCATTGGGATCCAAGACCAAAGGCGCAAGGCGCAAGGAGGCCCCCTTGAACGCTGTCGAGATGTTGCAGGAAATAATCTCCTGGAACATAGACTAGCGGGCGAGAGAGGAAGGATATGCGGTGGTTGCGCACGAGCGTGAGTGTGGGTAGGAGAGATGGTAGGGCGATGATCAACGGCCGCCATGGCTGAGGCCAAACCTGCTTTGCCCGGATAGGCTTGGGAGGATGCGACTTGACTGTAATGCAATGCAACTCAAATCGACGTTATTGCCTTGTGTGCCTCTGGTGGCGGGGCGAAGCATTGTCCAAGATTTGCCATTGGAGAAGGCCGAGAAACAGGACGCAAGGGGTGGCTGCAGGTGTGTTGGATTCACGGCGTCTCGATTCGTTTCTGCTGGCCACTCGAGCAAGGACGACGCAGGCGATAACTATAGGCTGTGCCCTGCATCGATCGTGATGAAACAAGCATACAGCGAAGCACGGGAGTGGCCACGATGAGTGAGACAGGGAGGACCCTGTATTGCAGGAGAGTCAGGTCCCAGTATCCCAGTACTGTCGTTCGTGCTGATCATGGTATAGCTCGACGTGGGTGTCCGGTAGCACAACCTGATATACGTAGATCAACGGATTGCCGAAAAGAGCGAAAAGCTAATCCCCAAGCCCGATGAGTTCCTTCACGGATTCGCCGGCTTCGAAACCTTCCGAGATATCCCCGGTCGAGCATTCGTACCTGCAGTGACGGTGGCGAGGTTTTACTCCATCAGCTGTTACTTGAATCCGTTGGGAGCTTACGCCGAATGCTTAAACCAGCCTTACTTGGTTAGCGAGTGGTTATGCTGGATGTGCTGGAACAGCCCTTTGCCGGGTCCTAATAACGACCTGCACTCCAGTTAATAGAGTCAATGCAGAAAGAAATAACCAACGTATATTGATCTCTTGCCATGGAACAAAATCTCCGAAGGCTGAAGATCGTAATCAGCGTTGGGCAGCACACCAAGAGACTCATCCTCAGGGGATGGCCAGAGCAGATTCATATTGCCCAAAAAGGAAGTCAGCTCAGGGCCACGCCGACGACAGATCTGGTGGCTTTTCGACTATAGGATGGCCACGCGACATCTTTCGATCGGATTACCATGTGAGCGCTTGGGCATTATCATTGTCAGGGCGTTGATCGCCACCATGATCAAAGAAAGGGAACTCCGTGCCGGATTAGCGTTCCTCATTCATCGCCATGTGGTGTTAATTTATGTGGGACGAAGTCAATATTGGTCGAGCGAGATAGCTGCAGGTACCGCGATAGCTTCTCGATGGGCGAAGCGGGGTCGAGCAACGTACGCGGCACTCGTACGGCTGAGGAAACTGTCTGGCCCTCGGCCAGTATCCGAGTATGGCCTCCTCATACAGCCGTTTCTATGCATCCATATGCACACGTTGATGAGTATTGCGCTATCCTGATCCTGTCCGGAGTAAAGGAGACCAGTGGGTATTGTAGGAAGCCGATATATATTGAAGAGGCTGAGTGGGTGGAGGTTAAAGAATTCCGGTGCGGCACTAGGTGGAAGCATGGCTGAGGCAAGGTCTCTTCCATTTTTGGATTCAATATATTGATTTGGACCAGGGCCCGCACAGGCTGTGCCACACCAGGCCCTCGTCAAGTGGAGATAGCCTAGTGCGCAGCTGCAGGAACTCCAGGATTCCGGTTTACTCGAAATGTCCGGTCGCCTCTCCTTACCGTACCTAGGCCCGTGCTACAGGGATCCGTCGGCATCGTACCTGGTAAACTGAAGGAGACTGGCGAAGGTGATCCCTTCATTGGCTGATGGTAACCTTCTAGAAACGAAGGCTTGATGATCATTATGTCCAAGCAAGGTAGGCAAAGAAGCCACGGCCCATGCTGGAGAACTTGGAATTGGTCTGGAGCGCAAGAAAGCCCTGTCAGATTTCTGCTGGGCTTCTATTCCCAGGAAAACGAGGAGCAATCTAAGTTTGAATGACGATCCGGGGTTTGGTCAGTATAGTACGGAGTCGACGAAGAAATCTTAGTCATTCAGAACCGAGTAACTCCAGCTCTTGGCTGGGCTTACGTCTTGAATTAAGATAATTTGGAATTGGTGCATCGTGGCTGAAGAATCGTATGATGTTAACCTGACTCGCATACTTTGGGCTGGACTTTCAGGGTGGAGAGCAGGCAGTCACCAAGACGTGCGGCTGATGAACGGGACCGAGATACGGAAGTGACCGGGTCCCAATTCCATATTAATTAATCTCTGCAAGCAAGTTTGGCTTCCGTCTGGACGAAATGGAGGTCAGCACCCATTCTGGTGGGAAATCGACATCAGAACTATCGAGAAGTCCCTTGAAGGGCACGCATCACGTAGAAGCTCCAGGATCAACTAGACTAGGAAGAGAAAAGGAAGATAGCAAGTAATCGTGTTCTGCAGCCCGCGGCCATGATGCGCATACGAGAACAATTCTGGAAACTGTGCCCCGGGGTTGATACATCACTTGAGGCGCAGCGCTGGAGTGTGGCGCAGTGTCGATAGTCTTCATTTCCCTTTCTAGGCTGTGGCGCAGGCATCTGCGGCCCCAAGTGGTTACCCATAACCCTTTGGGACAGTAGTACCCGGAGTAGTACTTCTCTCTGCCACGTAAATCGATTCGTTTCAGAGAGCTGTTCGACCCGTCGCCCCGCTATTGACGATCTGGTCCGGAGCAGCGGGCCTAGTTGTATCTGTCCGCTGATGAGGAGTTGATATGTCCACACTGCGTAGTCCGGTCCCATTGATTAACGAGTATGGACGAGAGATGTTGACAGTCAGGATACTCTTGGGCCCATGCGCTCGACCGCTCCCTTTCCATGGTACCGACGACACACTATAGGGAGCGGGCTTGCGGGTCCCGAGTCAACGCTTGTTTAGCGTACCGAACGACGACCGCACCGTACGATATCGTTGATTGTGGGGACGCCACTGGAGACGCCGATCTGTAAACACCGGCTAAAGACGAGCTGTCAAAATCACCGAATGATACGGGCTAGTTATAGTCAATGTCCGGGCGATCCGTCGTCCTTTGTTTTCATTGGTGAAAAGTAGAATAGACTGATCCACGCTGACAGAGCCAATCCCAACTGGTGTCACTGGTGTCCTGTGCTATTGCCATATAGGGCTTAATGGCTCCGCAGGGCTCACGTCGCCGACTACCAGGAAGCGGAGACGGGTTTCTCCTCCGTGGGAAACAGCGCCAGCCCATCACCGACAGACAATCTACATACAAGCCTGGGCAAGTGCTTGAGAGATTTGACCCTCCGTATTCACCGCAAATGTTCCTCAGACGCGGTGCGACTTCCGCTAGGACGTTCTGGGATCTCCATGCATATTCGGGGGCCTTGAGGGAGAGAAATATTCCCCAAACGCGAACGTGACATTGTGGTGATGATCAGCATGTCCGCCGGTCACATGGTTGATAATACGCAATCGCTATGTACGAAAGTTCACGAGAGTAGTTTGGTGTCCATTTGGTTCGTAGGTTGACTACTTCAATCTGCGGTTGCGTTGTATTGAATGGGTGGAGAAGACGAGCGTGCTTGATGCACTCGCAATGATGAGGTAGGATGGGAGCATTTTGGTGAATTGGTGGCTGCAGCAACTCTAAACCGCACCATCCTCTGGATGGAATGTTCAGTCCATGCTGTGGGGGAGTGAGATCGTTCCTAGTGGGATTCGAGACAGGGCATATTTCAGGGACCGTCCAATGAATCCGATTGATTTGTCTCCCTCGGGAAGCTTTATTACACGACAAATGGGTGACAGGTCAGAAGACCGCCCAGACCCCGATTGTCGTCGGGAATAGAGAGACGGGACTCAGGCTGAGACATGAATCCTCCCCGCTCACCCGGCGACCGTTGCAAGTAGTCTAGGCAGGCCATTATTGTGTGTACTCCGTATGCACGAAATGTGTACGGAGCGCCCCATAGGGAAAAGCGAGTGGGTGGGTGAAGCCAGTCAGGATTTTCGTGACGAGCCGGTGGCGGACTCGACGGGGCACTGGTTGAAGGTTCATTTCAGTGCCTCTCCACATTCCACGAGAAGGTCTTTCTATAGGCCCGACCGCGTCGGGGCGTTCCTGGGAGGAAAAGATCGGAGTGGCTGCTGAGCTGCTTGCTGCGCGAAGAAAACGAACTTGCAGGAAGCGAAGCAGGATTCGCTGACAAAGTGTCTTGCGGTGGATGATGTGCGTCTGATCCGCGATCCGCCTCGATGGACAAGAGTGGACTATCCCCGGTTGGGTTAGCTAGAGCTGATAAGGCGACTATACTCGATTTGTCCTGCTCTCTGCGGAGTAAGAGTCTCACTAAAAGAGACAGACGGTTGGATTGTTCGTCATTGTCTCGCCTTTTTATTTATTTATTTATTTTCAGTCTTTCGTCCATACAAAACATTGTCTGGGAGTGATTTGGAATCTACATGAATTATCGTCTCATGGTTTTATTTTTACTCTGGGAAATGATTTGATCGAAGATCTGCCGGTGGGAATGGGGACCGTTCATTCCAGGACGGAGGGATACTGTAGGCTGTGTAGATCCTTTTACTTACTGTGTACAAGTACATCCATCCATACATACATAACTTGCGAGCGTCCGCACAGACCAGGAACCACTCGAAAATGGTCGGAGTGAGCCATGGTCCATTGGGACCTTCTCGGTTCGGCCCCGTGAGGAACCCATTGAACCATGGACCGTAGGCGGGTGTACATACGATCTAGATGCCTTCTATTATCGATCAATCTTGATCCATCCTCATTATTTATAGATTTGATCCTGATTTTCCAAAGCCGTTCCACTACTCTAACGACATTATTAGACGGACTATCCGCAAACTCTCCGAAATCCCTTTGCTCATGCGGGATTTCTGGAGGTGGAACCGCCTTAAAACCGTTAATGGTCCCCGTCCACTCTGCTGCGATAAATCCCTTCCTATCGAATAGTGGGTGATAATTACAACTCGTGGCCCCGTTCGGGTCCCGCTTACGAATGGAAGAGACAAAAGCAAAAAACAGCGCCAATGGCGTTGGCCGGGATTCAGGTGGTGGCGTCTGGCCCCAGAAGACGATCCTGGATGATGCTGGGTGGCGTGGTGGTGGTTCGTTATCTCGGGATCATCTGTGGGAAATAGACCTCGGTCAATGTAACCGTCCAGCGCCCAGGACGCCAAGATTTCTGACTGTATGTGGATGGGAGAGGTCCTGGCATGTGTGGCTACGTCGTTGCGTTCTCCGTAGAATGATCGGCCTGGATCATACCTTGATGTGTTATGTCCATCTGCCTCGACTATGGGGTCAGTGTTTCATGACTAACATGACGATTAACGTTACCAGGACGAACTCCAAGGATTTGGTTGGCTATCTCTTTTTGACCAGAAGGGGCTCAATAGGAACCAGACCAGCAAGGCGATTCAATATCGATAGCCCAACGCTCGGGTCTCTTACGGTTGGAGGAGACTCACCAGCAATGCCGATCCTTCAGGGTCCGGAGACCCGGACGAGCACTATCTTGCTATCTAAGCGTCGAACTATGCGATTCGCTGATGGTGGCGATACCTGCGGACAGAGGATCAGATGAATGGACGGGTTGTTTTACCTTCGATAGGTCCCAATCCACCCCCAACCAGTCCGAGAGTGCGAAGATGCCGGGGGAAAGATCCCGAGAATCTGGGATGACGAGGGATGATCTTCCCCCACCGCATTGACTGATGATCGCTAGGTAAGGTTGGGCTTTCTCCCCCCTCCTGGTCGTCTGTACTATGTACTATGTACTACCATGTACGGTCGACTCCTAGAACGGTTTAGTCCCAGGTACCTGCAAGACTCGGAGATGGAACACTGACGTTGGAGCATTCCATGGCGTTGTTCTTTTTCCTTTTTCTGCGGTTCATCGTTCCATAATTAATTTTAAACTATGGATTTTCTTTTGTCTGGATTTTCCCACCCTCCAAGTTTCATACATACATGCTTTTGCTTGACTTGTTCATGTTTAAATTCGATGTTGGGTAATCTGGCTGGTGTTGTCTCCCAGGAATTTCAAAATGGCCCATGAATGGCGAGGAGGGGCAGATGGGCTGGGGGTTCTCCACTGGGGCCTAGAGTCATGGACAGACAGGTACTACCTGGGGGCGCCTCTCGGGGTTCCTACTACCCGTACTAGGTACTAGGTAGGTACAGGTACAGGTACCTGGTAAGTACTTGTATAGTTTGGTAAGGTTGGGGCTGGATCCTCGTCACTTTCCCGACGATCCACTCGATGAAGATACTACCTAATAAAAATCATACAGATAATAATAATATTATTATTTAAACAGATGGCCCTGCTAGATTATTTCCTATGACCAGGTAAACACCGGAGAGAAAAGGTAATAGAAAACAGCAATTATCAGAATAATTTCTCCTAGAAGTCGACCAAGTGAGGGGGACAGCAGAAACAAGCTCATCCATTCTTTCCTGGAACCTTCTGCTATTTGGACTGTTCTTTTTTTATTCCTCGAATTTCTTTTTTTCCCTTATCCAAAACGGAAAAAGAAATAATCGATTGAAATAAAATTAAAATAAAACGAAAAAATAATAATAATAATAAAAAAGAGGGCTCTAGAAAAGCGCAATTATTTATTCCGGTAGATCCTCACGTTGCATCCCATTGCATCAACCCAAACAGGAAGACCTATAATACATCTCTCGCAGTCGTTCTCTTCTCTGCCTCCTCTGCTTTAACTATCGACTGAATTCCGCTTTCTCCCCTCTTTCCAACTCCAACAACACCCCCGCCAGAGACAAGGACGAAACCAAACGCTCAGCGATCTCCCCGTTCGATTAATTACTCTGGCACGATCCCCGGTGCATCTTCGAATCAGCGTCCTAAGACATTATTGCGTCCTCACTCAACTGCACGGGAGACCCATTATCAGTCCCCTTGCTGGCCCTGTCTACGCTCCCTCTCTTCCCTATAACTTCATCCCTCTCGAAGCTACAACTGAGACCGATTCCCACTTCGGTCTCCATCCCCATCCACCCTCCCTCATTGCGAACACAGGACCCCCCCAATCCAGCGCGTCGCAGGGCCTCTTCCGCCACCTTTGACGCCTCGTCCACTGCTTTGAGCCAGAGACATTCGCGCCTCCTGGGAAACGCTGCTTCTCCAGTCCCGGCCACGTCCCCAGTCTGTCTCGACCTGGGATTTGCCGCCGGTTACTCGAGGAACTCGATAGTCTACATTCCTGGCCTTGCTTGGACCACCCCAGGCACGCGTCGCGCCTCTCTCTCTCCTCTCTTGTCTCGACCTGCCTCTCCATCAGTGCTAGCCTGATGGCCTCTCACGGTAAGTGTGATCGTCCTTGCCCCGTGCTAGATGCGTCGGCCAATTTGTTTATTTCACCTCGCTGGTCCTCCATTCCCACCCTCACTTCCTTTTCTTTTCCCTACACACACCCACTCTCTCTCATCCTCTCTACCCACTGTCCTTCATTCCCTTCGTTGTCTTCTTTCATACATTCTCTCCTTCCATCTTCTCTTCTTCTCGTCCTCTACTGAGGCCCCGTCCCTTCGTTCCCTCCCATATCCACTTCATCTATTCACATTCTCTACCCAACTATAATCTACCTCCTGCTTTCTGAACTTCACATACCACACTATCTTGTCCTCCACTCATTAGACGTTTCTTTATCCGACTCTTCCATTCCCAGAGGGCCTGTCTACCGCAGCCTCTATTCCAATCGTTCCACTTGTCATAGTTCCTGACACTAAACGATTAGTGTCCACAGGCACGAACCGTCCCACTCCTATCCGGAAGGACCGCCCCGAGGATAGCGAAGAAATGAGATCTCAGGGTAACATGTCCGATCGTCTTACTGTTGAGGTCGACTGCTCTTCCCTGGGTTCCAACGAGTGTCCTTCTATGAGCTCCAGCTTCTCGCCTCTGGACTCTCCCACCCCCACTCCCACAAGCATTTACAGCCAGGGCTCCTTGGCCTCCCCTGGTTGGCACGAAGGAGGTGCTTACTCGACTCACGGATACGAGCGTACCTCTGGGTCCACTCCAATGCGTGCCCCATTCCGCCTGGCAAGCATGCCCTCGAATGAAAGCATGGGCTTGTCTTACGGCCAGATGGAGTCTCAAGAGAGAATGCCCATGACTGATTTCCTGCCGGGGTATGATGAGAACGTCGAGCAGTTCTGGATCCCCCCGGAGGCCCCCAAGGGATATGACCATGGCAACCCGTCTCTGCCATATCCTCCGGCCATGCATCATTACGCGACCATGCCCCGCGGGGGTTACCGCCACCATCCCGCGCCTTATCTGCCGGAATCGGGAACCAACCCGTGTCTGTCGCGGTCCATCTTTCACCAGCCGGAGCGGGTGCCCAGCTCAATGCCCATGGGCCATATGATGCCCTGGATCGCACCACCTGCCGACTCCATTGCTCCCCAGACGATTGCGCCGTCGCAGGTCGGCCCGGTCACCCCTCCGCCCTCGTATACCGACTTCCCCAACTCGATGAACACCTTCAAGACGCATACTCCGACGACACCGGTTCGGTCATGCTCCCTCGGCACGGCCTCTGGAACCGACACCCCGATGAGCCGCCTGTCCGGTGGCGCCGGCGACTACATGGATGACTACCAGCAGTCGCCAGTGTACCGGGACGCCATGCACCGTCCCCACCGCCAGCCATCGCGAAAGATGATTCGCAAGCAATCCTCGCGCCAGAACCTGTCCCTGGAGAATCTGCCGTCCATCATCAAGCAGGTTCAGTTCAAGTGCAAGGAGCCTGGCTGCAAGGGGCGGTTCAAGCGTCAAGAACACCTGAAGCGCCACATGAAAAGCCACTCGAAAGAGAAGCCTCACGTCTGCTGGGTGCCGGGCTGCCATCGCGCCTTTTCCCGCAGTGACAACCTCAATGCCCACTACACCAAGACCCACAGCAAGCGGGGTGGTCGCAATCGCTACGTCGCGACCCTGGATGAGACTAGTCCTGATTATGACCCCGATTTCCGCGGTCAGCTCACGCCCGATGGCCGGCCGATCTACGGCTCCAAGCTGGAAGATCCCATGCCGGAGGCGCGCGAACTGAGCGTCGATGCTTGGGATGAGTAATGGAGCTAACATCCCGGATATCTGAGTGGATCGGATTATGATACCCTTGGCGCATTGGTCCGCCAATTTCCTTCTGTTCTTAGATGGGTACAGACATGCAGGGTCGGGCTGACCTGGTCGGCGCTTCACGGCGTTTTTTGTAAAACATTTTTTCTTTTCTATTTTTCCTTTGTCACTTTTCCTTTTATATCCGCAGGTCCGTTTACCATTGCACATGGAATAATGTTTTCCTTTTCGACGATTTCCTTTGAAGTTTCTTGGTGAGGCTTGCTCCTTCTACGCTAAAATAATATTGCATGGTATGGGGGGACAAAAGCGGACAGCAGAGAGTCCTTGTACGATGGAGAGGTTGAGTGAGCTGAGTTGTTATTGATCTAATTGATCTGCCAGACGCCAGAAACTATAAGAGATAATATTAGTTAGCGATCAAGTTTCTTCTTCATCTATTGTCTTCTATCCAAAAATATCGGGAAAAAAAAGCAATACCCCGTCCGTTCCCTGTCAGGTGTAAATCCCGTTGGTGTGGCATTAGCGGTATTCCACTCTTTCTGACATATCGGGTGGGGCGGGGGAGGTCCAAGCGTATACTTGCCGGAGTTGAGTGGTTTGCATAGTCTGGAGGTATAGAGGGTCCTGCAATGTCTGTCTCCTATGGGCATCGGCCTACAGACAAGACATGCATTTGGGCATAGTGGACAGATGATGGACATTGTTATTACAAAGTACAGGATGTACCTCGAAGTACCTCGAACGTAGCACATGCCGATCCGGCCCCACTCCGGGATTCCACTTCCCATGGCACGGACCCTATTGGTGGCTCGGCATTCCCCAGCCCTATCGACTAATCCGCATTGGGAAACTTGTTGACGCCGGAGGTCCAATCGCTGTCGAGTCCAGTGAGACATCTCGGCTCTGATCGGACACAGCGGGTTCTCTGTGTACGGACGGAGTACCTTTGTGTCGGAGTACCTCTCTGGTACCTTCCTCTTCTGCTCCTGTGGCGGTGCTCTTCTCGGGATCCCAGAAACCCGGTTTGCTCTGGCTCGAGCTGCAAACCTTCCCGATGCCAAGGCTGCACTGTGCAGCAACAGGGACCCGCAAGATCACCATCATGCGGTGCTGTCTTTCTACATACTCCGTACATGAGTCGGTTGATCAGTGCTACATTGTTTGCAGCCCATGGTCATTCTCCATCGATCAACACATACCGGACCAACTTATGTGTGGCTATTTCAGGCACAGCAGAACGAACAAGACATCCAAGTTATGTCCACGAACCTCTCGTTGACCCGTACACCTCCTTTCGACCTCTCAGTCTATCAGCGCCCACCCCCGAGACGGATATCTTTTCCATGTCACACACACATGCACGCACCAACACAAATTGTCCCACAACACATTCCTGGACAGAGGTCAAGGTACGACATCCACATCATTGCCAATACCCCCAAACTCCAGATGTACCTCTATCCTACACGCACAGGACGATCATATAATGTCTGTGAGACCAACCACACCACCGCCGCCTGGCATTTGCCGACCACGCACGTCGGCACTTTGACAGATTTGGATTTCCGTATACTCTGACACAACCAACCGGGTCGGACGCCCATGGCTGCACATTCCATCGTCGTCGACCTCGATGCCACCGCTCCTCCCAGCGACGCGTCGCCGCTTGTCCGACAGACGCACATTCTCCGGAAACCACTCCCCCAACCTAGTTTCTAGTCCATTCCAATGCTCTCCTCTCTCCCCGCAAGCCTCCCGATCAGATCTCCCATCTGCAGGTCGCGCTTCTCATGCGCAGTGCTCGATGGGGCAATGGCGCCCCTCTGCCCTCCTCCACCGGATAGCCTGATCGACCGACCCGGTGCAGGTGCTTGCGTCTCTAGCGCACAGGACGAAGCTTTGGACGGTGGTCACCCAGGATGCCGGGACGAACGCCTGGCTTTGCTCACCGCATCCTAGACCGTTCCTAGTTCCTACAGACGGCGGCGCGCCGGAGCATATCGCGGGCGGTATGCGTCGCGCCCCCCTTCGCCTGCATATTCTTCACAACTCGGAATCCTTCCTCGCCCGGTCGCACGCGAAGTCTAATCCCTCAACCCGCCAGCGTTATGTAGCAGTGCATGTCGTTTACGACCGTTCGATACGACCCTGCGTGGGCGAGGCAGTTGGGGGCGCTCGACGCCCAGCAATTTGGCTTTTGCGGGCGCGGCCCCGTCGAATCAGATGCAAACATGGCGCACGACTGACTCGTGCAAAGTCGTAGTCTAGCGACTAAAAGGGGAATAGATGTGGACGCACAGTCGTTCTCACCGACCGCTCACAGTGACAGTGATGATGGAGATGCAGACAGATCGACCGCATTACTGTCGGTAGTCAGCTATCGAGCCGATAATCATCGTCATCACATTTCCTGGTTCGAGTCGACGCGGCGGTGTCAGTCGACGCTATCGATCGCGGTGGCTGCGGACCCGTCGCGGTTTGTGATCTCACATGCACTCGTGCCAGACTTGTAGCTTGCTCGGTCGGCGTGCGGTGGCTGCCTCTCAACGTGACCAATATTCTGCAGACTTTCCCAACGTACGGAGTGACGTGGTGTTCAGGAGGCCTCTTCCATGGGGCTTCTAGGGTGGTTCGCAGTAGAGTTGCCGGTGGGGGGTGTTCAGTGCTCTTTCCTATTTCGGTCGCTATTGCATGATGTTGATACGTCTGTTATATAGAGTTGTTCTAGGATAATGGTAGAGTACTCCGTGAGGTCGAACAGGAATAGGTGAAGTGCATAAGTTGTGTTAGTAATTATACAAAGGCGCTGGATAGTTAACTAACTAGTTAGGGTAGGGTTGTGCTTAGGTAAGATCACCATTTAAATTCGTTCTGCAGGAAAAAATCTTCATCAATACCACCAACACTTGACAACTTGACAACGTAGGTATCCGTTTTTCTGGTCATCTGGTGATGTGCAGGTGTCCAGCACTCTATTGTCTATTCTCTTCTTATCTCCTTGAATCTCCTTACAATGATGACTCCTTCTCTTGGCATGAGCAACTGCAATGAGTGCCCAAAGTCAATATCAAGCTCAACAGTCTGAGTTTGGAGATACTTGTCTATCAGGAGCTCGCACATAACAACGCCATTGTTAGCCTAGGTACACAATGAACCATCTCTCATAACACACTCAACACTCCACACCTCCACCTCCTTACGGAGTATCTAAGACGACTATGTCAAATCCAACCCAAGAAAAACAGTCCCCTCCAAAGGCGTCTCATAATACGCCTCCACCTCCCTAAACCCGACGCGCCGATACAACGCCATCGCGCCCGCCATACTCGGCAACGTATCCAGCCTCATCTCAGCATACCCCAAGTCCCGCGCGCACCGCACAACCTCCCGCACCAGCGCGCCGCCGAGGCCCATGCCGCGCGCCTCAGGCAGCACATACAGCCGCTTCATCTCGCATACTTTCTTCTCGCCGTCGGGGTTGGCGTGGTTTGGGAGCGGACGCACCGCGACACAGCCGAGGGGTTGGGCGGGCGTGGTCGTGCTGTAGGCGAGGAGGAGGGCGCCGTGCGGCGCGGCGTAGGGGCCTGGTAGGGAGGATAGCTCTGTGGAGAAGTTTTGGAAGGTGAGGTCGAGGGCGAGCCAGGTTGCGTAGGAGATGAAGAGGGTGCGGGCGGTGGTGATGTGGGAGGGGGTTGTGGCGGGGATGATTGTGAAGGGGGGTTTCGTGGGGGAATTGGAATCCATGTTCTTGGATGATGTGACTAGGGTGATTTGAGTAGGTTGGTTGGTTGTGAGGTTGATGTGGTCTAGTGCCTTCTTGTATATGGTTGTAGCCGGTATCGGGTGTGAGTCATGCTACTGCTACATATTCCGTAGGTTATGATCGTCGATCGACATTGACTGCGAGTAGATCCCTGTCAAGGTATGAGTCGGATATAGGGTATTGTATTCGGCTATATGGACAATGCTGGGTTATACTCGGTGGATAGTCTGGCATGATGAGGAACAGTAGTTCTGATGTCTTACTATGGAGATTAGAGCACTGCAGCTGACAATAATACTAGTACCAATGGACGCTACAGTTATAGTAGGCTTCCATTGGGATGTGATATACCGATAAGTGGTGTTCTTTGTGGAACTTGACATTCTTACGTATAACAGTATCAGCGTATAACAGCGCAGTCATGCATCACCACACGGTTGCCTCTGGAGTCGGGGCCACTGCCCCAGACTCAGGCACGGCCGACGCAGCGACAGCAACGCTCGCGTCCGCCCGATCTGTCGGGAGCGACTCTTGCCCCGTGCCCAAAGGCACCATACTCACCGGCGGAATATACCAGGAGCGATGGCACTGGGTCCATCGCGGGTCGATCTGGGTCATCACGTCGGGGATCTCCATCCACGGCCTATAATCGGCACGGATTATCGTGCAGCTAGCGGTGACCGGACACTGGTTTCCAGCGACATACTTCTCCCACGGGACGGCCGTCTGGGTGTAGTTCCCGATGGTCTGGGGCTGGAAGTCGGCAAAGTTGAACGGATACGGGGTGCCTATTTTTGGGTACTTGGCGTTGGTGTGGGCGCGATAGGAGGTGACGCTGGCTGGGTCGACGGAGATGATGGCGTCGACGTAGTTCCCACCGCAGTAGCCGCCTGGGTGTGCGCGTTGATTGCTGGCGGCGTAGATCGAGGTGAAGGAGACGTAGATGGTAGGCGAGACGAAGGTGTTTCCATCGACGACGGCGGTGTTGGGTCCGTCGCCGGTGGGCGTGGCGGGGACGGTGCTTCCGTTCTGCAGACAGAAGTCGCCGGCGGTGGTCGACACGGGCCAGTAGAAGACGGTGGCCGTGCCGGGGAGGTAGTGGCAGTTTGTGCAGGGGTCGGCTTCGGTGTAGTTGCGGCTGGTGGAGGGGCAGGCGTAGGGGGGGATCGGGCTGTTTGTGTCGCCGGGGATGGAGGTTGTCATGGTCTGGTACCAGGAGCTCCTGAGGCTTGAGTACGACTGCCAGATAGGGATGCACTCCTGGGTGTTGAGCGAGCAGCTGGGCACACTGTCGGGCTCGTAGTAGAAACTGGTGGTTCCGGTGTACGTTGTGGTGAGGGTGCTGCAGGGCCCCGTGCCGGGATAATATCTTGTGACGGTCTCAAGAGGGCCCAGAGCCCGCGGCACTCCGTCACAGAGGGTGGTGAGTGGACCTGTATGGGTATCATACAATCCTTCGGGGAAAGTGGATGTTTCACACGCTCCCACGCTGGTGATGCCCGGCTCATAGTAGAGGGCGGTGGAGGTCGGACCCAGTGAATAGAGCTCGAGGGAGCGCGAATCGTATTCTATCCAGGCTGCATTGCAGGAGACAACGGACGCCTGCGGACCGTCGGTTGGGCCATAGAAATAGTCCGTGGAGGTGGGCCAGAAGAGGGTCGTGTTGCAGATGTGCAGCCACTGACTGCTGGTCGACGAGGAGCATTTAGAAGTCTCGGAAGTGACAGTAGAAGTAGGAGTGGGAGTGGGAGACTCGGTGGTGTCTCTTGGGATGACTATAGAGGTTAGTTTACTGTTGATGGGAGATTTACCCCTGGTATACTCACGCGGGTTGGCGGAGGCCACTCCGCAGAGCAAGATGAACACGCTGCGCAGCATTTTGACAAGACCTGCTCACAGCGATGGATTGAACGCTGTGTTGGGCTCTTATATGTCGTTGCCAAGTCCACATCATGCAGTGAGATCTTAAGCATAACATGTCAGACGAACCACCCCCTGGTGATCGCGGATGATTGCAGGAAATTGAGGCCTCGTACTGGCCATGATTCAGCCTCGATGCAAGCGCCTCGTATACATGACCATGAATGCTCCGCCTGTCTCACAATCAGCACACAGACAATATCTGAAGCTGCGGCCATTGGTGGTGGTGACAGTGGCAATTTTGAGCGAGTCTGGAACACTGCATTAGAGATGTACACAATCCTCCGGTCTGATGCATGTCAACTGGATGACATCCTTGTTTGTCTTAGCCTGAGCGGGGTATCCATCAGGCGAGCCTTTTGGGCTACATCATAACGATGGTGATAATGCGACAAAGGAGAGTGTAGAATTGTAGAATATTATCCTGTCTGTTGGGGAGAAGAAATCAGGTAGTCAACGTGCTGAGACGGTGGGTAAACGATAGTATTCGGACACTCCACCTTTTTAGGCGAGTTTCAGATCGAGTAATCGGCGCATGGGAGAGCAAGCATAATGTCCAGAAAATACAGTAGACTGCGGAGTTCTCCGATCTACATATCTTCTGAATATTGAACGAGAGACGATGAGTGGCTGGTAGAGGACCATCTCAATCCCATCTGGACGACGATGCAACCCTAGACGGCCGGCTCAGCAGCAATAAGAGACGGCGGGGCGATGGTGCCGCTGGTGTCCGACGGGATCTTCACGCGGCGCATCTGGACTAAACGGACGATTGGTTCCCCTGAGCAGCACTAAATTCGTATCGCAATCGAATCAGCGCTCTCTTATCAGGACATGTGCGGTGATCCGTCGCACAGCTCGAAACATGGTCCACAATCATACCGGCGTCGGCCATGACGGGCATAGATCGCCTTCTGCAACACCGGAATGTCGACTGTACGAGGATATAAATCTCTCCTCCTATCGCCCGATCTTGTCCCTCGTCCAACATCCCTAAATCGCTTCGCTATCACTACCATGCCGCGACTGTCCATCCTATCGTCTGTGACCATCGCAGCCCTGGTGGCCGGTGGACGGGCTGATCTCCAGTCGTGTCCGTCCGATGTTCCCTTCAGCTGTACCAATTCGACCTCCGTGTCGGATTCCTGTTGCTTCAACTCCCCCGGAGGCGCGCTCTTGTTGACCCAGTTCTGGGACTATGACCCTGCGACGGGTCCTTCCGACTCCTGGACGCTTCATGGGCTTTGGTATGCTCCTTTCTGAGACACGAAAGAGTGTCTAGTCTCACTGAAATCCTCAGGCCCGACAACTGCGACGGCTCGTACCAGCAATTCTGCGATTCCTCGCGCGAGTACTCCAACATCACTGCGATCCTGCAGGAACAGGGTCGCGATGACCTGCTGTCGTATATGAAGACCTACTGGCCCGACTATCAAGGCGACGACGAGAGCTTCTGGGAGCATGAGTGGAACAAGCATGGTAGGTCCAACTCGTCACATCGTAGGTCGGGAGTACTGGCATGACCGACTAATCCTTCGGCGTAGGAACATGCATCAACACTATCAAACCTAGCTGCTACACCGATTACTCTCCGCAGCAGGAGGTCGGAGACTATCTGGCAAAGGCAGTCGAGCTCTTCAAGGGCCTGGACACTTACAAGGTATGCAGCATCTATCTCCGTCCGCCCGTCAGATTCTAACATCACGCAGGCCCTTAGCAGTGCTGGCATCACCCCCGACTCGTCCAAGACCTACAAGCGGAGCGAGATTGAATCCGCCCTGGCGAAGCTTCACGGTGGTTCCACGCCATACCTGGGCTGCAAGGACGGTGCGCTGAGCGAGGTGTGGTACTTTTTCAATGTCAAGGGGAACTTGATCGACGGCCAGTTCAAACCGTCCGAATCGCGTAAGTTATATTTTGTTTTTGTGATGCACTTGCATAAGAGCTAATCTTGAACCGCCAGTTGCCGACTCTAAATGCCCCTCGTCGGGGATCAAGTACGTGCCTAAGCCCAGCAACAACGACACTTCTGCCTCCTGGAACTTCAAAAGATCCAAGGCAACCAAGATCATCCGCTCGGCTTAGGCCAATTAATAGGGGATGAAGATGAGAACCGTCGTGTGTACATATGTTGAGACAATGTCATTATAAACTTGAGTGTTGTCCACTTTGTAGACAATCGCAAATGCCTCTAGAAGTGCATTCGTAAATACATCATTGATGCCCACGATGTACCTCTGCTGGAATGGGCGCAGTATTTGCACCAGGCTAATCGGGCAAGATTGGAATACCGGTCGCCCGATTGCCATGGCCCTGTCATAGTAGGCCCTGGCCGAGTAAATCGTATACTCCGATCTGCAATATGGTGCAGTGGCCGCCCCTGCTCGTAACATGCCCCGGCAGCAAGGCAGAGATATCCACATGTCAATAGGTGGATGGCAAGGCCTTCCTGGATGTCGAGCGAAAGCAAACAAATGTCGCTGAGGGTCTCGCTGGTCGCAGCATTGAAGGGCGGCCATCTCAATACTGAGGGCCCTAGGCTGGGAATTCGACCCGAATCGAGAATATCGGCACCTGGTATTATAGAGGCGTAACTGTACGAGTCAATTACAGCCCCTTCAGTCGTGCGTTCCTCCTTTCCTCTTCTCTCTTGGCACCAACACGGTCCAAGAAATCCATCCGACCAAGAAAGCCTTCCTTGGCCTTGCTGTGAACTCGGAGTTCGTCCTGGATTCCGGCTTGGTCCACATATGCAGCCCAATCCAGTCGCGATTTCTCCACCGTGTTGATCTTTGGCCCACGGAGGTTCTCTTCCTGGCCAGCTGTGTCGGTCGTTTGTTGCTTCTCCCAGCTTTTCTTGATGCTTCCGGTCGGATTGGGGTCAAACCGCGACACCTTCCTGAGCGGCCTGCGAAGTTTCACAGTTACCTTACCGTTCTCCGTGTCCTCAGCTGCCGCAGCTTCGGCATCCTGCTCAGCTAAGAAGATTTTGGCCTCGGCTGACTCTTTAGGTACGACTTTCTCCTCGGTTATCATCTCCCCGGCAAATTTGTAGGTGCGCTTGATCCTGATCATCTCCTCCGGGTATTTGGTCTGCGGTGGTTTATTCTCGGATGACGGAGCGATGTCTTGCGCGTCAGGCTTTTGTTCTTCGTCTTTGGGAAGACCATCCTTCTTCTCGATCTGGGATGGTAGTAGTCCGGCATCGGTGTCTGGGGCATTCATTTTCGCCCATAGTTCGTCAACGTCGATAGTGGCGCCCATCAATCTTCGCGAGGGGTTTCCGTTCCTCCTGCCTTTACAATCACAGTTAGTACCAATCCAACAAACCCGAAAGAAAGGCCACAAACATTCGCATCTTCATCGCTCGCGTCCGAACGAAACCTGCTGGGCCGCCTTCCTCATCGTCGAAATCAACGTCGTCCTCGTCATCTTCATCTGCAGCGCCGCTGTCCTTTGACTTCTTTCCGCGTTGTTTTTTCTGCTTCTTGGATTTCGCTTTTTGTATCGTAATTTCGTCTCCTGAGTCTAGCGCAGCTGCCTCAAGATCCGCGTCTTGCGCATCCCTTTTTCGGCGTTTGCTTGCGGGTTGTTGCTCGTCCTCCGAAGATGTAATGTCGCCTTCGTCTTGCGCGTCGTCGAGCTGAAAGTCTTCATCTTCAGCGGAGTCGTACTGCTCATCCTCGAACATAGGATCGTCCATGGTCGCAGGATCGGCCGACATACTGCCAGGAATAGATAGAGATTCGGGAGATTCTAAAAGGCGAGAAGGGAAGATGAAGCTGCAACGGGACGCGCGATATGATTCTGCCAAGGCGGTGTGGCGGGCATTCTTTGGGAGCCTTAAGGCATCAATCGGCCATCCGTCCTCCCTCAATCTGTCGAACTACATCCATGGCACACTCTCTGGCGGCACCACATCCTGTCCATTTAGATCCACTAGAGCTAGATATCTTGAATCGTCGGGATGCTTTTGGTTTGCCTGGACGAGAGATCTGTGATGCTCTTATTGAGATCTTCTTCAGCCGGGTAGCACCGATACTACCCGTGGTAAATCGCCATGATTTCATGAGAAGATACCACGATCCTGCAAATCGACCGTCGATTCTATTACTTCAGGCTATTTTTACAGTTGCTTCTAGGTTTTTGACAGATAATCTGTCCTCAGGTAACTCCGCAAACACTCCACGCGCGTTTTACAAGAAAGCCAAGGCACTCTATGATGCCGGTTACGAGCAGGACAACATAGCAGTTATCCAGGCTGTCATTTTGTTAGGCTTATATTGGGATGGACTAGATGGTAAGTAACTGCCCTTCCGGTGAAGTCTTTGACTTGCGCTAACGGAACAAGATCTTGTTGAAAATGGAATCTTCTACTGGAGTCGGCTGGGTACTGCTCTAGCCCAGGCCGAGGGCCTTCATCAAAGGTAGGCTTCGGTTATATCCATCTTCAGTTCAGCCGCCGATGATTAATGGCAGTGAAACATACGTCGATCTCGATCCATCAGAGAGCAGTCTCCGCAAACGAATTTGGTGGACACTCTATACTCGGGACCGGTCCGTAGCTGCAGCCTTCGGACGCCCGATTCATATCAATACGGACGATTGTACAGTCGGAGAACTGACGGTGACTGATTTTGTGGAGCACGATGAATATCTTCAACTCGAGTACCCAGTAGATGTCACCCACGCTCGATTTTTCATTGAATATGTCAAGCTCTGTCAGTTGATGGATCTAGGCTTGTGTTTAAAGCTCTCCTCCAGATCAACGCACGACAGCCGAAACGCTGAGGCCGCCCAGTGTGAACTTGGCTTGAATGAGTGGCTTGTGTCCTGTCCCGCGGAGCTTCACTGGCGACAAGCCCGTCACTCGTTCTTACCGGCAGTCTTGTTTTCGCAGTTCTAGTAAGCCCCATAACGCGAGAGACCTAGATGCTCGCTAATATCTTCAGCACAATCGTGTGCCAGTTACAACTACTGCAAGAGCCATGCTCTTCCAGCGAGTCTCAACGCTCTGCATTCAACGCTGCATCCACGGTCATTTCAATCCTAGAAACTCTTCAGTCCCATGGAGAGCTACGATACGCGCCTTCTTTCACGTAATACATCTCCTTCGCTGATGTGGCTGTGGCTAATATTGTCTAGTATCTGGCATGCTGTCGTCTCTTTCGTCACTTTAAAAAATCAAATGAGTGCATCAGTACCGTCATTTTTGCACGCCATCAGACTCAAGCTAGACGCAAACTTGGAAATATTGCAAACTTTGTCAAAGACATGGCCGATCGCAAGATTCCTCGTGGAATTATTCAACACCATGTCAACCCCGGAGCAGTTCAGCCGGCTGTTGACAGCCGCCGTGGAAGAATGTCAGAAACGCGCTCGTGGAGATTTCGACAGCCCTGGCACTGGACCTCGATCGTCTGGGCCGTTCAGGCGGCCAAAGATCCAGCAAGTCGTTCTTCCTCAGAGTAGGGTTGTACTCCAAATTCTAGCTCGCGAAAGCCAGAGACGCCAAAGTCCGTTGCCTCAACTCCCACGCATGGACACCGCCACCGGGCCGTCAGACTGTCGTCCTGAAAATATACCTCAAGAAGGTGTAGACGGGCTTGCTGCAACGATTGAAGATTGTGAGCCTACCGCTATCCTACGGAACCTGCAAAAAATCATCGACGTTGGCAAATCTGCTGCGCACAGGGCGGACGAGTAGACCGTCGGGTCTGGTGTCGTTGTCTTCGACCTTGGAACAATCTAAGTCAATGCTATCGATTGATTGTGATGTTTCTGTGGATTTAGGGAAGCCTCTGGACAGTTTGGAATATGCTTGATGGCCAGGCCCAACATGATCCAACACGATGGCACCTAGGATCTAATACATTCAATTTGGGTCATATGATGCTTGAGAAGCAGAGTACTCCCGAGCGTTCTTGCAGTTCTATAAGGGATGCAATCACATAAAGGTCGTGAATGAAACTCTCCACATCAGTCGTTATGGATATGGTGTGGTAGATGTTGGACGGGCCGACCCGCGCTCGGCTTCAATTCGAGAGACCAATGAATGACAAAATGCTGAACCGAGGATGAAGACGCAGAACTGTCCATTATAAAAGACAGCATGCATCTATCATTTCCTTCTCTCAAAGCAATCCAGTCCAACTCCGATCCGACCGATATACCTACAAAATGACCACAAGCAAACCAGTCGCCCTAGTCGTCGGCGCTTCGCGAGGCCTCGGCCGACAGATTGCGATTGATCTCGCAAAGACCGGCTACACAGGTACGTCCAACCTATCCCTGACCATCATCCATCTAACAAGCCGCAGTCGTCGTCGCCGCAAAAACCACCTCCAACGCCGAGGACACCGTCCCCTTCCCGCCGGACCCCAACTCCTCCAAGTCGACCATCAACACCGTCGCCCGCGAGATCACCGACGCCGGCGGCACAGCCTTCTGCGTCCAGGTCGACGTGCGCGATGTCGCGCAGGTCGAGAACATGGTGTCTGAGACCGTCCGCCTCGCCGGTCGTCTGGACGTCCTCGTGTACAACTCCGGCGCCATTTGGTGGTCGTCTGTCGCCAACACGCCTACCAAGCGGTTCCAGCTGATGCAGCGCGTGAACCCGGATGGCCTGTACGCCACCGTACAAGCGGCTCTGCCTGTGTTTGAGCGTAACGGGTGGAAGGGCCGCATTGTGGTCGTGTCGCCGCCGATCTACTCGCGCTTCTTCCGGGGGAAGACGGCGTATGCGATGGGTGCGTACGATACTGGACGTGCTAAGGATTTTTTTCGCTAAGAAGGACAGGCAAGGTTGCGATGAGTGTCCTCACCCGCGGCCTCGCTATGGATTTCGTCCGCGAGGGACATAAGGATATGGCCATTACGAGCTTGTGGCCGGCTACAGTGAGTTCGGCGAAGCCCTTATAATTACTGCGACTAATGCTTTCGTGTAGAGTACCGAGTCGGCTGCGACGGAAGTGACACTGAAGAATAGTCCTCGGTCCAAGGCGGACCTGCGAAAAGCTGTGAGTGTGCTTGCTCCCATGTCAGGAACATGTACTGATTCCCACAGACTGTCTTCTCCGATGCTGTCCAGGGAATTCTTAAGACTCCAGCGGAAACGGTGAATGGGCTTCTCGCTTTGGACGAAGATTTCCTCCGCAAGTACTGCGGAGTTACAGACTTCGCCAAGTACGCGGTTGTTCCTGGGTCGAATCCACGCCGGATCATGCCCAAGGAACTGCCGGTGCTGGAGGTAGCGGAGCAGGATGATGAGGGAATGCGCATGGATAGCACCAAGATGCGGTCAAAGCTGTAGATGTAGATGCAGTCGCATGAATCTATACTTGTTTGCCCACATGAATATGAACAAGAGACGAATAACTTGTAGACCCTCAAGCCCAACTATCACATAAACAAAATCACAACCTGCTATAAGGCAATTAAACTAAATCTTCGCCTTCAACTTGAGATTCTCATGCGGCAGGTCCAAATAATCCCACATGAAGTGGAACCGATCACTACCAAAGAATGGCTCCCCCTTGCCCTCTCCATTCACAACCCAAAACCACGGACACCCAAAGGCCCCCAGCTCCTTGAAAGCCTTCTCCGTGGTAGCTGCAAGGTCGGCCTTGATTTTCGGGCTCGACGCTGCTGCGATGATCTCTTTGGCCTCGTCCGCGGGGAATACGCCACTCAGGGCCGTTGCGAGGTTCTCGGGCTTGGAGATATCCAGCTGGCCGTACCACATGGTCTCGAAGCACTTCAAGAAGGCTGTCTCGAATTGCGCCTTGGGGTAGCGCTGCTTGACGTAGGTGAGGGCGCGTTGGGGCTGGATAGAGTTAGTCATGCTGCACGGCTACTCATACCTAGGTAGTCTTGGAGGGGGGACAGACTAGAAGAGAGAGGATGGGGAACCAGGGGGGAATGTCGAATTTGTGGCCGAAGAACTTCTGCGCCCGTTTTCCGTCGTATTTGGAATACTCGGCTTTAGCGGGCAGTGTCCAGGGAGGTTTGTTGCCTGGTTGCGTTCATGTAAGTTTCCTATCTTGTTATTATATGGTTCTCTCGAGAACATGTACCACTGCCGACGTTGATTCCCCCTAAGAAGACGGGAATATACCTGTCAGGTTGTTAGTACTAGTCCAGATGATGATGTTGTCGTTGACTTACTCCAGCTCAACCCCTAGATCGGTCAGAGCAGCTGCATTCTTCTGTAGATACGTAAAGGCATAGTAGCTGTACGGTGATACTATCCGAATCATCTTGTCAGTCCCCTTCACAGCGTCCAGAGAGTAAAGCATGTGACGTCACTCACCGACGTCGATGTAGCACTCGATTTTCTTGCCCATATTGGCAGAGATGGTGTGCAATAGCGTGCTCGAATTGCGCGACTATGTCTAGGCCTGCCTTCGCATGGGTGTGTATACGGTGTGGATATTTAACAGAGGTGTGCATGTGGAGAGCCGAGGCTGTGGAGTTGGAGAAACCACATCGGGGCCGACGTCGGGTCGGCTTCAGCCATACTTGATGGTTACGGATCAATATTCCATTGAGCGAATCGCCAGGATTCACGCTATTTACACGTCGCGCTCATCCTAATTCCCCTTTCACAAACCTTTCCCTTCCCGATTCCATTCCATTCCACCCGCACTGCATACTTGCTCTGAATTACCTCCCCGGATGCTTCGCCGTCGTCTCAATCTTCTCCAGTTGGAGCCGCTCGTCCTCGCGCTGCCGCGATACACCCCGTTCCAGCCAGATGCCGGCGCCGGCCACCGCGCCCAGTATCACCTCTAACCCGATAAGCGCACACAGCAGCGCGAATCCCGCTTCGGTGACGGCACAGTCGCGCGCGAAATGCGCCGGCGCAGAGACGGCGCTCGACTCTCCGCGGACGGACTTCCACTTGCACGTCCACGAATGTAGCGTCTCATCGTTGGAGAAGCCGCTCGGCTTATGTGAACCCGGTCGGTAGATTGCGAATATCACTCCCACCAGGGCGGCGATCAGCCCAGCGGCCGCGGTGGCTGTCGCTGCGAAGTTTGAGCGTCTGATGCGGGAGTGCGGCTGCGGCTGTTAGTCTGGAGACTTATCATGGAATAGGTAGTTTCTTATCGAGTGCGAAAGGGATACTGACCGAAGGAAGGAGAGCAATTATCAAGTATGCCAGCGCCAGGGAGGCGATCACGCACCCGCAGGCCAGGATCGCAACAGTCGGTCGGACGTCCAGGTTCAATGGCCACAGGTATAACTCGACATGTTCGAACGCGGACGTGCGTCGATAATGCCGCAGAGGCACAGCTTCACAACCGACTGCGGAGACGGCAGCTGCAAACACCAGAATCGCGAGTCCGATTTGAACCCAACGCAGCAGACGGGCTCTCTTCAGAAAGGTCGATTCTTGTGCGTCTGACGCACAGGACGCATGATAGGAGCCAGATGTGAGGGAGCCAGAGTCCATCTCGGCGACTCGATAATGCGACGATGCAATGACAGAAACAGAAGGGTTAGATACGGGTTCTATTGGCACCAATAGTCCCAGGTTTGGGTGAAAGTGGTTCAACAATTATAACTGTTAATGAAGCTCCAGGCTCGAAGTCTTTACCAGAAAGACAGACATGCACAAAAGACAGAATAGTCAAAGAAAGACGAAACAGAAAGGACAAAAGAATGTCAGGAGAAAAGACAAGCGAAGCGAATAGCTGACGAGGAGGCAAGTCTTGCAGAAACAGCAGATTTATATACAATGACACCGCAGGGAGATTCTAGAGTCTCCCAGATCCTCACCATGTCGCATATCCAATGCCTGCACGTCTTCACACACCTAAACTCAGGAACCATGCGTGATTGAGATGCGATAGCCGCCTGGCTGCTACGTCGCGACACTTATTCGCTGCAACATCCTCATGGCTGGCGCTAGTCCTTACTTTGAAGAACGACCGTCCCAAAATAGAGACCGGGATGGAAGAAGACGAAAGTTCTGTTTTCCCGGGCGCGTAGACCAGGGGTCAAGGCTTTGCCGGGCGAATCAGCAGGCCGAATTCCTGCAAGATGCATGCGGTCATTCTATTCCATACGGTGAGGCAGATGGCAATCAATACCCGTTTGAGAGCGCGAACCTGTGCCTGTGGGGGATCGTATCAAAGCAGAGCTCTTTGGCTGGGCTGAAGAGTCTAGAGGAGCCGGGCGGCTATACAAACTTAGTGGTGGCCAATAGGTTGTCTGAGATAGTGCTGTCCGGAGAATCTTCATCATCAGCATGCAGCAGCCACGGATCCTGCCAAGAATGAACATGTGGAAGTTCCGTCTCAGTTAGAGACGACGGTGGGATCAAAGAAGCCTGATGTGTGCTCTGGAGTACATAGATCTAGATAGTCCTGCCTGAGGCTACAAGGCCACAACCCCACTCCGAACCCCGTGACATCGGAGATAAAAAAAAATTGGCGGGGAAACGCAGCCGCCGCAATTCCAGTCGCAAACAGCAGCACCGTCTGTCCTGCTATGTTTGGTACCCATTGGCGATTGACCGGCGCTTCCTCTGTTATTTCTACTGTCAGCCAAAGCTTTCGTATTGCGTCTAGAAGATTTGCCCATACGCCCGCCATGCCGCTGTCCAAACTGCACGGTGTGAAGCTCCCCGCTTCCGCCGACCTCCACGGTGCGTATGGGATTGTGCATGATGCACGGTTCTACTTGATGACTGCTACTGCGGCCGTTTCTACTGGGAGTGAAAACCGCTGATCACCGAGCTCAGTCCATCTTCGCGATGGGGACATGATGGAACTCGTTACGCCCACTATCCGACAGGGTGGTGTGAACACGGTCTTCGTCATGGTAGGTATCCAACTCTCTATAAATTAGCTCATAGACCACTAACAACATGAACAGCCAAATCTGGTGCCGCCAGTAACCACCGTCGACCGCGCCCTCGAGTACAAGAAGCGTCTAGAAGCCATTGAACCCAATGTCAACTACCTCATGTCCCTCTACCTCCACGAGACGGTGACCCCGGAGACCATCATCGAAGCGAAGAAGAAGGGCATCACCGGCGTCAAGAGCTACCCCGCGGGCGTGACCACCAACTCCTCCTCGGGCGTCGTCGACTACACCCAATTCTACCCCGTGTTCGCCGAAATGGAGCGTCAGGACATGGTCCTCAACCTTCACGGTGAAGTGCCTTCTCAGGGTGACGTGACCGTCCTGTCGGCCGAGGAACGTTTCCTTCCCACCCTGCTCCAGCTGCACGAGCGCTTCCCCAAGCTTCGCATCATCCTGGAGCATTGCACTACCGCTGCCGCCGTCGAAGCCGTCAAGAAATGTGGTCCTACTGTTGCTGCAACGTTTGTTCCTCCATTCGAATCTTCTGGCAACAATGTCTCCTGACTCACTCTCTGCAGCATCACCGCGCACCACCTCTCCATCATCATCGACCACTGGGCCGGAGACCCATTCTGCTTCTGCAAGCCCGTCGCGAAGACCCCGGCGGACCGCGACGCCCTTCTCCGGACCGCAGCCTCGGGCAACCCCAAGTTCTTCTTCGGCTCCGACAGCGCTCCCCACCCGGCTGCTTCCAAGAGAGGCGGAGACAAGATCGCCGCGGGAGTGTTCACCCAGCCATACACCACCCAGCTAGTGATCGATGCGTTCGAGCAAGCCTGCGAGAAGGGCGTTCTGAAGGAGGAAGACATCACCCCCGAGATCATCGAGGGCTTCATGAGTAAATTCGGTCGCGCGTTCTATGGAATCGGCGAGGAGACGAAGGAGTTCATCACCATCGAGAAGAAGAACGAAAAGATCCCCAACATCTTGCAGTCGGACAAGGTGGACGTGGTTCCGTTCCGACGGGATCAGCAGACGTGGAGCGTCTCATGGGCCACCTAAATCACCGCCGACAGTTGTATAGCGTTCTGATCGGTCTTGTAAATAACCATATCCACAAAAGTTAGCTGGTTGGTCTGCCTTCTGTCTCTATTCCGACATCCGGTCCTCCTGTGTAAGCATTCCTGTGATGGTCTCGAGGGCCTGCGCTTCGGCGAGATCGATTTTGCGACCGGCAATAACGGGGTTGCCGTCGCTGCCGACCGCCAGCTGTCCGGCGCGTTCCAGATGCAGCCGAATCCGGCTTTCAATGTAATCCGCTCTCTCGTCGCGTTTTGGCTGGGTCTCTGATCCATCTGCGGGTTTCTGCAAAGTCGCCAAGCGAGGTCGGAGCCGCTTCAGGATTGCCTGCAAAGCCGGCAACTGGGACAAGATAAATGTCGTGTTCGTTGTGAGGGGTCTATGACTGGCGCTGGAGCCAGCATCAACGCCGACTCGTAGTTGACGGGCAGCTGGGCTAGACGTCAAGAACGACAGATCCAGACCATTGGTCTCAGGCGCAGGTGTCCCGGATTCCTCCTTCGCAGTTGCGGGTTTCGACGTATCGGTAGCGTGGACGGCGGAAACAATTGATCGTAGCTGGGAGATGATCGCGTCGTTGCGCGCACATTCCTGTTTCAGCAACCGGTTCAGTTTCTTCGTTTCTTGCAGCTTTCGGCGTTGAGCAAGGATCGACTCGGGGGTAGGGGCGTCAGGAGGAGGGCGCAAGGTGAGATTCTGCTCGGTATACAAATATCAGTATGGCACACATTGTAAAGTACCACATTCAGTGGGTATGCGCACCTCGTAATGCTTCAGACGAACCCATCCCAGCAACTCTTCATCCACCCTGAAGGTGTTTCGCAGCACGACAATCTCAAATTTATCAAAAGCTTTGTCGACCGTGGATTCGAGGAGAGTCTCTAGCTGATGCAAGCCGTTTTCTATCTCTAACCTCGCCTCTGGGTAGACAACGTTTCCATCTTCGTCGGTGTCGGGAATTGTGGAACCGTTGGCGGCATGCGAAAAACCTAGGCGCTCCGGAGGGGTTGAGAGGAGACCGGATTCGAGACTCGAGATTGCTTGGTAGATCAGGTTATTTATTGAGTTAATCACATCGTCTATGAGAGACTGCGATTCGGTGAGCTGGAGGCCACTGGACAATGTGGTATTTGAGGGGTACAGCGTCGCGCGACGAGCAGGAAACACTCACTAAAGGGGTGTAACTGAAATGCTCTGTGAGCAGAGACGTGGTCGCATCATTCATCTTGGTGTAATGTCGGCTTCATCAATTTCATTCCGGTTCGGACGTGGGCGTTGGGGACTGTAGTTTGGAGAGAGACGCGGTGCGCGGAAGGTCAACAACGGATGGTTCTGCTCGTTTGGGCCGAGATCTCCGCCAAGACTCATTCTTCGTCTCCAACCATGAGGAATGGAGAGTCGCGATACTCGACCTAGGTGACAAGTGAATGGTTTTTTGCCATTTCGCGTATTGTCCATACCGATCTATCATTGTCTCGCAGAGACATAACAGTTGGCTGTTTCAAGCACAGCAGATCTTCCGCCAACTGGATGGACCCTCCATCTGTACCACCCACGTACCTCATGACTTGTATATAGATATGTTCAGGGATGGCTACATTTGCTTTGCTGTGAGCTTCTTCCCTGGCCGCGTGCTCGTAGCGATTGCCTTGGCAGCATGGGTCAGGTCGTCTTTGTGTGATGAAGTCTGAAGCAATTCAACGAATAACCACCGGCCTCAACTGAGAGATCCGCGGTATTATGCGACCTTGGAGTCAAAAGCCATTTCGGAGCAAGAACAGCTTGATAGTCTTGCGTACCATCCTGAAGGTAGCACCCGTAGACATTATCATGAAGGACGGGAGTCTAATCACCAAGCATAGGGTAATCACTATGGGAAGTGTCAAGGTATATACAGGCGACGGCACAATTTCTTTCGGTTATTTTTCCCAGTTCCCCCAGTCCTTCAGCGTACCTATCCAATCGATCGCAATTATATCATGACTTCACGGCCCTCGGTAGTCGCTCTTGTCTGTGGTGCCTGTAGATTTGGAGGACGATGGCCTGCGCGTGGCCTATAGTAACACAGGCTTAGGAAGGCGCAAGGGGAACCCAACTTCCACTTCCAAACGTCCATCGTTGCAGTGTATTGTTTGCGTGCAATATTATTCCTCCCATCTGATGAGCGACGACTCTCTGAACTCTTCACCAAGCTAAGCACGGTACTGCAACTTCTCAAGCAACATGACTACCCACAAGAAGATCGACTTCTCTTTGCTGAGGAGACACAACTCTTCGTCGACATCCTTATCAGAACTCCCACCGACGGTCCCGACCCTTGAGTCTCCCCTCACATTCCACGCCATGACCAAATACGATCGGGTCATCGACTCCCCTCTCAAGAGCGACAAGATGGGACTTGATCCGGCTACACCAGCTATGTTCGTCGATGGAGGGGATGTTCATGCCATCACTTCCGACTTTGCGACGAACTTCGCTGCCGATCCTTCATCTAGTTCTTTGACACACAAAGAAATTGAGAGGGAGCCACCGTACAGGTCAAAGAGCCAGTATTTCGATAACGCGTTCAACCTACGGGGCTCCTCACTGTCTCCCAGAACACGCTTAAGCGAAAACTCCTTAGTTGTGGTTGAGCTAAGGGTGAGCACGAAGGTACAAGTCGCTTCCATGGAGTACAAAGACCTAGACTGACGTGGTTGGTCCCAGATCAAAAATGATTATTCGCTGGCAGCTGTCATTGCTTCTCGATTGGCGCGAATCTACCAGAAGCCCGATACTTCCATGATGGTCAACATCCAACACAGCGCATGTCTTCATTTCGGCAATCCGAAACAGCCGTCCTATCTGATAAAAGTCTTTGCCTTGCCGTATATGATTGCACCGATTACCAACTTGCGGAGCACTGTTCTCATCCAGACAGCTCTGCAGCAAATCCTGCGCATCCCTCCGGATCGTGGCATTGTATTGTACTCTCCTATCTCCGACGAGAACCTTGCGACCAGTGGCACGACCATGTCCAGTGAGATCGCACGTCTTGAACACCGTTCTGAGGACGAAGATCCTGGAATCCTCAGAACAATATCACGATCGATGAGCCGCAGAATAAAATCCAGCAGCACTAACAGTGCGCCTATCTCTGACGCCACAACCTCTTCATGGCCATTGGATTCAGAGCCGTCTGCTACTGACAACGTGAAAGGTGCTTGTGGTAAGGATATTCGCACGAGTGATATGACTCAAGGAACTGTCAAAAAATCTCGAAGCATTCGCCGTTTCCTCTCGCGCGGTCACTCGGAACCCTCGCAGGCGGCAGAGGACCCGAACTAATGTTCCCTTTATTTGGCTGCCCTGAAGTGTTGTATTTGCAAGTCCTTGTTTTATTTTTGTTACTTTTCATGTCTTTGATCATTCTATCAAAAGCTCTTCTATTGTAAAAGCGACCAACTATGGTGTGGATAGCAAGCCTGGTAAGCGCGAGAAATGTGGCTTAAAGTCTGCAGCAATTGCCAATTATCATAGGTCTTATCAATAACTGGCAGTCACAAGTTGGTGTTGACACATACTACCTACATACCTTCCCTTAATTAGCGGTGGTTGCCTTTTGACAGGTTTACGAACTCTCGAACTCCAACCCTAAAACAACTCTTACCAGTGGAACCGCACACACCACCATGGCACAAAACAAGATCACTGAGATCGAGGGAGACCTGTTCAGTGCTCCAGATGGAGCAGGATTGATTCGTACGTACTCTCCCACTGTGATGGAGGCACAACTGACGCTACCGACTTTTAGATGCATGCAACTGCGAGGGCTCGTGGGGTGGCGGAATCGCCAAAGCATTCAGGAAAATGGTCTGAATTATCCGAGATCTGTTTTTGGACTCCTTAATGACACGATCTTTCACAGTATCCCGCAGCATACAAGATATACTGTGAATACTGCAAGAAATATCAGTCCAAGCCCGAGTACAAGGATATCCCCTCCGAGTCTACTACGTCCAGACAGGTAAAACTACCCGAGGGCACCGCACTCCTCATCCCTCCGCAAGACAAAGATACCAAGAAGGGATCTAAGGGACCTAAGGGACATTGGATCATATGCCTCTTCACTTCGCAAGGATATGGAAAGAAAGTTAGCCCTCCAGACGTCATCCTTCAGAACACCAGACTTGCTGTCGCGGATATGAAGAAGCAGGTCGATGAACTGGGGGCGGACATCGGTGAGCTTTGGTCTTGTCGGTTTAACTCGGGGCTATTCAAGGTTGAATGGGAGCTTTCGCGCAAGATTCTGGAGGAGTTTGACCTGAGAGTTACCGTTGCTCGTCCGGAGGGCGAGTCAGAGTGATCGATTGATCCCGCTGTGCGAATGCCTCTACCACTTAGACGTGGGCGTTTCGACCGTTTACCGTATGTTTCACTGCATGCATCATGTCAATATCAATAGAATTGCAACAGGAAGCTATCCATTATCGATACTCTCTACGCATCGTGAACCTGAATGTAGACATACAGGTCACCTGACCTCGCGTCACAGCGCGCCTCGTGTCCGCGAAGCCGCGAACTCATTCCATCATCTTGAAAACTCTCTTCCGCCAAAACACTCCACTCTAGGCAATTCGGTACCATCATCCAACATGCCACCAGAGCGCCAACCGTCTCAGAAGCGGAGACGACTCCCATTCAACCCTCCTCGCATGCAATCCCCCGCAGTCGCGGGCCCCTCCTCAGCCGGCGGCGCATCCTCCTCCAAAACCAAGCCCGCAACGAAACCGCGCAAATCCACTACGACCGCTTCATCATCGAAAGCCTCGTCCTCGAAAAGGACCCAACAGCCCAAAACCTCTCGCCAGAAACCCCGCGCGGCCTCTCCGCAGTCAGTAGCGGGAGACTCAGGTTCCGAGTCGGCGGCCGCATCGTCTGGCTCTGATGCAGGCGAGGCCCGCGAGCGCTCCGTCTCTCAAGAGCCCGACTATATCCTCGCGGAGATCACCGAGACGGATCGCACGACGGACGTTGCGCTGGGCGAGCCCACGATCCCGCCGAAGCTGCTGACGCGGCTGTTGCATCATCATTTTCAGAACGAGAAGACCAAGATCGCGAAGGATGCGAACGAGGTCGTGGCAAAGTATGTGGATGTCTTTGTGAGAGAGGCATTGGCGAGGGCGGCGTATGAGCGGTCGGAGGGTGGTGGGGGGTCATCGGTTGCGGATGGGTTTTTGGAGGTGCGTTGTCGTTCTCTTAGATTTTCCTTCTGGTATGGATACTGACGCTTTTTAGGTTGAGGATCTGGAGAAGATGGCGCCGCAGCTTGCGTTGGATTTCTAGAGGGTTGGCCTTGATTTGTGTTTGGGGTGTTGTGCCTCTTGGTGGGTATGGTGTTTATGGAGTTCTGGGTTCGAGATACCAATCGCTACTACGGATGGGATAGATTGTTCTTATGATGTGTGGCAGATGTGATTGTAAATTGATCGCGAAAGCTCTGGTTTCTATACACAATGGGAGCTATATACTATGGGCTATCGTAAGTCTAGCGGTTCGAATTTATCGTCTCTATGCGCAAAAGTTCGTGATATAAACGCTATGCAAAAGGAAGATTGGGAAGTCTTAACCGCTGACCAACCGGTCAGGCGTTGCTGTTGCCGAGGCCGTATTCGATTCTGAAGCACTAACCTCGTTGGCAGGAGTGCTGGTCTTCTCTGACGGCGCATCAACCTTGGGGTCCTTCTTCTCGCCCTTCTTCTGCTTCGCGGTGAGAGATCCGAGCTCCAAGGCTTCTTCAGGCAGTGGACGGATATGGGGTTGACAGATCCACCATGGTCTTCCATACTCCGCAATGGTCTTCTTCGAACCGGTAAGCTCTGCATTTGGTGTCGGTTCAAACCGTTCGGGAAACTGCTCGTATTCTTTCAGTCCTTCTCGTATGGCCCTTTCCACAAGAGCCAAGACATGCTCGAATGCAGCCATATCGCCTGGACGGGACCTCGCGAGAGCATCGCGGACGTTTGTGTGGGTCGCAATCATCGGCCGAAGTAGCTGGAAGAGATGACCCTGCATTACCCCGAGACTGGGAGAGTTGACTCTCTTTCCTTTGGTTTTATCGCGCTTCTGCTTCTTCTTCGGGGGTCCTTCCTCGGGTTCCGCCTCCTCAGTGTTCGTCTGCTGAGGTTCCGGCTCCTCGTCGACTGCGTCTGAAGGCATATAGAGAGGCTTTCTTTCGGGAATGGGTTGTTCAAGGACATATTTGTAGATGATGTCGAGATAGCGGCGCAAGACGGCGTCGATCCGATAACCGCCCTTTCCGTTCCGCCCACGCCAGTAGTCTCGTCCTTCGCTACCAATTGGAGGTGGCTTGCTGAAGATGGCTGGGTCTGAGAGATTGCCCTCGGCGCTCATCACACCGTCAGCACCGGTCGCCTCGAGACAGCGTTCCAAGTCGTCATGGTTGAGGTTGTTCCCGTTCGCGAAGATGACCGTCTCCGGAGGCAAGTTGTCGCGAAGGTATCGGATATACGACCAATCCGCCACACCGGTGTTATGACCTTTCTGTTCGCGCGTGCGTCCATGGAGGGTGATTATGCTCGCACCCGCCGACAAGATCATCTTTGCGTACTCCAGCGTTTTCTCCTTGGATTCGAGGATGCGGAACTTGGCCGTAACCGGGATCGGTAACTCCGTGTGTAGCTTATTGATCAGCTTGTAGATCAAGTCCCAGTCTTCCTGCAGAAATGAACCGTAATGGCCCCGCTTTGCGATACCCTGCGGACATCCCAGGTTCAGATCCACGGCGTCGCAGTAGGGCGCGACGTGCTGCGCAGCCTCTAGGAAGTCATCCGGGTTGTTTGCGCAGAATTGAACGAAAAGCGGCCGGTCGATCGCAGGATTGCCGTCGAGGTAAGGAGCATCGTCGTCTTTGCCGACGGCGGCGCGTGTGGGATGGAAGTGTTGCTGGCGGAAGCTGAGCTGCTCACGAAACAGGCGTGCGTGATACATGGGCGAGTATGCAAGAAGCTGCTTCTGCTCTTCGGGAGTCATGAACGATCGGGTGAGCATGCGCCATGCCTTTAAGACTCAGAGTCAGCCTACACAGAACAAGACAATTCAATTCAGAGTGACCTACAAATTCTGACCGATCAACCATAGGCGCGATGATGTATTTCGGGCTCCCGATGCTTTTATAGAACTCCCGTCCGAGCAGCTTCTTCTTCGGCGCTGTCGACTCTGCTGGCGCATTCTGCGCTGCAGCAGTGGTGGGGGTTGTTTCTTGGAGTCCCATTTTCACGATCCCTGACCCGTGATTTTTGGAATATTGACGCCCCAACCACGGGGCTATGTACCGAAAAATCCCTATTGTGAATTCGGCGGGGTGATTTGAGGGAGGGTGCAGAAAAGTTGTCTTGAAAATCGACTCAAGTTCTCTCGCATGCCGCGGGACTTTTTTGCGATGGCGATTTATCTGGGGACGGAACAACATTGTTCCTCTGCCTTATCTTATCCGGTATTTGTAGAGATCATGATGCCAATGAGCAACATCCGCAACATTCTTCCATCGACGGTGGAAGAGAATTCTTTCTGGGATTTGGTCATTTGTATGCAAGTGCCCTCTCAGTGGTATCGATTATCTGGTATTGAAAATCTTCGGAAATTGCGCGTTGAGCCCTGGAAATAAGATCAATGATAACGGGATTCGACGAACTTGCCAGCTGATGTGTTGATCGCGTTGAGGTATGACTGCGTATGATTATAAACCTTTCAGGTCTTGAAGGATAGTTATCACTGCGTGAGAGGCAGCATCGCTTCCAAGACAGCTCGGGACTTGATTGTTTTGACAACAACCCGCTCCGGACTACAAGGAAAATCAACAAAATGGACTCCGGACCAGGCAGTAAGTTCGCACGGGTCCTATCTCGCCTAGCAAACATCATTAACAAAACTTCCAGCGTCTTCTCCAATCTTCCTGTCCGAGGACGGAGAGTATGCGGCGCAAGTGAATAACAAAGACCTCATCGTTCATCTGAACCCAACATCTCCTGGCTTCAAAGACGTGCTCATCGGGAAAGCCAAAGAACACGCACCAAGATTCGTCAAGTTCTCACGACCAAAAGACACCACTTCTCCAGAGAATTCTGATGAGGAAACCACTTCACGCCGCCTGCTACATGCCAGCGATACCCGAATCTTTGTTTGGCAGTTAAAGCCCCTGCAACTACACGCCGAGATCGAGAGCATCGAACCTGGTGCTTTGAATATTGATTTCGGAGGAGACGAGAACGAGATCATTTTATTCCACGCATGGAATACCAGGATCACCGTGTATGCCCTGGACACCGGGCGCAGCCAGGTTATCAAGAGTCCCAAATTCGCGCATACCAACGGATTTGGCTATCGGCCCAAGACGCGACAATTCGCAGTGCTGCTAAAACCCGACGCTTCCGATCTCCTGACGATTCACGACTTTCGAACCTACGAACTAATCAACCGAGCAGTGCTGCCAACGGTCGACGCTCAAGGACTCAAATGGAGCCCTGATGGGCGATGGGTGGCTGTATGGGAGGCAGCGAGCGCAGGCACGAAAGTGTTGATTTTCACTGCTGATGGACAGCTCTTCCGCACGTACACCGGCCTTCCTGGGTCAGACATCTCCCTCGACTTAGGCGTGCGGGGGATAGAATGGAGCCCCGTCTCTCCACAGAGCGGTGCGTCGGAGTTTCTGGTGGTTGGAAAGGCTGATGGGACGGTTGAGATCCTCCGCACGAAAACAGTAAATGCATCTTGCAACAAACTGCCAGCTCTACTGTATAAGCTAACGTGCCTAGTTTTCCTGTTCAACCTCGCTATCACACGTCTTCGAGATCGACCAACATTCTCCGCGCATCTGGCGCGAGCGCTGCATCTCCGCGGACGGCGTCTTGGAATATGCCGAGTCATCAGGCTCATCCGCATTCAGCACGGTAGCTGAGACGTCTACTCTCCCACGGGGCGTGTCTACTATTGCGTTTAGCGCAGATGCAGCTCTCATGGCGACGGTCGACCAGACGCGGCCGAACATCGTTTGGGTATGGGAGCTAGAGCCGACTGCCATGCTTGTTTCTGCCCTGGTCCACGAAGCTGCCGTTCGGCAGGTCGTGTGGCATCCGTCAAAGACGGAAATGCTCATCACGACGGTGAGTAACGCGGGAGCAGCCGTGCGGTATTGGTCTCCGTACAGCGTTCCGTCCATTGTGCGGGTTCCTGTTGCACGGAATGAATCTGGGCGGTATGATGCGCGTTGGGTATTACCGGGCCAGGAGGGTGAGTCGATGGTCTGGGTTGGATCTCCTGAGGACTATGTGCTTGGGTATCTTGAGGGAGATGATGGTGCTTTGCGGTTTCAGGTGGTACATAATATCAACAGCAGGGTGCCGGCTGGTAGTCACGGGACGGCAGTTGGTCGATGACGTGAGAGAATTATAATACGAACAGTTGATATCTAGAATCTATACGCAGATAATCTCACGATAAAGCCCAACATTACGATGTATCTTGAGTTCTGCCTGAGGCACCACAGTATAGTTCTCACAGACCAATCACAACCCTTCCTTCTGTAGGCTGCTAACCGAGCACGCCAACAACCAGGGCTTAGGGCTAAGCCTCACGTGATGCGCAATCGCTCCCCACTCGAATTTCGCACTTGGGCTCGCCTCTTCCTTGCCGGTTGTTCGTTGCGCAGCTCTCATCCGTCAAACAACCACATCAGACAGACAAGATGGTGAGTACCGGCGAGCCTCCCGCATCGCAGACGACGACGATAAAATGAACAGACTAAACTAATTATTCCACGCAGGCCCCCGCACGCAAGAAGTGGTCCAAGGGAAAGGGTATGCAAACCACCACCTCGTATCCGACGATGTTATCAGCCAACGACCCCCCTTCGCTCCGATCAAACACGGCGAAAATTTCTTTCAGTTGCTTGAGGCTGTGCGCAGGGGGCGTTGTGTTGGAGTTGAAACACGAAAAGACCGGATGGGAGATGTACGGAACAGCGTGACTGACTCTTGAACAGTTAAGGACAAGGCCCAGCACGCCGTCGTCCTTGAGAAGCAGACTGCCGAGCGTCTCAACAAGGATGTCCAGTCCTACCGCCTGATCACCGTCGCCACCCTCGTCGACCGTCTGAAGATCAACGGCAGCTTGGCCCGCAAGGCTCTTGCTGACCTCGAGGAGAAGGGCCAGATCAAGAAGGTTGTCGGCCACTCCAAGATGAACATCTACAGTACGCCTCCTTTCCGCGCGGTGGACGATGGGAATCGACGCTAACTGATGTTTTGCAGCCCGTGCCGTTACCGCCGAGTAAATCTCCTCGCATTAGTTCTTTCTCGCGGTTTTCCTCTTGCTACGAATGATATCTCTCAAGTTCGGAAGTTGGGCTGGGCGAATGATGTATAGTGGTTCGATCAATCAATTTCAAAAGTGAATGAACTGGTCGCGCTACTGAACGTGCCACGTAAATGACATCAAACGAGACGGTGCTATTGCAATGAACGAATGTAGGCCTGCTGGTATAAACACACGTAGTACTACAAAACGAAACACATTTGGATATGCAGTTCAAGGATGTCCCGCCTTGGCCGCCGCACGCTTCATATCCTTCCGCTTCGGCCGCTGCTGCTTCGCAGCCTGGCAGAGCTCCCGCGGCTCCCCGGCCTCGGGTTCCGCGCCGACAACCTTTCCAACCTCAAAGTACTTCTTATGGTTGCGGAAGAAGTTCTCCCAATGCTGGACCTGCTGGCGCACGCGCGCGGCAGCCAGCCGACGGTCCTGCTCACGGCGGATCTTCATCTCGCCGCTGCTCAGGGTCTTCAGCTCGTCGGGATCATCGATGGGGATGAACATTTCCTCGACGCCGCGCAGGTCGGGCGTCAGGTCCTCCTGGAAGCAGCCGGTGACAAAGGCGCGGGTGGCATCCTTGCCCGTGAAGAAGCTGTAGTGGCCGCCCGGGCCGTAGACGAGCGGGTTGGCGGAGACGTCGAAGATGGAGCCGTTGACGGCGAGGTAGATCGGAAGGGCGGGATCGGCGCCGTTGTAGACGGCGAGCTGGTCGGGGGTAAGGAGGAGAGGGCCTTGCTGTTTGTGTGGATTGTTGGTTAGCTGGGTCGAACGATGGTCTGTCTGCTGCGGAGTGGGATGATCGCACCAGGTAGCGAGACAGCACCGGCCACCGCGTAAACCACGGTCGGTAACCCCAGAGTAGCGACTCTGACGAGGTCATGTAATACGACAGGCCGCAGGAGGCGACGACCAGTGTGACCAGCACACGCAGGATGTCGAGGACGCTGATGCCGCGGGCTTCATTGCGGCGATCGTGTCGGGATGGTCGGGACTCTGCGTGGGAGGACTTGGGGGGCTCCGTGCTGGAGGGAGCTTGTCTTTGGCGCAATTCAGGCATTGCGATGGGGGTGAAGGGTGAGTGTTGTCTGTTGCTGGGAGGGGAGGGGACTTTATGTTCAAGGTACGTAGCTACCTAGGTAGTTACCTAGGATAGTCGAATTGCCGATCTCCGTCCGTGGATGGTGTGACACGGTAGTTCAACGGTCGTCTGGGATTTTCAAATAAAGGTTTCCTTCTGGCTGAATCTCGTCTCTTTACTACCGTTTTTACGTGATCGCGTCATACGGTTCTTTCTACCATACCAGGCGATAACCATTGTCACTTAAGGAGTAGTACGTCAAAGAGAATCAACATGTTTCTATAGGCCCAGTATTACTTCCAGTATCTCCCGACGCGCCGTCTTCGTATGCGCCCGACGGAGATCTCCTTCTTATATAGACACAGCTTTCCAACAGTATTATCCCTGATCATAAAAGCCCTGGTAAACGCCTAGAGTCTGATCCAAGTTAGCAACAGCCAACCAGCAATGAGTGAATAAACAACAGTGAGAAATCTCTCAGACATCCAAGGAAGTATTGCGCACAGAGCACGTCTAGAATGGGTTCAAACGACGGCTAGCGTGGAAACTGCGAATGTAGGAAAAAATTTTCATCATCGAGATGGGGGTGCTGGACACAATGTCACCACTCACCATAAGTTAGTACAGTCAAGAAGAGGAAGATCCTGGATTGCCGAGACTAGAGTGCATTCCCAAGCTGCATTAAGCTTGTGTTGCTGGCCAGCAGCAGAGTATTCGACAGAGCTGGAGTTGAAAGCTGGAAGAGAAGAGAGTTGAAGGAAAGGAAGAAACGCGCGCCTTTTGTAGTTCGGCAAAAAGAAAAAAAAATTAGCGGGAAAAAGAAGTGGGTCTCATGACTTTTGCTGCCTGAATGCCTCAACGTCAAGATGACCTGCAACAAAAGTCACTCATTCTCAATTGAATTGATTCAAGATACCTGGGGTTGGATTTATGATCCTACAGGCCAACATCCATCATCCTTTGTACTCCCAAAGCGCCATCCCAAGCTGCAGCCTAACGGTAGGCGGTTTGCCAGTGCCCCAATCAGACAGGATTCCCAAAGTGAATGTATGCTGGTCCGATCGATCCATCCCATCCTATGTCGTAAACGTTCTGTCGTAGAAAAAACCGAGGCGTCGAGTGTTACTCTTCGGAGCGACACGGAGACGCAGCGACGACGGCTTTGCACATTCAGTTGTCTGGCTCCTGCACCGCACCCTCCAGGCTACCCTGCTCGGGGCCCTGTTCCGCTTCTGCCTCTTGTTCCCAGCTACGCGAGAAAACTTCGTTGAGAGATTCCTGAAAAGTACGGCAATTCATGTCGATGAGGCCCTTCTTCTCTTTCGCTTCGGGGTTCCTGATGACAGAGACCAGGCACAGGTATCTAGAACGAGTGTCAGCAGTTTATGGTGGCAGAATCAAGACGGATGGACTGACTTGTTCATCTCCATCAAGTGGATCATGGTCTCGTCGTGCAGGACAACGTGGCTCTCAGCCTCCTGGTTCTGGTCCCCCTTGGGCTTGCGGTCCGGGTGGTCCCACGAATACAATTCAGAGATGTCCACGATGACGTCGATGTAATCCGAGCACATCTCGTAGCAGGACATGTCGACCGGACGAGTGTCGGATGCAATGTAGATCTTGCTGAGCACGTCAAAGAGATAGGTCTTCTCGAAGCCGCAGTTGTTGGCGAGAGTGTTGATGAGGTTTTCCAGAGTCGACAGATTGGGGATGAGCTTCTGAATCACCTTGCTGAACGCCTCAAAGACCGAGTAGTCGTAGATGGAAGTGAGGTAGTAGTGGACCGGGGCATTCTCGTATCCGTTATCGCTCAACTCATCCGAGATCAGCTGGACGATATCCTGGAAAGTGTCGGTGCGGTACTCGTCCGACAGCCCGTCAACCTTGTGGATGAAGACTTCGATGTTGATGTTTGGGTACCACTGCTGGACGGTCAGGATGGTACGGTTCAGACGGGCGACCGAGTCCAGATAGTCATCCTGCGCGTCAATGACCCAGACGAGGGCCCCGAGACTGCCAAAAATAGCCTCCAGGTCAAACGACGGCTCCGTGTACTCCAGTTGACCCGGGAAGTCCCAGACCTGGAAGTCCATGAACGAGCTGCATTCATTCCGTTAGAACAAGTCAGGTATGAGTAGCATACGACGCTTACTGGATGGAATCTTTCTGGATACGAGTGGTCGACTCCAGGAAAAGAGTTTCGTTGGGGGGCATCTTGTGGAAGACCACGCTGGCGATGGAGGACTTGCCGCTCCTATCCAAGTCAGAACTGTCCTCATGATTGGACTCCAGAGTTTGGACACTATACCGACGAAGTCCCATCAGGAGAAGACGGGGTTTAGGATCCTGCGGCTTGGTTGTAGACACCTCACCCGGCTTCGCCTGAGCAGGCTGAGTGGGCGACTGCACGTGCAAGAACAACGTTAGCTGTTTCTTGTTTTCGAGGGGAGTTTAGATGGGTTTCCGGTATGATCAAGGGCGTATGGCTTGGTCCAAGGTCTCCCAGGACCAGGGAACCGCCAGTCCAACGGCAGCAGTAGTGTCATGGATAGTTTTAAATGCAAAGAATTGAGATCTTACCTCCATGCTGTCAACTGTCACTGTCGTAGGAAAGCTCAACGATCGAGGTAAAGTGAGTGGTGAGGAGGAAAAGGAGGATTGAAAGTGGCTGCGAGAAAGATCCCAGTTTTGTGAAGAGCCTCTGACGCCGAGAACACCAGATCACTTCTATACAGGAATTCACAATGAGCCACCGTACTCGTGTAACACGGTCGTTTGATCGATCACGCAATTTGAACAAGAATCTATTACACAAGAGGGGGCTGTTGAAGCATGCAGCACAAAACAAAACCAGTCAAGTGCACTCAGCAGCCGCTGTGACCCATAGTGGACGCAATGAGCCAGCTCAAAAGAAAGATATCACACAGTTACAGCAGGGTCCCTGGGATATGTCATACACATGAGGTAGTATACACGGCTACTCCCTGGTAGGTGGGATTGATCACCGGCGCAGGGGATTGCGGGGAATCCTGGGAGGAGACACAGGCGAGCACAGCAACGGAGGAATGTGTCTCTGCGCGTCACCGGGAGATCGAGAGGAGCGAGGGGAATTCCTGAGGAAGTCGATATCTGCTCCTGAGATGATTCTTGATGGTGGTTGGGGATGTGGTGCGGTTTAGCCAGGAAGACCGGGAACCCGAAGAGCAGGCTTGGCATTTCTTTGTCAGGGCGACTGTTGCTCTTCCCCATCAACGGCGATCATCTCCGCCTCGTATCGCTTATCAGCACGTCGTCTTGCTTTTCATGCTACAAACCAGGAAAGAGAATTGCCATTAAGTGAAACAGAGTTGGAAAGTTCCTACAGATGGCACGGAAACTCCCGCAATATTTATGGTGGCAAAGGCATGGCACTCCACAATGCTTTGTTTGCGGAGATATATAAAGCCCATTCATACTCTTTGAGACTATGAAAGTCAGTCAACATGCAACAGTATGGCTTCACTCACCTCGCTATCGGAAGCATGGGTAATGTACCCAAAATATCCAATTGATGATGGATTGGATGAACTGGTGCTCAAGCCTTCCAAGCGTCGCAATGTCTCCAAAACATTAGCGGAAGAACTTGCCGACTACGAGAACAGCTTGTCGATGATGCGTTCCTTCCAGAGCCAAAGCCTAGCTGTACCAGTGAAGCATCTCCAAGCTCTTTTTGGTAGCTGCTTGGTACATGACTTGAAGGAAGACGAGGTGTCCAGCAGCCGTGCCTTGGTGGTATGGCGTCCACAGACACATATAGATTGCACAGATTGCACTAACAACCAACAAGAAGACCAATGGGTTGTAGGTCACTCCGAAGCTAACCTAAGCATTCCTGTGAATCATGTTGAGATTAGAATGTCCCAACAGTTTGCGTTGTTGGTATTCTACATGCTGTTTCTCATGCTATGCTACTTTCTCTATATCCCCAGTTGATGAATACAATTTCCCCCGGGTGTTAAATGCAACATGATGGCTAACAGAGTTGGGTTAACACAAATGATACACATCTCCCCAGGACCAGAATTAAACATGAATAATTTCCAACTACATAAGACAAAGATAGTATACACCGTACTGCGTAGAGGCGACAACGAGGGCCATCGGGGCATCGGTCTTCGGTCATCGGAGATGTGCCGAAAGCCTTCCTGCCAGTTGCTCCACCCTGCAGCAGCCAGCTCCTCTTGATCTACACCAACCATCCTATCTTCTCTCTTGTCTCGGTCCATCCCAAATCCTGTCAACTCTAGATTGTCATGCACAGGACTCTCGAGATACATGATTATCTAAAGTTACTTGGCTTGTGCGCGTTCCCAACAGAGACAACATAACCATGTTCCCCGAAGCCGGGCGTACCCGTATAGCTCAGTGCAGCCGCAACATCCCACGAGCGCTGGAAACACGTTGTTACAGCGCCAATCCTAAACAAAATTCGGCTGTAGCTGTTCTATTCCAGGACATCGACCCCCCGGTCATCAACGGTGTTCGTAAACCCCGCAAGCCTGGCGGTGAGTTCCACCACAATATCCTGGTGGTGTCAATCTCGATTACTTACCATTCCCAAAGGCTACCAGGACTCTGGAGCTGATATTGCCTACAACCTACGGGCCAAGGGGGTGACTGTAGTCACTCCGGAAGTTCATCCCTCGGACAGGGACCATGAAGGCTGGTGTTTTCCCGACACCGCCGAAGGCATCCAGCGTGCGGTGCAGAAAGGAGCCACACATCTGTGGGCTAACACTATCCTCTTTAATTCTCATCCCCTGCAAGCATCCGACACGCTCAATGCATTTGCATCCAGCTTGTATGTCGTGGGACAGCCACCGGGCCTCGTGGAGAATTTCGACGACAAGGCATACCTCAATAGAAAGCTGGGTCAAATGGGCGGCTTCACGCTGCCGCGCTCGTGGATTATCACAAGCTCCGACGATGTCGACAGCGTCATTCGCTCTATCGGCCAGTATCCCGTTGTGGGTAAGCCGATCCGCGGCCGCGGAAGCCACGGCGTCAAGGTCTGTCACAGCGCGACAGACTTGCGGCAACACCTTGAGGCCCTGTTTCGCGAATCGCCCACTGTCATGGTGGAAGAGTTCCTTAGTGGCGAGGAGGCGACGGTAACGGTCATGCCACCGTCTCCAGATCGGCCTGAATACTGGAGCATGCCGCCGGTCGTGCGATTCAACCACGCTGACGGCATTGCGCCTTACAACGGAGTCGTGGCTGTGACAGCGAATTCCCGGACAGTTAGCCCGGTCGAGATGGGCGACGCTTCCTTTACTGAGCTTATGAGGCAGTCCGCGCGAGTAGCCGAGGTTATAGGTGCCACGGCGCCGATTCGAGTGGATGCGCGACGATTCGAGCCGGGGTCGCGGTTTGCTCTTTTCGATATCAATATGAAGCCGGTAAGCTGGGCTATACAGGGGCTTGGGCCAGAAAATTAACAATCGCTATCTAGAATATGACGGGCCCGGGCCGGCCTGGGCGTGAGGATCAGGCGAGTCTGACTGCTTTAGCAGCTGCAGCCATTGGATGGGATTATCCTACTCTCTTGCAGAGAATTCTCCAATGTGCGCAGCCTCTTGGTGTCTTCCGCAACTATCAGAGTCCATTTTAAGCATTGAAATTCCGGAAATTGTCTATACGACATGATTGGATTTAGAAAGAAAAGAATTTCATCACGAATTCTCCATGATTTGACTTGAACCGCCCCTACGCATACTTCGATGCGGATCTTCCGTCCTCATCCTGCGCGTGTGGATCAGCTCCATACGCAATCAGGAGCCTGACTATCTTTTCGTCAAACATGGCTTCCACAACCGCGGGTGTGCCGTAGCCGTCACGGACATTGGCATCAGCCCCATGTTCGAGCAACAGAGCAACGCAAGCATGGCGGCCGTTCCTGACAGCGTCGATCAACGGCGTCGTCCCGTCAGAGTCCGCTGTATTTGGGTTGGCTCCATGCGTGAGTAAGAGCTTAGCCATCTTCCTATCGTCATTTTCGATGGCCGCCGCGAGGGGTGAATCTCCACGTCGATTACACTGGTTGATGTCGGCTCCATGCGAGAGTAACAGGGACATGATATCGTACAGCTCTTGCTTTGCCGCGTAATATACCAAAGGATCCGAGCTTCTGTCCCGTATGTTGGGATTTGCACCGCACTCAAGAAGAAGTTGCATGGTATCCTTGCCTTTTCGATATGCAGCGGCGTATAGTGGTGTATCGCCGTCTTCGTCGCAAAAGTTGGGGTCGGCGCCGTGGTCGAGGAGTATGCGGACGTAATTTTCCAATTCCTCCTCTAAGGCGACCTTGATCGGCATCGCGCATCCATATATATCCCGTGCATACATATCAGCACCGTGCTCCAGGAGGAATTTGAAGAGATCTTCGTTTATTGTCTGTACAGCCCAGTGTAGCGGAGTTGTGATACCGGGCAAAAAAGTCCCTGGTGGGTTCACGTCAGCCCCATGTGTGACTAGCATTCTGAATATCTCATAGCGATGTGTTTCAGCAGCCCAAGACAGAGGGGTTTGTCGAGGTGCGGAGTCTGAATCCGCCTGTCCCGGCCGGCACATGCAGGCCGCGTTTAGGTTGACACCATAAGCGACAATCTTACTGAAGACATCTGTCGCTTCATTTTCCAGACTCCATGATAGTATAGTCCTTCCAAGTTTGTCTGGCTGGTCGATGTCCGCAACACTAGTCAGCAGCATGTCGAGAAGCGTCTGATACTGGTTCTCTGCAGCCCAGACCAGAACGCCGCTCCCAGACTCATCATTTGCATGGAAAGAGACACTGTGCGGAGCTAATGTGCATATTATCTCTTCTCTGGTGCCCCTGATCACTGCTGGTAGCGAAAATGGATTGTCTCCATTTATGTGGGCACCCAGATCAATGAGTTTGTGCATTATATCTGTTTGCCCACTTGCAACAGCATGCCATATCGGCGTCTTCCCATGTACGTCAGTGGCATTAATGTCGGCACCATGCTCAGCCAGAAGTGCGACAATTGTACCATGGCCACACTGTGATGCCCAGGATAGTGGTGTCCGGCCATCCATATCATCGAGATCGGGGTCGAAATCACTTCTGGAAATAAGCATATGGACTGTGGTCTCGTGGCCGCCCTCCGCTGCATAGGACAGTAAGGTTCGTCTGCGATTATCGTATATGTCATTCTGGCTGGTCTTTCGAGCAAGAAGTACTTCCACTACTTTGTGATGCCCGTTCCGGGCGGCGTAAAGCACAGGCGTGATGCCATGAACATCTGCTGAGAACGGGTTCACATCACTCCGGGTCAGAAGCAACCAGACCAGGTCAATATGCCCCCGTTCCGCAGCATATGACAAGGGTGTTCGGCCATGATTATCTGGCTGATCAGCCCGAACTCTAGGCTGAGACAACAGGGACCATGCCCGTTGTATATTCCCTTCCATAGCTGCGCAAGAGAGCACTGAACGTCCCCCATCGGGTTGAGACGAGATTGGCAGCTGTTCTATTGGAGAACCATCAGGTGGGCTATAAAGAGCCAGCTGGGTGGTTTGTGAATCAGTTGGTGGAGCCTCTTGTTTGTTTCTCCTGCTGAGAGGTTTTCTTCTCGCGGATGCAAGACGCTGACGCTGGACACATAGCATTCGCAAAGGATACTGGGCTGGTCGAAATAGCCTGAGATCAACAGGGACCAGCTCATCTTTGCCAACCCTCTCGAAATGATCCATAGTGAGGGTTTTGTCTCTGAGGTAGATCCCCACCCAGTCGTCCTCCATTCCAACCTCCGTGCAAGGAAGGACAGCGAGAACTAAGCCATCTGGACCTACTGCCATCGTATAAAGCTCTAAATGAAGCCCCTTATTGTCTAGCCGCCATGGCGTCTTTGTTGAGATTGAGGCCCCGGGCCTAACAATGATGTCACTCGACTCCCTAAAGGCTGCCGGAGAGCTGGCCAAAAGCCCACCGTCATTTTCATCACCACCGCTATCCTTCCAGGCAAAGATAGTGTGGTCGTCGGAGACGTTCATGATCTCTTCTTGCAATCTGATGAAGGCTTTATCCCCCTCGCCGTAGAGTAATGGCATGTTTATTCCAAAGATACCCATCAGACAATAGGCGATGTCCTCGATCCTGGTTGATTGTCGTTCCGAGGCCCAAGACATGCGTTGAGCGATGCTCATCGTTTCAAGACTTTGGGACCCGTCAAGAATCCCCAGAGGAATATTGGTGCGCTCTAGGATCTCAAGCTGGAGGCTGTCCCTAGTCCCCAAGACGTTCCACTTCTTGTCGAAGAATATTACTTCTTTCGGAGCAATGAGCTCTTGGAGTGTCCATCCCCGCGTAAACCATCTGCTGCCAGTGAAATTGACGGATGGGACGTCGGAAAGATAGGCGTAACAGACATCCGCTTCTTCGTACCAACGGTACATGGAGTTGATCGCTTCGGATAGCTCTGCGCTGCTGGTTTTGTCAATGCAGCATGTATCCACCCAGAGATATTGATAGTTGTTTTTAGCGGCGGTTGCGCAACACTCTTGGATTTTTCGATACCCGCCACTATCTATTCTGCGGCCGTTCCTCATGTCGTCGATTGTGATTTCTTCTGCGCCCCATGTGTGGGAGAGAATGGCATACTTGGGGACCTCTCGGTTGACCTCTGTCATGGACAATTGGTGGCCACCGTCTTCAATATGGATCAGCCGCATGATGAGAGGGCGTCTTGTTCTTGTTGCCCCTTTTTTTCCTTGGATTGACTGCCTTTATCCCGGTTGAATACTTGGCAACCGCATGCACTTCCACGTGTAGTGTAGTTGAAAAGAAGAGCACACGCTGGGTTGGAAATCAGACCCCTGATTTATCTGATATAACACTCAAAATCACTGGCCTCGACATGCTGAAGAAGGGTTTTATGTAGAAAGGAAGAGGCCATTCCGAGGATGAAAATTGGTCTTCGTGTTCGGCATAAGATACGAGGACTGCGGGGCTTACGCCCTAATATTAGGGGCCAATCTCTTTCGAGAGTGAAACCATGAGGCCTTTATCAAGTATGTATGTGCTGTATATCCTCTGGCGGATTCCAGGTGATTTTCAATTGCCATATGGTATGTTTCACACTGGTCTCTTCCTTGAACCCGATGTATGGGAGCAGTGACGCCCACTTAGGAGTAGTAGCATGATCATAATGGCCTTCAAGATCTAATTATATCCTTCCAGAAGCGGAAGAATAACTGACGAGGAGGACCTTTGGACTTATAAATGATGAGATAGATGGGAGAAGAGAAGAAGTTGTTGGACAGTGATGGTGTAACTACTTGATAGACACTGCTTACGTCATCGGGACTTCGCATGTGGAGTGCATGTGCATGTGACCCATTTTGTAGCCGGCAATTGGCTGCGGCGCCAACCGTCCGCTGGCGTCATGCTTCCTCCAACGATCTGATTCACATTCATTCTTGTTCTCTCTTCATACCTCAACCCCAGCTCGATTCCACTCCTATCCATGACCTCCCTGAAGCCCCGTGAACCCTACTCCCAGGAGGAGCTCTCCCAGCTCTATCCGCGGGAATTGAAGCTTCAATTGGTCCAAGTGGTACGTTCTCCGATGTCATAGAGCCTCGGTCCATGAGTCCCCAGCTAATAACGAATTGACAGTTTCTTCGCCATGGTAAGCTCATATGGGCTACGTATCTGCTCAATTGGTTCAAATGTTAACTTCTACTTTAGGTGAACGGACCCCCGTCTCATCGCGGTTTCAAAATGTATGCATCGCTCTCGCCGATCCGTCACCTGCATGAAAGCTAATACCCTACAGGCAGGCCTAGTTCCATGTAACGACCCAACATGACCCCCGTATAAACCCGGATATTTCGTGACTGATTGTCGGTTTCTGTGCGGTGAAGATTGGCCGTATTGCAATGTTGCGCGTCAGATGGTCCAAATGGCCGCAAGCAACCAGGATGTATCCGCATGGAATAGCTTCCAATGGCGGCGCAAAATGGAGGCATTCGGCAACAAAGACGAGTCTGTCGTGGCGATTGGTGCCACAGGCGAGATAGAGGGTATCTGGCAAGTTGAATCCCAGTAGGCCCCTCCAACAAAACGGCTGACGGCGTCGGTTTCCAATTAGTCAACACGGCGAATTGACCGACCGAGGACGAGAAACGACATATGCTCTTGGACAGCGCCTCCGCCATCTCTACATCGACCAACTCGGCTTTATGCCGAAGATCAAGTCCGACACCGAAGACATGTATCTCCGCGCAACGCCCATCCCTCGAGCCCTCGAATCACTCCAGCAAACCTTCTGGGGCATGTATCCCCCCAGCGCACGCACCCAGGACTTTCCTCCACCCGTTATCGTCGGACGCTCCGTTTCTGAAGAGACCCTCTTCCCGAATGAAGGCAATTGCCGTCGTTTTAGACAGCTTTCCCGGCTCTTCGCAGACCGGGCTGCACAACGATGTACGTGACACTTCGCGAGTAGCTCAAGGCATACACTGCGACTACACATCCAACCCAGGAAACCGAGGCTTATCGAAGACGTTTTGCGCTTCACCCACAGGGAACGAATCGGAACAGATGAACTACCTCAATCGCCTCCTCTCAAAATGGATGCCCGAGGCGTCCCCCCGGGTCGCCGTGGACTCCCACCCCCGACTCTCAGGTATCGCAGACACCATCAATGCCACCGACGCCCATGGCCCGGCCACACGCCTCCCAGCGGAATTCTACGATCAGCGCGCGCGCGAATATCTGAACCAGATCGCCGTCGACGAATGGTTCGCCGGCTACACGGAGAGCAACGAGTACCGCAAGCTCGGCATCGGCGCACTCATGGGCGACGTGGTCGACCGCATGGTTAGCCACGCCGTGGATGGCGGCTGGCGCAGCGAGACCTCGGCATCGGGCTCGCTCCAAAACGGTAAGGCGATCAAGTTCGCTCTCAGCGGATGTCATGACACCACCCTCGCCGCGATCCTGGGCAGTCTCGGCGCATTCGACCACCGCTGGCCACCCTTCACGTCGTCCATTGCCATCGAGCTGTTCTCCAAAGCGGAGCACAAGACTCTGCGTGAGGAAGCCGGTGCCATCCTCGGCGAACTTACCCACCACTCCACTGAGAAGAAGGATGGCGTCCTCTCCGTGTTGAAGGGCTCCTCGTCCTCGTCTACTCCTGCTCAGCCTCTGCCTCCGTCTGAAACTGCCCGTGCCCCCTTGTCGTCCCTCCCCGACTCCTCGAGACAGAAACTGCAGAGCCACTATGTCCGCATCCGGTACAACGACCACCCCGTTCGGATCCCGGGCTGCGCTGCAAGAGCGGAGAACCACCTGCCCGGCGACGACACTTTCTGCACGCTGGACGCCTTCAAGGAGATTGTAGATAAATTTACGCCCAAGAGCTGGCGGGACGAGTGTGTACAGAACCTTGGACAGGGTCTCTACGGTAAGGACAACAAGGAGAAAATCCCTGCGGGATTCTAGAGCACGTCTTGTTTTGGACATCTCCGTGCCATTCCAACCCTAATATCTGGTTTATAATGCTCGGGAAATAAGAGAGATAGAGACCGGCAGAAAGGAGAGAACTGGTTTATCCGAACTTTTTGTGAAGAAAAGAAACGCCTTGGATGCTCACATGTATAGCGAAGATCAATATCTTAATAGTGATGTACAGGAGTTGCGACCACAATAGAGCATTATCTCTGTATCTACCCAAAGTACGAGAGCATGGAGTATATGAATGTACAATGTGTATGGATAGTATATAAGGGGGATCAACCGAACCCACTTGTTTCGCTTTACTGCTTCTTTTCATTAGACAGTGCTGCATCTTCACTGTCACTGCCGCTGGTATCCCAACCGCTTTCGCTTTCGCTGGCGCTCCAGACGGACTTGCTCGGCTCTTTGTTCGCGTCCGCTGGCGCCTCGGCGGGTACAGCAGATTCCGACCCAGCAGGTTTCGTAGAATCGGCAGGCTGAGCCGGCTTGGCAGCTTTAGCGGACTCAGCCGCCAATTTCTCCTGCTTCAACTTCTTCTTGGACTTCTTCGCTTCCGCCTTGACCGCCATCTGCTTTTCGAGCTCCAGCTTTGCCTTCTCGGTCTCCTGGGCGGAAGCGCGCTCGAAGATATCGATCAGCTTTCCGACGGCGGGCGCATATGCCTGCGCAAGCGGCATATCGCCGACACGGACGCGCATGTAGTCGAAGGCAGCGACGACGGGCGCCTTCAACGGCAGCTGGGGTTCAGCATCGGGCGCGGAGTCCACAGGCCCCTGGAGTTCCGGGGCTGCATCGCCGGGCTCATTGTCCGGGATGTCAGGAACATCGTTGGAAACTGGAGGCTGATCAGTGACGACCTGACGGTCGAGTTTGGCGGCGACGGACGCGTCCTGTTTGTCCAGGTGGGCGACCTTCTGGTAGCGTTGGCTAAAATGGGTGAGCAGGATGGAGCGGGCTTCCATTCGACGGCCAATTTCAAGAGCCTCGGCGACAGTGGAGTGCTTCTTTGCAATGGCGGACATTTGCATGTTATCCTGGAAAGTGGCTTCGTGAATGAGCACAGTCGAGCCGTGGCCGACAGCCGCAAAAATCGGAGATGGACGGCAGTCGCCCGAGAAGGAGATTTTGAAGCCGTCTGGGAAGACGAGCGAGACGGCCATAGCGCCGCGACAGTGTGAGACCTTCGTCGCGAGGAGGTTGGAGAGACCTGTGGCTTTACGGAGGAGCGGGGTGAGAGGGGAGGTGTCATCGTCGAGGCGGAGAGAAGTGATTTGGGGTTTTTCGTCGGACTCGCTACCTGGGTAGGAGCCATCAGCACGGCAGTGACGGTAAAGAAGCTCAGTGCGGTAGACGCCGTTGGTTAGGTCTGGGTTGGCGCTGAGAGGGATCAGCCTGCCAAATCCGTAGTTCTCCACGCCAGCATACTCCTCAAGCCAGCCGACCATCATTTCTTCAGACACCACGAAGAGACGCTTCTCGTTCAGGATCTTGGCCATGTCAGTCTCCACGGCGGTCGTGTGGGGGACGCCGTCGGGGTAGTTCTCATGGAACCAGGCCCGAATCAAAGACGCCGTACCCAAGTGGTGGTCTGCGTGCAGATGGCTAATCCAGATCATGCGAAGGTTCTGGAGGACCTCTCGGAGTTGCTCGGGCTCGAAGACACGCTTCAGCTGGCCCAGCGTGTTCTCTCCACAGTCAAGGAGGTAGTAGCCGTAGCCAGGCACGTGCAGGAGAGTGCTGGATACGTTCCGGTATTTGGATGGAGAGGACGATCCGGTGCCAAGAGCGATGATCTCTACATCAGCGCCGGGGAGGCCCTTGCGGTAGTCCTCCAGTTTTTGCTGGAACTCGGGCTTCTTGATTCGCTTCTGAATTGTGCGCATTCGTTGGTCAACAGCCCGGGGCATCTTGTTCGCGATTTTCGACGTATTGAACAATGGCATGACTTCCGAACGGTTCAGGACGAACTTGGGCTCCATGTCGATGACAAGACCTGGTTCGACAGGTTCGAAAGATGGGATTTTTGCAATCTCTGTTCCCGCCGTGGGAGTTCCAGGCTGGGGGATCGTCACATTGTCGTGAACTGGCACGGGGAAGTTCTCTTTCCGCAACTGCGCCATGCGCACCGATGACCCTGCAACACTTGCCAACGACAGGTAGTTCGGGGAATAGTCGGAGCTCGATACGGTATGCTTGCAGTGGGACATCTTGGCAACAAACTCGTGCAGACGGGGGTGGTCACCCACTCCAGGGCCTAGGATCCAGAGAAAGGCTTCCAAATTCGTCGTCACGGAGGGTGAATTCCATTCTGACCGGTTAACCAGCCCGTCCACGTACTCCGGTGTAGGCAGATCGATAATCGCAAGTCCTTTCCCGAGCCGCGTGGGACCCAGGACCATATCCGGTGTGATGGTCTGATTGTCCTTGGACAAGACGCTCTCGCCTCTCGCCAATTTCGCATAGTCGGGCCCAGGAGTCACATTTAAATTCTTCGCGACGTCCGGGCGGAATTTCCCTCTGATGTCGTGGTTTCGCACGATATACGAGACAGCCTCGTCGCACCACGTCGTGGGAGGGAGTTTCTCCACCGTCGCTCCAGGCCACGGCTGGCGAACAAGCACCTTAATATCGGGGAGAGGCTCGCCACTACCGGGAAGAGGTCCCGTGTATCGATCGAGGTCCTTGGTCTCAGGGTTGCGAACGAACATCACTGCAGGCATCTTCACCTCGGCAAGGGGGGTTTCAACCAATGCATCCATCCTCCACGTAGAGTTAAACATGTCGGTGATAACGGTCTGTCTCATAATCTGGTTCTTGGTGTGCTCATCCATCGGGTCCAACGGAACGTTCCGCTCCTCATATTCATCCAAACTCCTCTTCCGCGGACTCTGCGGGCTGGGCTGACGCGACGCGGTTTTCGGCGGGAGCGACGTCGCCGGGCGAATCGGCATAGCCCACACCTTGATGTTACTATCGGACCACGTAGGGTTCTCGAACGGGTCCTCGGTCCCCGGCATCGTCCTTGCCATGGTCTCCGAGTCGTACTCCTTCGTGTATACGGGCATCCCTTTCCGGAAGACGAATCGCCGCGCCGTCGCCAGCGTATGTGCCAGGTTCCGCGGCCCATGAATCGTCAGTCTGCCCCGCTGGGCGACCGCCTGACCATCTTCCACGGCGTAGGGAACGCCATGCTCCAACTTCTGCGGCTGGGTAGATCCATCCTTAGCGTTGTTCTGTCGACGGGCCTGCTTCTCGCGCGCGGCCGTCTCGATGGCTGCAGTGGAACTGGCGAGGGTATCCGCCTGCGTGAGAATCACGCCGATGAGCCCGCCCGTATTAGCCCATTCCATCCGGCCTGTCAGAAAGACATCGGTGAGGTAGGACAGCCGGACGCCACGCTCGGTGCATGCTCGCTGAGTTCCTTCGGAAATTTGGCCGAAGAAATACCGCTTATCGGGAAAGTAGAGAAGGACAGACGTGCCGGGGGTGTCGGCGGTGGGCGTCGTCACCACCTGGAAGTAGAACTTCATGGGATGATTTCCGGTGGGCGGCGTGGGGAGGAAATTGAACCCAGTGAGCTTCTTATGGGCGCTCGGACTATATAGGATGTAGTTTCTTGCCTGTCGGTGCCTGACTTTGGGGGCTCGTAGAATATAGGTTCCCGGCTCGAAAAATGGATCGAAGTCTTGTTTCGGCGACGGAGGCCGCCGAACGCGCGAGAATTGTTTCTGAGGGGATCGGTATTTGCCCTTCGTTCGCTTGGATCCGGAACCGTCTGGAGAAGGCGATCTCGGCTTAGAGACAGGAGGTTTGATGGAGGAATAAAGTCGTGAGAGGGAGGTGGGCAGAAAAATCGGAGTGCGGGTTGTCGATGGGGCGAGGGTCCCGCGAAAGGCTCTCGTGAACAGCCCTCGCGACAGACGAAGGGAAGCCAACTTGCTGAAGAATGAAAGTCTACAGCTGGAAAGGGAGAGAGAGAAAGACGTTAAAGCAGACTCATTGCCAGACAAAATAGATACTGAGTGAGGATCGCAGTTGCGGCGAAGTGGAGCAGGAAGTTGGGGAGGCGATCTCAGTCGGGAAAGGAGCCGCCGTCGTGAGCTCGGGGAGACTAAACTCCAGATGACACATCCTCCATCATCGGAGAAAAATTACATCTACCAAAGCGTCGGTATCGCATAAATCAATGTTTCAAGACTTTTCAAATTGAATCTCTTCCTAATATGGGTTCTTCAAAGTCCCAATCCACAGGTATCCGAATTCCAAAATCCAATCCAATCCATCCAGGCTGCCATTTCAAACCCGATAACACCAGATAGCAAGATAGAGAAAATAATAGATGGAGAAAAAGACAGCCGAGTCAAACGGCTTAGACGCCATATATAGTCACAAGATCATGAACAAAGGAAACCGTAGAAGTCTACAAAAGAAAGGCACATCCAGTAGATCGGTACTCGGACTGCCGCAAGGATGAGACGGGGGAAAAAAAAATACAGGGCAAGGATTAATCTCAACGGCTCAAATGCATATGGGGAATCACAAAAGATGAGAGGTCACCAAGGAAACACGCTGGAAGGCAGCTTCCATGTCATGACAGAAGTGAGCCAACTGACGCCCCCCTGCCCTGGACTCGTTCTCCACGATCAGTTCGTAGACCGGCGCAGGCTTGTCGGAACGAAGACCATCGAAAGAGGAGATAAACAGTGCATCAACAGGAGCTGCGGCTGGAGAGTCCTTAAAGAGGGCGAAGGCGGGATCGGATTCATCGATTTCATATTCCGGGTCTTCAACACCAATGTCCGAGCCAGTAGGACGCTCTGCGACGGGCAATGGCTCCAAGACGGGCGCCTCATCTTTGGCACTAGGCGGCTGAGGGAGGTAAGACGCGAGACCAGAGCCCTTTCCAGACAGATATTCGGTATCGATGGCCGGGGGTTCAGGGACTTCCAAAACGGCAAAGACGGATGCGTTCGCGTAGTTCATGTCGATACCCGAGTTCCACCCACTGTTGAGGTTCATAGCAGAAACGTCCATGGTCTGCTGAGGAACCATGACCATACCGACGTGGGGGGTCTGGGACGTGGTGAAGTCTTGGGTAGGATGGGCAGGGGTCGCCTCCTTGGGGATGGTGGACTGCATGGGCGGCTGCGACATTACGGGGTGCTGCTGGGGCTGCGGCTGCGGCTGGGGTTGCGACGGCTGAGCTTGCGGTTGAGCCGGCTGGGTTGGGTTGTTGAAGGGGATCCCATTCGCGTTCATCTCGTCAAGAAACTGAGAGAAGTGGGGAGATGAGAGAAGCATGCGAGCCAGGTCGGTAAGACGAGCATTCTCCTCGAAGAGGGCACGGTTCTGAAGGCGCAATTCGTGAGCTTCATTGGTCTTGGCGGCAACTTCGCTCTCAAGCTGTCCAATGTATTCTAGACGTAGAGTTAGTGCGTGGTGGTATGAAAATTCGTGGTGAATATACCCTTTCTGCGCGAGCGGAAAGCACGAGCGGACACCTTGTTGCGGAGCTGACGGCGTTCCTTGCTGCTGAGCTTCTTTCCTTCCTCACTGGCCAACAGTCGTTCATCCTCATCCATCTCCTGTTCGTCCTTCTTCGCCTTGGTCATTTGCGGGAGAGCCGATGGAGAGGGAGTCTCATCAGGCGAGGTAACTGAGGTTTGACGCATCTGTTGCAGTAGTCGCGAGATCCGCTCATCCACCACCGGGTTCGGCGCACGAGTCTGGTCCATCGACGGCGCCGTTTGTTGCATATGCTCATCCATCCGGCGTTGTTGCTGCTGCTGCTGATGCTGCTGCTGCATTTGCTGTTGGCGGATCATTTCATGGTGTTTCTGCTGTTGGGCAGCCCGCGCCATCGCAGCCTGCTGCTGATGCATTCCGGGGTACATGCGACCGACCTGGGTCGAGGGGCCCATGGGGATGACCTCCTGGCCTCCCAGGGCATTGGGGTCGACGAACTGGTTCTTGTTGTTGGGGTTGGGAGAGAAGTAGTAGCCGGGCACGGCGCTCATGCTGTCGGACTCCAGGTCCATGTCAGACGGGTTCCGAGTGGGCAAAGAGTTGAAATCAAGAGAGTCTTCCCGCTTCATCGGAGGGTTCGACATCATGTCGCCATTCAACGGATAACCGGGGCTTGCACCGCCGAATCCCATGCCGTTCATCTGATTGAAGGTCATGGCTTGAGCCAGGGCGCCCGGGGGAAGGCCAGTCTGCTGCTTATGCTCGTCATATTGATGACTTGGACCCTGGAAAATGACAGGAGACTGGTTGTTGGCAACAAACTCGGGGTTTTGAATAGCCGGCTGGGAGGTCAGAGTAGTTTTCGAGCGAGATGGCTCTGCGGACGTATAGGTGAGTTGATCGAGGTTGAGGAAAGAGTCGATGTCCTGGTCGAATGTGGAGGGAGCCACAGGCGGCTGTTCCGTCAAGGCAGCCATGTTATGATTGCTGTGTGGAGGTGTTCCTCAGTGGGGGAGAGGGATGTTGAGAAGAGATTCAGACGATATCCGACCGTCGATGGGGTGGTAATATCGGTCGGATCCGGATGAGATAGAAGGGAGATGGAGATCGAGAGTAGTAGGGGGAGCGAACGGCGAGGAGCGGGAAGGATGAATCTAAAAAGGAAGAGAGATGATCGGAAAAGGACACCGAGAGAGGACGTTGAAAGGAAGAAGAATGGAAGATAATGAAATTAACCAAGGATACGGATGGTTTGGTCGAGGAACAAACCAGAGTGGGAGATCGACGTGGGAAGAAAGAGGTCTGGACAGAGGAGGAGATGAGAAAGTTGGAGGAACACCGAGAGGAGGGGGGATAAGAGGGAAAGGAGAGGGAGGAATGGATGGATGGGATGGAATCTCCACTACTGCGGTAGGGTGAGTCCAGGGGAACCTTTTTGCTTTCCCCACGCCAGGAATAGAAATCCTCAGGTAACTCTTCGGCTTGCGCGTCCTCCGCTGACTAAGCCCCGCCGATTGGCTGCCGTCGCAGTCCTAGTTTCTAAGAAGGGAAGGTCTTAGGGCTGACCCTACGACTTTCCCTTTCGCAGTTCCTGTCTCCTGGATTTAGTTAACCATCCGGAAGATCGCCAATAATGGTGAAAGATCTAGGCACTGCGTTCTTTTGAGCTTTGATTTTATTTAATTTATTTATTTTTTATGTTGTCTTATTTTTTTTTTTATTTTATTCTTCATTTCCCCAGCCGAACTTCTACCTATTGTATCCTGAGTACTGTGCAGAAAATACGACCCTGCACTACCCAAAACAGGAGTTATGCCGAGCCGCCCCCTTGATAGGAGCCCACCTTAATCAAACCAACGAGAAATTGATCCAGTAGGAGGAATCATAATACTACCTTACTGCCGGTCCAGGATTTTTGCCTCCTGTGACACTTTGCCGTTTCAAGTTGACTTCTCCTCTGCCACTCAGGATTGGAATTTTCCTTGGACGGCCGTCGGTCGCCCGGTGATGTCAATGGCGTCGATAAGACCAATCAGAATGTGTGTCTGTGACTAAGCAGGCGGAATAGGAGGGAATAATAATGATAATGCCCTGGCGACAACCACCACCATCATCATAATAATAATAACAACCAAAACATTTGGTGTCCACTCAGTGGCAAGAATGCTTCGCCGTCCATTGACCATTCACCATGATTTATGTATGGGTAGTATCACATACCATTGTTTCAGCTCCGCAAAAGATGAATCCAATGGCCCCTCTCCTCCTATCCAGATGATATCTGTCCAGTTGCCCTCCAAACCCCCTTCTGGTTCTCACTCGGAAAACCCTCCCTCCGGCCCTTCTAGAATACAACAGGGCGCCCCCGATGAACTGATTCTCGACTCCTGAGAAACTTATCCACTTCTCTCTTTCCCATCCTCGCTCTCCCACTGGATGCAGTGGAGAGTGGTGGGTCGAGGGCGCACTATCCATCACTGCAAGCAAAGCTTGGCGCCGGCTCAAGGTTCCTGTCGAACGGCACAGCCACTCATGCAGCATCGAGCCTCCCATTTTCCATGGGCGCATCGTGTGGTCTTGGACTTTTTGCCTTCCTCTAACAACTCTTGTCTCAGAACTAAGTCGTTTGTCCGTCTTTCCCGCCGCCGATTGGGTCTTGCCCGTCGGTACAGTTGATCGCTCCCCTTCTTGCTGCAACAATAGTTAGGGCGCTCCGGAGAAGAGCCGGAACCGCCGTGGCCATTGCTGCCGATAACAGCTTGAGTCTAGAGGTGATAATATTACTTTGCTAAATGTTTACCTAGTTACAGTGTATGGTGCATGTGCCTCTACAACCGCAATTATCATATTATCACATTGTAGCCTGTGTTGAGAGACTTTTAATCTCATTTGCAACAGCATCTCCTGACTGTCGGTGAACGGCCATCGACAAACAACACGCTACCCTCTTATGAGCCCATACCGCCACCATCGGCTGCCAGTGCCTGCACGGAGAACAACCACAAGAACCACGTAAGCCACCGACTAGAGATTCACGCATGTTTGAGTGTAAGGCTAGATTCACCGTTCGTATTGGGCCCACATAACCATCCAGGTGGTAGAATCGCTAACGACGGCTCAGCCTCAGATTGAGGCAACCGGACAACTCGGAGATACTCCAGGAGAAGAAGACAAAACCGAGCCACCAGGGCCTCGCCGGTCTAGATCGTCCGATCAGATAACACCGGAGGGTGCGTATGCCGAATTGCACCCATGGGACTGGGTACCCGGAGCGGGTATAGTCTAGACTGATATACAAGAGGTTCGGCATGAAAATTTTCCGGTCTAGACACGAATATGCAAAATTCGAGTTCTTGTGCTTCCCATAGGTAGGCGTTCTTGCTAGAGAGTTACGTATGCGCTGAATGCGCCTCGCCGCCACGGACGATATACTCAAAGTAGTAGAGGTTTCCTTTGCTGCCATGTAACAACACAGAAGCCTTGTGAGCAGTTGATTTGCGGATTGTATGCGAAGTATACGCATAAGATATCTGCTATCACCTGGTCTTACTTGCACACCGTATCTTCAGCCAATAAATCAGAGTAAGCATGCAAAGTCTATGCAAATCGAAGCACTAAGCATGGCCCTATTTTTAGTAGACTTATAGACAATTTAGCAGCCTAACTCAATCATCACTAAGAGTATGTTTATAGACATCCATGCACAGCCACGCTGCTTCGTATTCTCACCATCGTGTTCAAGTCTTTTCTTTTCCTATTATAGTCCTGTGTTTCACAAGTCGTAGTCTATTGTAAGACGCTGGTGTCACGTATCTCATAACCGTAATTGGAACCGATAAGCACAGACTGCATCATCTGGATGGCTTCTCCATGTCAAGGGTTGTCCCCAACGATGGCCCATAACACATTAACACTGGTTCACGATATGTGCAGGGTTAACAAAAGACCATGGCGTCGTCCAATATAATCCTAGTTCAACTGTAAGAGCATCTGTCATGTGTTGAGCGGAATCGGCGAGTTGTTTAATTCATAAATATATTCAACAGTGTAGCAGGGCAAACCCAATTTTCATATTACACAATGAACGCATACACATATACGACAGCATCCTACACGACAGATAAACATCACTACTCATCAGGGTGACTCAATTCATCATGAGTAAAAGCGTATTTCGACGACGCGCGACGCTCGGAAGGGCTTCCGCCAGTCTCGCCGGTGTCAAAGCTTCCACTGGAAGCTTTGCCGCCCTGGGATGAGATATCACGCTGGACAAGATTAGTCCCCATGCTGGTGCATCATGGTCTCAGGCAAAAGAGCACACCTGTTTGTCAGGGTCCATGCTGGCGAAACCACCCTGGTGACTGCTCTGACCACCCTTGCGGGCAATATCCTCAACCTCCTCTTGAGGGCGGTTGGCAAAGTTTCCAGGGTTCATTTGGGAGGACATGATGAGAGTATATGGTAAATTCTTTGTTCACGTATGTTTGGATTAGATAGGTTAGATTTAGTTAGTAACGACGGAACTAGGACCGATATCGAGCCATCTGGACCTTATATAGGCTTCTCCATCCAGAGGGTCAATGGGTGAGGTCATCATGGTGTCCGCTTGACGTTGACAGCCCTTCTGACTGGCCGGTGGCATGCTACTCCAAACCTCTTGGATCTCGTTGGACATATGGCTGGGGGTTGAGCTTTAAGTGGTGGACTCCAACCGCCACCCAGAGCTTCGTCTGGGGAACCATGGAATGGTACACACTCTACTCAACGAGGAAGTCAAGCTACCCATGAGAGAAGCCATCGATGTAATCTGAAGTTAAGTCGATACTCAGGCTACGATGCGCCACTAGCCATGCCTGAATGGATATATCATGCCAAGAAAGACTCGTTCAAGGGTCTGGTCACCTCATAAACGAGCACGGATAAACCCGCGATTAGCGAAGGGTCCATGCCCACTGTGAGTCATCGATGTGTCATCCGACGACCAGCTTCCATCAAAGCGCCGAAGAGCTTTGTGAATAGTAATGAAGAATGAGTAACGAAATGCGGTTAATTGGGTTCCCATCCCTATGAAGCCCCGCTAAGCCGTTTCCGGACCCCGATGGCTCCATCCAACTCGCCTCTTCACAACCTGTCATGGCAGACGCCAGGGGCATTTTGCGGGGGCTCATCATCGCCGAGGTAGATTTATGCAAATCAGTCATATGCCCTGATATGTTTACTGGTTGTGTGGTGGGGACATTTTCCCAAAAAAGTGCCCGGTCCTCCAACAGGGACACAGCTGTGTGTTCCATATTTATATAGAAAGACCCTGCGTTTACTGTGCCATTCAACGCAGACGAGGCCCTGTGCAATCCATATACTTCTTCTACCCAAAACAGTACAGCTGCCCTGAAGTATCGATAACCTGGTAATCTGCACATACCATGAAGCCATCCATCATTGCGACTTGCAAACAGACGAGGTTTCACCTTCTTGATGATCGACCATCCCAGGAGGTACTATCTACACCACAGATGGACCTTCGATCGTTGACTAACGTGCCGTCTCAGATCGATGTCGAAGGACTTACCATTGCAGTTGCAGCCGCACGCGAAACTACCTCAGACGACTCCTCTAGGCTAAAATCCAAATGGAAGTCAAAAGCCAAGCCGGATACCAAGGAACTCATTTCCGATGCCCATTTGCGTCTCAAAGGGGGAGTACACTACGGGTTGATAGGTCGCAATGGAACGGGAAAATCAAGTAAGTAATTGGGATGCTTCAAGATAGTATTGGCAGCACCGCCAGTGGTATCGACCAGTGGGTAAACCCATGCTAACCCACATCAGCTCTGTTGCGGGCAATGGCCGACAAACTGGTTCCTGGTATACCGCATTCCACTCGCATTGCTATTCTGCAGCAAACGGATAGTTCTGGCCAAGAAGGATTGGAAACGAACACCGTCGAAGCCCAGAACAAAACCGTCCTCCAGTATGTCATGAGTAGTGACAATCACAGAAATGAGGTCATTCGGCATATGAATGGTATGCTTCCTATTCTTGATGACATCTACAAACATGCTGACGGGCACCGGGCTCAAGTCCTGTCCAAAAGTTTCGAGACAGAGGACCCCCTAGAGCCGGTTCTCGCTATCCGTAGAATCCGCCATGAGCGAACGGAAAAGCAGCTCTTTTTGGCACAGAAGAATGCCAGTCTCAAGAGTGGTACTAGAGGACTACAAGCACGGAAAGACCTCAAGGTCGTGGAGGCCAAGCATCAAACTTCCCTTGAACTGTGCGTTTCCTTTCGGAACATTGAAAATTTTGTCTCTGACTCTTACCACATCAGATTGGGTCAGCAGAAAGAAGCTATCGACGCCGACGCTATCAAGGAAGACACACAAGCTGCGGTGGAGACACTCCACGACCTGCAGTCACAGTTCGAGGCTGTAAGTACCACGGTCCGCGGGGCGATGGGCATTATTCTTATTAGAGTCAGATGAAACTCGTTGATATCGAACAACAAGCCCGCCAAATCCTCATCGGCTTGGGCTTTCGCGAAAGTGCCTTCGACAAACCATTCCTGACCATGTCGGGTGGCTGGCGGATGCGATGCATGTTGGCCAGCGTACTGATTCAGAACCCGGATATTATGATCCTGGACGAGCCCACGAACTTCCTGGACCTTCTGGGAGTGGTATGGTTGGAGAACTACCTCCAACAGTTGCGCGACATCTCAACGACCACCATTGTCCTGGTCTCGCACGACAGGGATTTCATCAACGCCGTCTGCGAAGAGATCGTCATACTCCGCGATGAAAAGCTCACCTACTTCAGAGGAAACTTGTCCGCATACGAGAAGGATTTTGAAGAACAGAAGCTGTACTGGGGCCGCATGAAGGAAGCCCAGGAGCGACAAACCGCACACATGGAAGCCACCGTTCGCGAAGCTGTCAAGACCGGAAAGAAGACCAACGATGAGAACAAGCTACGGATGGCCAAGTCGCGGCAAAAGAAACTCGACAACCGGATGGGAATCCAAGTCAACGCTAACGGAGGCCGGTTCAAACTTAACCGTGACCTTGCGGGCTGGCACTTCAGTGCACGCGCTGAAATCGAAGTGCCCACGGATGAGAAGGGCGCGACAATGGCCCTACCTGATGCCACTGAGCTGCGGTTTCCGGGTCCTCTGATCTCTCTAGAAGGAGTGACATTCAAATACAAACCTACTGACACACCGATCTTGAACGCAATTGACCTTGTTGTTCATATGGGCGATCGAGTGGGTATCATGGGTCTCAATGGCGCTGGAAAATCGACCCTAGTCCGTGTGCTGGTCGGAGGTGCCCTGCCGACTAAGGGCAAGGTCGCGAATCATTCCAGGCTGAAGCTGGGGTACTATGCGCAGCATTCCATTGAAGAATTGCAGGAACTAGGCCAGAGCGACCCCAGTTTGACTGCACTGGGGGTGATGTCGAAAGTCGTTGATGGCACGCTTAACGAAGGGGAACTTAGAGGACTGCTGGCAACATTAGGCCTCCAGGGGCGAGTAGTCTCCGACGTCGCTGTCTCCCGACTCTCCGGCGGCCAACTAGTGAGTGGCATGAATCGTGTGCCTCTGTTTGACATAAGCTGACGCATCGAAACTCCCCAGGTACGCCTAGCGCTGGCGAAGGTGATTTGGAATTCTCCGCATCTGCTTGTGCTGGATGAAATTACTACACATCTGGACTTCCATACCGTCACAGCACTTGCGTCTGCGCTGTCCTCTTTCAACGGAGCCATCCTGCTGGTATCGCACGACCGATTCCTCATGCGCTCAGTCATAGAAGGAAAGCGCGATCTGGACCACCAGTTAGATGAAGACTTTGAGGGGGTAGATGAAGAAAAAGACGAAAATCAAAGCAGAAGGCGCACCGTGTATGTCTTGAAAGGCGGCACGCTGCGGGAGCAGAGCAATGGGGTGGAGCAGTTTGAACAGAGTCTGGTGAAGAGAGTCCAAAAAATGCTCCCTATGCCACGATAGACATAGGGAGTAGTGTCCATTCAATCAAACCACCAAGCGTCTCTACAACATCTAACCTTCTCCTACGAAGACACTTGAATACGATAAAAGCCACAACTATTATATAGGTGAAAGGAACCCATTGGAGGACGTAATGCTCCTTAAGCATACGACCTAAGTCGTGCTTTTTTCATAGTACAGAATCCGGACTAGTCCCAATAGGGAAGCTCTATCGAGAACACGTCCACGTGACACTATCACCGTGTTAGTCACCGCCAGGCGGCGTCCTCCGTATCCGCGGAGAATCATCCCCGCTCTTATCACGAGCTCTCTCTATTATCCCCCCACAAGCCTATTTCTCTTACATATATAAACCCAAGGTTGTCTGGGATGCCGAAACTAACCTCGTGCTCGTCATTTCAAAGCAGATTCCCCTGCTCATGATGACTGAGTTCTTAATTCCCAAACGGGGCACCGTGCCCCTGCGGTCGTTAGCTGGATTTCCCCGCAGACGTGTCTGCCGGACTCCGACCAGCAACAAGACATTAACACAATGCCTTCGATCCTATAACACGAATACCGCCAATTCAGCCTCGAAAGAAAGTGGCGATCTCAACACTTCCGCGTCATATACTCCTCCAGCGTCAACTCCCTCCCCTAAACCCGTGTCGTCACGATGGTCTGCGCTACGGTCTGCGAAGCCCTTCTCTGAATTCTTGACGGACACCTTCAATCGCCAGCATGACTACCTGCGAATAAGCGTCACTGAGCGATGTAATCTCCGATGCGTATACTGCATGCCGGAGGAAGGGGTAGAGCTGTCGCCACCCGCCCGTCTCCTCACCTCGCCCGAGATCGTCTATCTGTCCTCGCTGTTCGTCTCGCAAGGGGTCACGAAGATCCGCCTGACAGGCGGGGAACCGACAGTGCGGAAAGACATAGTACCGCTGATGCAGTCGATTGGTGAGCTGCGGCGTCATGGGTTGCGGGAGCTATGCTTGACGACAAATGGGATTTCTCTCCACCGCAAGCTGGAACCCATGGTCGAGGCGGGGCTGACTGGGATAAACCTCAGTCTGGACACATTGGACCCCTTCCAGTTCCAAATCATGACGCGGAGGAAGGGCCTGGACGCAGTGATGAAAAGCATCGATAAAGTCCTGGAACTGAACAAGATGGGAGCTGGTATTAAACTGAAGATCAACTGCGTTGTGATGCGTGGAGTGAATGATCGGGAGATCCTCCCCTTTGTTGAAATGGGACGTGACAGCCCCATAGAGGTACGCTTCATCGAATATATGCCCTTCGACGGCAACAAGTGGAACCAGGGGAAGATGGTGTCCTACCAGGAAATGCTGGCCATCATTCGGGAGAAATACCCGTCGCTCGAAAAGGTTACCGACCACAAGAATGATACGAGCAAGACCTACCGTGTGCCTGGCTTCAAGGGCCGAGTCGGGTTTATCACTAGCATGACGCATAACTTCTGCGGTACTTGCAACCGCCTCCGCATCACTTCTGACGGAAACTTGAAAGTCTGTTTGTTCGGGAATTCAGAGGTATCTCTCCGCGATATCATTCGGAAGGAGAACAATGGCCAGCCCATTGACGAGGAAACAATGAAGGAACTGCGGTTCTTGGAGACAGCTCTCGCCGCTGCTCATACCCAGGATGAGACTGCATTGGTCAACCAGAGAGAGCGAGAGCTCCTTGACATCATCGGGATGGCGGTGAAACGGAAGAAGGCCAAGCATGCCGGCATGGGCGAACTAAAGAATATGAAGAATAGGCCTATGATACTTATCGGTGGGTAGGCACAAACCCCTCCTTGATCATTGAATATATGGCGATTGCATGTCATGACTTACGACTGTATGCATCCCTGGATGTATTTTGATGTGTATCATTGTTTTAATTGGTGTTTGATTCTTGAGATACCTTACCTGTGGCCGTGAAATAGTTAGTTTCTGGTCCGACTGTATCTACGAGCTGATGGCTGTTATTCGGACCGATGCTGATGGATGAGATAGATAATGTACATGTGAGGGCTTCTGGCACCAACAATTCGCATAGGCCATTTGCTATAATGCCCAGAACAAATCCCTGGAAAGCTATACCGACTCACATTCTGAGCTCTGGTGCACCTGTGGCGTCGCAAGTGCGACTTTACCATGATGAGCATCGCGGTACCTCTCAGCCACATAAGACTGAAGGCATGCGTAGCGTGTCTCTCCCTACAGAATCCGACACGGACCTACCGCATTTAACGCCGTCGCAAAACGTCCACATGACGAAAATCAGTCAGAAGCCGGTGACAGAACGGTCTGCAACGGCAACTTGCTACGTGCACTTCTCGAACGATCGTCCGTGGGAGCTGCTCCGGGAAGGCCGAGGAACACGCAAAGGAGATGTGTTCAGTGTAGCACGCATTGCCGGTATCATGGCGGCCAAAAAGACCCCGGACATCATCCCGCTGTGTCATCCTGGCATTGGGATCACTGGCGTTGAGGTGGACGTCCAATTAGTTGACCCTGCATCAGCGGGGAAGATCAATGGTGCTATGAAATATGGTGCCATGCATGTTATGGCAACGGTAAGCTGTCTGGGGCGCACGGGAGTGGAAATGGAGGCGATGACGGCGACCATGGGGGCTGCGTTGACCGTTTACGACATGCTGAAAGCCGTTGACAAGGGGATGGTGGTTGGAGGAGTACAGCTGCTGGAGAAGAAGGGCGGGAAAAGCGGGCATTGGGTGCGGGAGAAGGAGGTGAGCGATGATGTATAGTGTATGAATTGACCTTGGAAAAATAATGGTCCAGCCCTACCGTCGATAGAAACAGGTTAATATTAGCCAAGCCGGGCGTCGATCGCGGGCCCTTACCACTCTGGGCATGGACTCCACGTGCCGAGCTTGCTTCTTTTTTTCGAGTTTGAATCTCAGCTGAATGTTTCTTGCTTTTTACAATCACCTTCACCTATACTACTCCTCACTGTTACTTGGATAAAGCCGTTGAAATGGAATAACACACGCCTTTCCCCGTGATAACCTGTCTTTCTGTCAAATCCTCCACGAGAAGAAGATTTTTGACCCATCTACGCGTCTTATCGATTGCTTCAACCGTCACACCGCAACATTCTCCCTCTTTGGGCCTTGCTATCTTTCAGAAAACACACGCCTTGCGTTCCAACCACCAGCCTCCAGCTTCCTACTCAACATCCCAAACAATTGAACAATGTGTTATCGGACCCGACTAAAGAAGACCTTTTTATTCCATTTCTTTCAAAATCCTTGTGGGTAGCGGTGTGCGCCCCGCCGTAGGATAAAAGATCCTCAACGAACTTCATATCGCCTCAGCTTTTACGACCCCGGTGTCTAGTAACTTCCGAACGGCTTACGACTTCTGGCTCGTCATTGACGTTGCTAGAAGTTTTCTTTGCTCGACCCTAAGCTGCGTGCATTTGGTCGAGCAGGGAAATGATTTGTGAGTTGTCCACCCTATCACTACTTTACACGTTTCCTATTTCTCTATCTCGTGTACTCTTGCTCGATTGACTTCGAGCCCATCGTTGAGGTCATGGACGTTGAGCTTACTGACGTGACTTTTATATAGCCCGAGCTTGGTTCCGGCCTTTGGCCCGGAGCATTATCAGCGTGCTCCCACCACTCAACTTCATCACCCTTCACTATACCTATTTCATTTTTGTATCACTGGCATGCAGCCTGATCTTCTGGGGCACCACAAACCCCTTCCGTAGCGTCTCTTTCTGGGACTCTCTTTTCATGTGCGTCAGTGCAATGACTGGGGCTGGACTCAACACTGTAAGCCAACTCTCTGGTTCTAAGTCAAATTCTGGTGTGAATAGATGCTGACAGTCCTCTTTAGGTCGATCTATCAATTTTGAACACGTTCCAACAAGCCATCTTGCTCACTCTTCTTATCGTGGGGCATGCGATCCCTATTTCAATCACTGTGCTCCTCGTGAGAAGGAAGGCCTTTGAGACCAAGTTCAAAGGGATCTCGCACGAATGGGCGCAGAACAGAATTTTTCGACGTATTCGAAGTCTTGATCCGTCGTCTCATCGAAGGACAGATGCATCAAGTCCCGATTGGGGGGTTGACCAAATTAGACGCCCGGATTCCAAGGGAAGCGCCAAGGTCTCTGAGCCGGTCGATGGCGATGCCATCGAACTATCGACAAACACAGCAGATGATGATCATATCCGATGGACCGACGATGACCAGATCACCCTCAGCCACGTGCGTACCCACCGTCACCGTAATCACCACCACCTGTTCCACAACGCTGGCGTGGGGGCTCGGTTGGACTTGAATAACCATCCGAGTAATGTCACGCCACATCTGCCTGTGGTTGAAGAAGAGGAGGAGGATCTGCCGCCGCTGAAGAGCATGATACGTGGAACCCAAAAGTATTTTGCGTCCAAAGGCTCTGTTGCCAGAAACTCCCAGTTCTATGGCTTGACGGTGGAAGAGCGAGAAAAGCTTGGCGGGGTTGAGTATAGAGCCATCTCATTCCTGTCGATCGTCGTCTTCCTTTACTGGGCTCTGTTCCTTGTTCTCGGCATTGTTGGGATGGGAACGTGGCTGGAAGTAAACCATCCTGATATTCCCCGCAGGAATGGGCTATCACCATTCTGGACCGGTGCATTTTTTGCGGTCTCCGCCTTCGTGAACAGCGGCATGTCTCTTCTGGACGACAACATGACTGCGCTGCAGACGAGGTATGATCTATCACTGAATTCTGCCCAATTAATCATACTAATCGATGTACAGTGCGTACCCAATTATCACCATGGGGATTCTCATTCTTGCAGGAAATACACTGTATCCATGTTTTCTGAGGTTCATTATATGGACTATGCGACATTTGCTCCCGGGCGACGCTTCCTGGAAGCCGTGGGCGGTAACGTTAGATTTTATCTTGGATCATCCCAGACGAGTGTACACCAACCTCTTCCCGGCACGTCACACTTGGTATTTGCTTGGTACTATCATAGTCTTGAACGGCCTTGACTGGGCCATGTTTGAATTACTGGCCATTGGGAACAAAGACATTGAAAAACTACCCCCGGGTTATCGGGTCCTGGATGGACTATTCCAAGCACTCGCCGTTCGTGCTGGTGGTTTCTACGTCGTGACTATCGCCAACCTTCGCCAGGGCCTTCTTGTTCTATACGTCCTCATGATGTACGTCTCCGCATATCCAGTCCTGGTGACGATGAGAAACACCAACGTGTACGAAGAACGCTCTCTGGGGATCTACACGCATGACGACCCGCCAGAGGGCACAGGGTCCCAGAAGACCCCCAGCGTCTTCATGAGTCTTGTCCGGCACCATCTCCTCGGTAGGCAAGACGTGATGACGACGGAGTCATCCCGCAGCTACTTTGTCCACCAGCAGCTCCGATCCCAGCTCAGCCACGACATCTGGTGGATTGCCCTCGCGGTTCTTTTCATTGCCATTGCCGAGGGCCCCAACTACAGCAAGGACCCTGTGGCCTATTCGACCTTCAACATCATCTTTGAAGTTGTCTCCGCCTACGGCTGTGTCGGAGTCAGTGTTGGTTATCCGGGATCGAATGCGTCCTTCTGTGGCTCCTGGCACACCATCAGCAAGCTCATCCTTGCTGTGGTCGCTTTGCGAGGACGCCACAGAGGCCTCCCCGTGGCTATTGACCAGGCCGTGATGCTCCCGAACGAGTCCCTTGCTTGGGCTGAGGAGGAGGATGCAGCCTTGCGACGCGAGCAGTCGCGTGCTTTGGGGATGGATAAGATGCCTGTTGGAACTGTCTGAGGCGTTGATGCATCTCTAGATAAAGCATATAACCTTACCTGTCCTTTTCGAATGATTGTGTTCATGTTTGCTTCGTCATTCATACATAGAAGTTTTGTCATTTTAGTTTCCAGAATGCCAGCCAAAGTTTGTTTTGATACAGCTGCAGGATGATCGGCAAATAGTCTTCAACTTTTATATTGATATCAAACATATGAGAACATTCCAATAACTACATGTGGAATATAGAACTGAAACCTGCCAGAGACTAAACATAGAGAACCGATCTAGTCCTCTTCTTCGAATTCCATCACATCTTCATCTTCATCCTCCTCCTCTTCCTCATTCTCGCCTTCATCGGAAGAAACGACATCCTCATCGTCCTCGTCATCACTTCCACTCTCACTAGCCGCATCATCCATCAACATATCCTTATCCGCGTCCTTCTCAGCCGCTCTGCGTCTCTCCTCTTCCCGACGACCCTCTTCCAGAATCTTAGCCTTCTCTTCGCGCAGCTTGCGTTGAGACTTCACAAACGCTCCGAGAGGCGTCGCCGCCCAATCCACATCCTTCAGGAAGGTCTCGACCTCGGCACGATTACGCGGGGTGTACGAGACGTTGGCGCGGCGCTCCTCGATCCAGCGGGCGTTGGCTTCGACCTTCTGGACGAGAAGAAGGATCATCTGGTTGACTTTGGAGTTCTTGTTTCCGCCGCTGCGCGAGCTGGCCTGCTTGAGCCAGCGTTTCAGCGAGACGACGATGGGCACGGAGAGCTCGGGGAAGGCGATATGCTTGGTCCAGAGGACGAAGAACTCGGAGAGAAGCTCGGCGACCTGCTCGCCGACGCCGTCTTGGTAGACGCGGGTGCGGAGGTAGGACTTGGGGGCGCGGATGGCGGTGGTGAAATCGAGCTGCTTGAGCGTGCTGGATTTCGGGGGCTTGCGCATCTCGGCGAGGTTGAGGACTTCGATGAGCGCGGGCGCGAGCGGGATGTAGGTGCCGGTGGCGCGGGAGAGACGAAGGAGGGAGCGGGTGAGTTGGAAGCGGAGAGGGAAGTACTGCGCGGTGGGGATGAGGCGCATGGCGCCGGTTGTGATCTGGACGACGGGGTAGATCAGAGGGCGCATGGCGGACTCTTTGCCGGCTTTGGCTTCGGCGAGCCCGTCGCAGTGCTGGGAGAGCACGCGCGACCAGAAGTCGAGCGAGTGCACGTACTGCCAATTGTAGATGGTCTTGTAGGATTCCTTGGAGGTGTTCGTGATGCTGCTGCGGAGGTGGATGGCGAGTTGGCGGATGAAGTTGAATCCTGTCGTGTAGGAGACGTTCTGGTCGATGCCCCAGAGCTCGGCGGCGGAGTTCTTCATGAGGTTCACGCCGGGCAGCGTATGCACCGTCGTGTTACGGCTGCCCTTGACGACTCCTTCGTAGGAAGTCTTGAGAACAGTCTCCTTGATGCCGGCATCTCCCATGACCATCAGACGCCGTAAGAGGAGGAAACCAGTGATCCGGGTAGCCTCGGTGGTGGAGACATCGGCCCAGATACCGACCACGGTCTTGATCAGGGCCTTGAGGAGCTTCCTGAACTGCAGGAGATATGGAAGCATGGGCTCGACGGAGGAGAGAGTCAACTTCAGCGTCTGGGCATCGGAGAGATTCGTGAGCAATTGGTGGACGGAGGAGGTATGCGACTTGATGAGAGGAGTAAGGGTCTTGAATTTCTTCGAATCCAAAGACACTTTAACCTTGCCAGCAGCGGTCTCCTTGACGGGGAGATGGTGTGACAGAGTCTTGGGCACGGTGCCAAGTGCTGTGACAAGAACCTGATGATAGACGTCGGGGTCCGAGATGGAGTACTTCTGCTCCTGGCCATCGACTTCATCAAGGTAGGCCGCGGAACGGAAAGCAAGAACGGTCTGGCGCATCGCACGAATCGAGTGTTGCTCCTCCATCAGCTTCTGCCATTTCTTCACCATGTCGATGGTAAGTGTGTTATCCACCACCTCTTCTTCCTCTTCTGCCTCAACGGCCTTCTTTTTCTTCTTCTTTGCGGGACCTTCCTCCTCATCTTCGCTCAGCTCGAGCACTTCCGTCAAGTCTCCGTGGTCTCCAAAGTCCAGCAGCTCGGCATCGTTCTCTTTCAGGTACTTGTAGAATTCGGGATCTTTCTCCTTCAACGACTCGAGCTGGTCCTTATGTTCCTCGAAGGCGTCGGCGCTGGCTTCGGAGCCTGATTCGTCGTCACTCTGGACAACGGCGGCTTCCTCCTCCTCACCGCTCGATGCGGCGGACTCATCCTCTTCATCCTTCTGCTGCTCAGAGCGCTTGCGCTTTCCGGTCTTAGGAGTGACGTCCTTCTTGCGGGCCTTCTTGACCTGGTCGGCGTCGGCATCGGCGATATCGAAACCTCCAGCGAAAAAGTCGTCGACGTTCATTCCGGCGAAGGCATTCTTCTTCTTTCCCTTGTCGGCAGATTCTTCATCATCTTCGCTGCCGTCACGGTTTTCTCCTCGCCCCCTGGCATTGTCTGCTTTGCGCTTCTCCTTAAGGTGGTTGCGCTGCTTGATTTTCGCAACCGCTTTTCTGCGCTCAAGAACGTCTTTCAAGTGCTTCTTCTCGAACTTCTTGGTGGACTTCTTCTGAGCTCCCGCCATTTTGAATTGGAACTCCTACCCAAACACGGAGGTAGGATATGAACGGGGAGAGTAGGGGGGAATATCGGGGAATGGAGATGAGAGATATTGGATGCAGGAACAAGAAAAAAAAATTAAACCATGTCGGGGCAGAAAAAGGCGGTGAGATGGGTGTTCCTAAACGGGCGACCGCCTCCGTTTCTGCTGCGGAGTAGATAAGCCGGAGATCAACCCCCCATCTATCAACGTCTCCATGCATCACCATGTATGCGCAGCGCCCCCTGGCCTATGCGCCGACGCCCTACAGCTATACCCCTAATCCTGCTCGGTCGGCATCCATCAATCTCGATGAGGTATGTTGCGGTGTCTGGCGGGGCGTTTGCGGGGCTATTGGCTAACTGTACCAGGAAGTCAAGCTAGCCTCCAGCTCCGCGGATCGCGATCTCTATGAGTCTCTGGCCGAGATCTACAGCATTATTGTGACCTTGGATGGTCTCGAGAAGGCTTATATCAAAGATGTTGTTACCGAAGCAGAGTACACCGAAACGTGTACCCGGTTATTGAAACAGTACAAGTCCAGTCTTGGTGATGACAGCGTCGCGCGCGAATTCGTTGACTTGGAAACCTTCAAGCGTACCTGGGGGGTGAGCGTCTTTCCATCGTCTGTCTATATGCATATGTTAATTGATCCGCTTGTTCAGTTGGAATGCCCTCGGGCTACGGAACGCCTTCGGATCGGACTTCCTGCCACCGTTGAACAGGCTACGCATGGCACACCCTCTGCTAAGGTGGGCCCCGCGACATCAGGCCCTACGGGCGGTGCCTCGGGCAGTCTCATCTTGGCTGCGACGGAGAACTTTATTACTTTCCTGGACGCGCTGAAATTGAACATGGTGTCGAAGGATGCCCTCCATCCGCTACTGTCTGAGGTGATCCAGTCGGTGAATAAGGTTACCGACGGGGACTTTGAAAACCGGGGCAAAATCATCCAGTGGTTGATTGCATTGAATCAAATGCGTGCGACGGAGGAACTCAGCGAAGAACAGGCTCGGGAGTTGGCTTTCGATATGGAACAGGCGTATCAAGGGTTCAAATCGACGTTGGAATGAGTGGGTTGGGCCATTGTTTCGAGGCTTTGATGTATATATCTAACGTGCATGGATAAGACTGGGATCGGAGTCCGGGTGTTTAGGGGTTTTCATGAAGCGGATGTTCTATTTTGGTTCCCTTGTGCGATCTGCGATTTCTGCTGATTCTCGAATATAACGGACGAGATCTAGATGCATAATCGGTTTTTGCCTTCTTGACTCTCTGTTTGGGCCGCAGTGGATCCGTTCCGCGGAACGCCGCAGTCCCGGCCTTTCCTTTTTGGGCGATCACGACTTTTTTTTCTGCGTCGGCATCGGAAAGCCCCATAGTCGTTTTGCCACGGCTCGGACGCCTATATGAGCGGGTTGAGGACTTCTTCCCCTGCGTAGATAGCACCGACTTCCCTACAGTGAATATCATCTACACTACGGGTCTCCTACAACATGATCAGCGCCGATCCCGACGAGCCTCTCCACGGTATGCCCGCTCCAACTGCCTCCCCTGACTGATTTGCGCGATAGGGGAACTGATAAGCAGAGTCGCAGTCCTCGACCTCCCCCAGGTCCATACCAAACCATCCGGGACTGAAATCATACGAGCTCTCGACCTCCTGGCCATCAAACCGCGGAGTTTCAGCTCCAATGCCCAGGAAGCGGTGAAAAGGCCCGCCGTTCAACCGGCGGGGGTCACTCGTTATCTGACATCGTTCATCTCCAGTTCTCTCTCGTGGCTGGAAACCGATGAGCTTCGGGAAGCTGTATGGGACGCGGCCGCAGCTCGATTGAGCGAACGTTCAGGCCGATCCGGTAAGTCGAGCGGTTCCTGCATGGTGGCTGTAGTTCTCCTGGCCCACGCAGGCTGACGTTCGTGTGATTCTTCAAATAGCAATGCCAGCTATGTCCCGCGTCTTTGCAATCCCAAGCCCATGGGGCGAAGAACTTACCCTGACACTCCACGAGCCATCCTTGACGGCCGACAACCTGGGAATGAAAACCTGGGTCTCTTCGTACCTCCTCTCTCGGCGCCTCCACTCTCTCCTTGATTCCACCCCGCAACTTGTGCCCTCCACATCCACCACCCACAAGGCCGACCGGACGCTCCGCGCCCTGGAGTTGGGAGCAGGCACAGGCCTTGTCGGCCTGTCCTTCGCAGCCATTCGCGGCTCCTCCGCCTCGATCCACCTCACGGATCTGCCGGATATCGTGCCGAACCTATCTCACAACACCGCTTTGAACGTAGAACTCATGAAGAAGACTGGCGCGACGGTGACGACGGGAGTCCTGGACTGGTCTGTCGCACCTACTCCCCTCCCCACACCGGCGGAACAGTACGACGTTATCCTCGCAGCCGACCCGCTCTACTCACCCAATCATCCGAAATGGCTGGTCGATACCATCACGCACTGGCTGAGTCGGGGTCTTGATGCACGGGTCGTGCTTGAGATGCCTCTCCGGGATGCGTATTTGCCGCAAGTGCAAGAACTGCGGGAGCGGATGGGAAAATTAGGCCTCGCAGTTGTCGATGAGGGAGAGGAGATCGGGTACGATGATTGGGAGACGGCGGACGGGGGTGCGCTCGCTGTCCGATGCTGGTGGTCGGTCTGGGGATGGAGCGAGAAGCTCTAGCGATTCCAGGGCAGATCACTGATTGCGTCTGATCATGATCCACGATGTCACGAAAATACACGATACACGAACGATGATAGAAGCGCATGCATAGCAATAGAGTTGAATGCCATTACTATACTGTTCATCGTTAGTAGTATAGGCTATTGGCAGGAGAGTAAAATATGCTTTGTGGACATAAGAATAGTCCCGCGTCAAGATATTAAAAGCCATATAGATGTATCAGATATTAAAGATCTTTGATCCGCGGCGTAAGAGCCACTTCGTGAGTGAGTAATTCGAGAAGAGAGTCGAGACCTACGCTCGCATTTCTCCTCCCTGCTCACGTGCCCTACGACCTATGACGTTATGGACATTGAAACCTCTACAAATGTCAACAAACATCAACATAACAAAACGGAATTCCTTCTAGCATATTCGAACTGGCTTGAATTGACAATTATGTTAAATAACCCTGAAGGAGACGCCGCCGAAGCCCTCGTGTGCGCGCAGAGTGCTGCTGTCGACGAGTTCGAGCCCACTAGTGGCAGCATCAATCGACTTGTTGACCACCACAATATCCATCGAGCCTACTAGCTTGCCCTCGACAACTTCAACCTTGAGCTGGTCGCCTTCACTGCTGATATCAATGACAGTCTTGAACCCACAGGGGCTCTCATGGTCGGCGATCTTCGCTGTTGTCCGCATTCCCTGCACCCAGTTCACCAACAGCCTCACATCCTTGCCCCAGTCATATACCACACTGTCATTGATTGCGTTCTTACTCTGGAAAACCGATGATCCAGGTCTTAATAAGACCGGCGAGGAGAAGTAGTCATGCTCTTCGGTGATATAGCCGCCTCCCGTCCGCATTTTCTGGTCAATGATACCATACCAGTCTCCCTTAGGGAGATAATATTGCACTCTGCCCTCGGTATTAAAGATCGGAGCAACAAAGATGCTGTCACCGAGGAAGTACTCCGTGTCTTGATACCAAGCCATAGGATCCTCGGGGTATTCAAGGAACAAAGCGCGCAGCATAGGAACGCCTGTTTGGTGCGTTTGAATGGCACTGGAGTAAAGGTAAGGCATGAGGGAGTGCTTGAGCTGAACGAAATGTTTCAGGACCTTGTCAGCCTCGCCAGTCTCGTCAATTAGCCAAGGAACCTGGTTGCCATTGTTAGTCTATGCAAAAAGTCGAGCGTTGCACTAGTCAGACCAAGGACTCACCCGGAAGCTGCCACTGCCGTGTAATCTGGAGTGGCTGGATAGTAGTCCAAAAGCAATCCATCTCTTGAATAACCCGGGGTCAGGTTTGCCTTCGAACCCGCCGATATCATGGGCCCAGTAGCCAAACCCGGACAGTGCAAGACTCAGGCCACCACGCAGCGTCTCGGCCATTGCTTCAAAGGTGCTGTATGGGTCGCCGCCCCAGTGTACGGGGAAGCGTTGGCACCCTGCGGTGGCGGAGCGTGCGAAAAGGGCGGCCTTGTGCTCGCCGAAATTCTTCGCAAGGACCTCAAACGTGACCTTGTTGTAAAGGAAGGCGTAGTAGTTGTGCATTTTCTCGGGGCTGGATCCGTCGTGATAGACAACATCGCCCGTGGGAATCCGCTCACCGAAGTCGGTCTGCAAGGAAATTGATGAGAAGAGGCTCGGATACTGTCACAAAAAGGGCGTGTTACCTTGAAGGAATCTACTCCCATGTCGACGAGGGCCTGCAGTTTGTCCTGGTACCACTTGCAGGCGTCGGGGTTGGTAAAGTCGATGAAACCCATTCCGGCTTGCTGGATAGAGATTTGGTTAGCCTCAGGGAGGACTCTGAAACTCGGCATCGGGACATACCCAGAAATCATACTGCCACACACTTCCGTCGGACTTCTTAATGAAGTAACCTTTGTCGGCAGCTTCGTCGAAGATTGCGCTCTCCTGGGCGATGTATGGGTTGATCCAAACGCAGATCTATGTGATTGGAGTGCATTACACATTAGCTTCCACAGTGTCACCAGTCAATCGACAATTATAGGGGCATACTCACATGAATCCCGCGATCCTTGATTCTTGCCAATTGCCCCTTTGCGTCTGGGAAATATTCCTTGTCGAACTCATAATCGCACCATTTGAACGCCGGCATCCAGAAGCAATCAAAATGGAACACGCTGACCGGGATGTCTCTCTCCTTCATCCCGTCAAGGAAAGAGGTAACAGTGCCTTCGTCATATTCCGTCGTGAAACTGGTACTGAGCCAGAGTCCAAAGGTCCATGCAGGTGGGAGCGCTGGTTTTCCGGTGATTGTGGTGTATCTTTCGACAATCGACTTAGGGTCTGGTCCGTAAATCAGGTACATGGCGAGGGACTCTCCTGGCACAGAGATATTGACCCGGGTTGTCCGTTCCGACTGGATTTCGAGCGAAATGAAATTCGAAGTGGGAATGAACACGCCATATCCAGCAGAGGTGATGAAGAAGGGGATGTTCTTGTAAGTGAGTTCGGAGCCAGTGCCGCCGTCCTCATTCCAAATCTCGACGCTCTAAAGAGAATTCCATCAGCAGATGATTCTACAAATTCTAATTGGGAAGGGTATCTACCTGGCCATTCTTGATGAAAGGTCCGAATCGCTCACCAAGTCCATAGACTTTGTCCCCGACTCCAAGTTGTAGTTGATATGTCACCCATCTTTGACCTTTATTGGGGTCGAGATAATTGGCGCGAGGATGCAGGGCAGTGGTTCCTTGCTTGATATAGCCAACTGAACGCCAGCCTAGCCTCGTGAGAAGCTTCTCATGCGCACTGAAGCTAATATCGAAGGATTTTGGTCTTGTGTCCACCGTCGCAGAGATAACACCAGTCTGGAGCTTCAAGCTGTCGGGGGACTTGGTTGTTTCAACGTTGGTTGCACGGTTCACTTTTTCTTCCTGGAAACAGTTCAAAGTGCGGGCCCTTGGGTCACGCTCTTTTGCTTTGTCCAGTGGGTAGATGACAGATGCAAAACGTTGTCAATTGGCGAACTGAGGGAATGCGTCAACGTCGGGGTTGTTCAATGTATCGCCTCGAAAGTTGATCGGCTTGGATGACTACCACGATCGTTAGCTTTGTGACATTCGCATGTCTCAGGAATCTCTCACAGTCACAAAGTGAAGGCTGTCTCCGCGGGTCTCGGCTTTGACAGTCTCAACTGCCCAGTCAAGAAGAGTATCTGGCGCCGGATGCCAGCAGCCGTGAGAGAACTTCACCATGGTGCTGTACTTGGCTCGAAGGATGAGTTGCAGGAGTGCCGGCTACCTACGGAGTCGACCTCGACGCTTTATACAACCTCGTGGAGCTTCTTGTCGAGATAGGTAGTCAGTGTCGGAACCCGCCGACTACTACATCCAGCAATCCGAGCAATTTAGGCTCCCGGATATATCCCGCGATCCTTTGACAGTCTCTTCGACGTCCCAAAGATAGTATATCTTGATTTTTTATCCCGGATATCCCCCTCTCTTTCCCACGCCAAGGCCGAGGGATCGCACCAGCGTGGGGGTTGATGTCGGACCATATCCGCCATCGGTAGCAGTCTGCACGACGGATTCGCCAAATCGACTAAAGATGTATCCAGCCGTTTGGTGAATGACTGGGAGGCGTCGGATATCTAGCCCGTTTGGGGGTTTAGCCTGCCCTCAATTCTTGGATCTTCCCCACGGGGCGCTGGTATACTGTTCTTTGTCTCGGCTTTTATGCAGGGTCTGAGTCTAAGGAATCAGGCTGATTTGGATGAGAAGCAGTAAAAACTTGTTATATAGCAAATGCCAGGATGCAAGGGTGGTCAGCTATGCCCTCTTGTGTTCACGTTGAACTCGGCATATCCCTCCCATGATGACCACCTCGAACCACAAGAGCATCAACGCCTACACATGGGGCTGTGGACTTTTTGCCGCGGTAAGTAGAGACATACAGGTATTTAGTGCCCGAACTGCTGCTCATCGTTCCCTTCCATGCCTCTAGGTTGGCTCCTTGTTGTATGGTATCGATTCGGGTATTGTTTCTACAGTCATAACGCAGCCTACCTTTCTGGAGTACTTTGCTCCATTTGATCGTGAGCTCCCTGTCCACTTGCTTCCATTGTTGAGTGTCTTGGCCTGCGTGTGTGATCTAACCCCGCACAACAGCGAGCATCAAGGGTGCGGTGGTCAGTACATTCGGCGCCGGTTCGGTGTTCGGCGTCTTCTTTGCAGGATGGAGTGCAGACTTCTTGGGCAAGTACAGCTGTCTGATTCACTACATGGATCGAATATCAGCTAACACCTCCTAGGACGTAGGAAGACTATTGCTATTGGCGCGGTCATTGCCTTGCTTGGTGGTATCATCCAAGCCGCTGCAGTTCATGTCGGCATGCTCATAGCTGGGCGCATCGTTGGTGGTTTCGCAGTCGGAATTATGAGTACGTTCCTTACCTTCATACATGGCATGTCTTCTAATGTGGTCTAGATATGACTATTCCCATCTATAACTCGGAGATTGCCCCATCACACAAAAGAGGTCTAATCGCTGGATTGCACGCACAATTCGTCGGCGTTGGATTCGCCGTGGCTAACGTACGTTGAGTCTTGCCTTCTCTGACTATTTGCTAATTATCATGAATGATTCGGGGTGCTAAAATTAACTTAGTGGGTTGGGTTTGGCTGTTCCTATGCAACGGGCGAATTTCAATGGCGTTTCCAGCTGGCGTTCCGTAAGACATTCCAGTCCCTGTAAGCTAGGATTTGCCCTGACCTTTACATCTAGAATGTCTGCCAGCTCTTATTGTCCTAGCTGGAATCTTCTGGCTTCCATACTCGCCTCGTTGGCTTCTTGAGAAAGAACGTGACGATGAGGCTCTTGCAGTGATCAGGCGTCTGAACGGGCACAAAGGTCAAGACGATGCTTTTATTCAAGCAGAGTTCTATCAGATGCGTGAGCAATTGCGTTTTGAGAAGAGTCAACATGTGGCTGGATGGGGAGAACTGTTTACACGGCCCAGCCACCGCAAGCGCCTTATCCTCGCAGTCCTTGTCCAGGCGTTCACTCAACTCTCGGGTATCAACGTGATCAACTACTACCAGACGGACCTGTACAAGGGACTTGGAATGGTTGGACACAATGTCACATTACTTGCAGGGTACGGAAATGCATTCTCTCCTGTTGACTCTGACTTTACTGACGGCTGGTCAGTATCTATGGACTCGTTGGTCCACTTGCAAACCTCGTGTGTCTGTACTATGTCGATTCATGGGGTCGTAGAAAGACCCTTTGGATCACTGGTATCATCATGGCGATGGACATGGCGCTGGTCATGGGTCTCTCCGGGGGGTTCAACCACACTGACAACACAGTGGCCAAAGGGTTCACCATTGCCTTTATCTTCTGCTTCTCCATGATGTAAGTGACCAAACCGGATACAGACTGAAAGAATCCTTCCGGGTGAGTGGAAGATCGTTTCAGTCTGCAGATGGTGCTTGGTTCTGTTCATGGACTCGGCTCACACATTCCTTAGTTACTCGCTTGGATACAACAGCATCCACTATATTTATGTCCCCGAGATCATGAGCATGGCGATCCGCGCCCGTGGTTCGTCCATCGCCATCGTGTGCAACGTGCTGATCAACATCATCTTCAATCAGATCTCTCCCATCGCATTCGCCGAAGTGGAATACAAATACTACGCGCTGTTTATCTGCACGAATCTTGTTGGCGCAGTGACAGTGTTCTTCTTCTTCCCTGAAACAAAGGGCAAGTCCCTGGAGGAAATTGGTCGTATCTTCGGTGATGAGGTCGTCGTGGGAGACTTGGACGAGGTACGTGAGAAGATCGAGGCCGCTGAAGGTGAAATGGCGGAACACATTGAGGAGCGAAAGTGATTGTTTCGTCAGCACCGGCGGAAAAGATCGAAGAACGTGAAAGAGGCCTGAGGGAAATTTCAATACTGCTATTACACGAAGATTATGTCCTGTGATTGCAGCTAATGTTGAACGGGATTCGGTGTTCCTATGTACCGATCCCCGTCCAGCTCGTATTCTTCTCTTACTCTCCCCCTCTGAAGCCCCTCTTCCACCGGACTTCCAACTCCACAAGTCCTAAAGTTACATGCTACGATGGATGGTCGAGTGCCTAGTCCGGTGAATCAGGTAGTGAATACTTCCTCGATTTATAATCATTCTCAAGTCTTAACATATCGTCTCACTGGGGCGTTCTATACTTCGTTATCTGTTCACAACGTGCTACTTTTGATGCCGATGCCGACTTCCCCAAAGACTAGCTACGTGATTACTAGACACTAAAAGATACAAGGATCAACAGCACCCACGGAGTTCGGGCTCTGCTCAGACCGATCCCAAGCTCAAGCCGTCAGCACTCTTCATTTACCTATCTTATAAGTGAAACCGGCCCATCATGCCAACAAGGGGTAGCCATGTTGCCATGTCACCAGCCGTTCACATTGACCATAGTCACAGAACGACAGACCACTCTAGCATACTAACATCATCTGCCAGATTCCCGCCTGACTGTGATATATGCCAGACGTACCTGCCACTATACCCCTGCGGAGGGTCTCAGAATCCTCCGCATCCAACGACAATGAACCGAGCTCTAAGGAGCCCTCAATATCCAACGACCGAAATGTGACCTTGTCGCAGTCTAGTACCTCATTGGAAGATAATAAAACAGCGGGAGATGAAAAAGCACCCGTTCATCAAGAGATGGAACAGGACGACGTGAATACGCAAGATGTTTCCGGCAGCCAGGAGGCACCCGGCACCACAGATGAGAGCGAGTATATCTCCGGGATGAAGCGATATTCCCTTATGGCATCATTAGTCTTGTGTTTCTTTTTGATTATGCTCGACATAGCGATTGTTTCAACGGTATGCTCCCAGCAAAGGAGCTGTAAAGGCCGATAAACACAAGCTGATCGGTCTCTCAGGCAGTTCCAAAAATCACCAGCCAGTTCCACTCGCTCGGAGATGTGGGCTGGTATGGTAGTGCATACCAACTATCATGGTAAGCTGCAGACGGTGTTTTGTATCACTGTTTAGTTTCTGACTCCCAGCAAAGTGCTGCTCTCCTTCCCCTAGCTGGGAAGGTGTATTCCAATTTCAAACCAAAGGTGCCATACTCGTCTGGGAGTGTCTCGGCAAGATCGTTTCGCTAACACATAGCTCGTCAGTACACCTTTCTCGCTTACTTCGGAATCTTCGAGTTGGGTTCGCTTCTCTGCGCTGTGGCTGTCTCGTCCAAAATGCTCATCGTGGGGAGAGCTGTCGCTGGGATAGGAAGCTCTGGTCTCCTCAATGGCGGTCTTACCATTGCCTCTGCGGCCGTCCCCTTACACCAACGACCCAAGTATTTCGGCATTATGATGGGCATATCTCAGATGGGGATCGTCTGTGGACCGCTCCTGGGCGGAGCGTTCACTTCGTATGTCACTTGGCGATGGTGTATGTCTGTCAACACCCGGATGACTACCAAGTCAACAAAGCTGAATCGACAATAATTCTCCAGGTTTCTATATCAACCTCCCGATCGGCGCCGTCGTCGCTGTCCTGCTATGGATTGTCGAAATTCCCTCCACGGTCAAACCACGGGCTCTGTCGGTGTTGGAAATCATCAGAACCAAGCTCGATCTCTTTGGGTTCGTGCTCTTTGCCCCAGCAGCGATCCAGTTCTTCCTCGCGCTGGACGAGGGGGGCCGACAGTACGCATGGAATAGCTCAGTGATCATTGGCCTCTTCTGTGGTGCCGGGGCAATGATCATCCTGTTTGTCATCTGGGAATGGCGCCAAGGCGACAATGCAATGATCCCCTTTTCGGTCATCAAGCTCCTCCCAGTTTGGTCGTCCTGTGTGGCGATGATGCTCTTCTTTGGGTGTCTTCAGATGACGGCTTACTATCTTCCCATCTATTTCCAGACCGTGAAGCTGGCCACGCCAATGCTGAGTGGGGTGTATACTCTACCGAATATCCTCGGCCAGCTCATATTTGCCGTGATAGGTGGGATAGGCAGTGCGTATTCTTTCTCACTCTTTGACGCCACTCTGTCTAACCTATGGAACAGTCGGTCGGCTGGGTTACTATCTCCCATTTATACTTGCCAGCTCCATTCTCATGTCCATCGCCAACGGTCTTCTGTCGACACTGTCGCCCAGCACCTCCACAGCGAAATGGGTAGGGTATCAGATCCTCCTCGGTGTCGGCCGCGGCCTCGGGACGCAAACCAGCATTATCGCCGTTCAGAACACCATCGCCCCTGCCATGATCCCCGTCGCTATGGCCATGATATCATTCAGCCAGACGTTCGGCGGCTCGATCTACCTAGCTATTGCCCAGACTATTCTCACCAACAGCCTGTCGAGCGCCCTTAAGAAGCACCCAGACATCGATGTGGCAGCTGTGATTGCGGCCGGGGCCTCCCCGTCCGGTGTTGTACAGGCTGCCGATGGCGATCCGGCAAAACTAGCAAAGATTCTGGCCGCGTACGCGAAGAGTGTGGATAACACTTTTTATCTGGCAGCCGGCTCGACGGCGTTGATTTTCTTTGTTGCCTGGGGCATGGGCATGAAAGATATTCGTAAAAAGGACAAGACGATTGAGCCAAACGCGGACGAAGAGAAGGGGACTGTTTAGACATTGCTCTTAGATCGTTCTTGTACTGCGATATGGCGAAACCTCCGCTCGATCGTGCAAATCCAGCCTAAACTAGATGCCTGTTCTCCCACCATGAGATTGAGCTCGGCTATCCGAGTTTGTTCGCGGTATAACGCCATCCGTGTTGAAAATGGCATTATTAGAGGAGCCCACTCGGACAACCGCCGAAAATACAAGACGGCTTCTCCCGACAAGGTTACATCGTTATGCGCGATAAGATGCTGAGGGGACAAGCAATCGCCAAGGATCGTCAGTGGCCTCTGCACGATAGATGCGATATGCAGGCCGTGGGTTATCGTTGGAGGGATCTATCTCACGACCTGCACAATCATTCATTAGAACGTCTCAATGTTCCAGAAGAAACAATTTAGTACTTCGGAGTACACGATCTGGGTCCATGCATGGCGAACCACGCTATCATCGCCCTAAAACCAACCATGCTTGTGCCGCCATTAAGCCGGGCTATCGCATCATGTGGATAGCTAATTGATGATGGCCAGTGTAACGTTGGATGCACCTCGCGCGACCGGAGCTGTCTTGACGCAAGGACTCGATCGTGTCGCAAAGGTCCATATATTACCCTCCGGCCCATATCTAACCGGCCCAGTTCTCCTTCAGATTCGCACTCCTTGGGCCGCTACCAAAGACATTCAATTTTTACCGTGCGAATCATCGATTCTCCGGTCGCAAGATGCCACATCAAGCCGAAGGACAGATATCGAAGACGGCCTCGGGTGTAAAAGCAAGCACGGTGACGGAAGAGCCGATAGCAACGCCTGGATATGAGAAGACTGAAGTAGACGAACCGGATACCTTGAGATCGCAGTCCCATGACGGTGTGCAATATGTCAAGGGGCATCCTGTTGTTCGAAACGGTAGGGCAGCCGTGTACTCGCATATCTTTTGCACATTCTAACTAACACCTTGAAGGCGTTGATGTCTCCAACTTTATCATCTCAGATAGAGACGATGGCGATCCAGCCTTGACCTTCCGCTCTATTGTTCTGGGCTCCATCTTCACAGCCCTTTCGAGTGTCATTACCATGCTCTACGTCTTCAAACCGTACCAAGTCCAGGTTTCTCCGGTCTTCATACAACGTGAGAAATCCATGCCCATCATGCTTTAACGCTATACACCTTCTAACCAGACAGCTTCCAGTTCTGGTGTTTCTCTTTGGAAAAACATGGGCTATGATCACGCCTCGTCCAGAGAAGTCCAAATGGAAATGGCTCCAAACTACCCTCCGCTTTCTCAATTTCGGTCAGCACTTCGGCATCAAAGAGCATGTCGTCGCAGCTTTAATCGCATCATCCGGTAACAACGGCTTGTCGGGCGTTGAGGTTTACGCTGTCGAAAGACTGTTCTACAACATCGGCGTGAATGCAACAACCGCCGTCCTGTCTACCTTCTCGATATCATTGTGTGGATTTGTCCTGGCAGGCTTACTCCGGCCGCTCATTGTCTATCCGGCCGAAATGGTCTACTGGTCGACGCTGCCTCAAGTGGTGCTCTATCAGAATCTTCACTTTGACCCCAAAGCCAACAAATCTCGCCTCATCAAGTTCGGTTGGGCTCTTGCATTTGCGGCAGTGTGGGAGCTCTTTCCCGCGTACATGGTGACCTGGTTTGGAGGCATCTCTATCTTCTGTCTGGCCTCGATGAAGGCACCGAAACATATTCGGACCGTGTTCACCACGATATTTGGAGGAGCCTCGTCCAATGAGGGAATGGGGCTATTGAACTTTTCCCTAGACTGGCAGTACATCCAGAGCACATATCTCTCCTTGCCATTCAAACAGCAGGTCAACACGTGGATTGGGTATGTTATCTGGTATGTCGTCATGCTCGGGCTGTTCTACGGCAACGCGTGGGATGCGAAAAGGTTCCCCTTCATGTCGACGTCTCTCTTCTTGAGTAGTGGAGAAAAGTTCTCCGCGACGTCTATTGTGAATAGCAAAGGCACGGTCGACTTTTCCAAACTCAAAGACGTCGGTCTACCCTATCTTACCTCCAGCACTGTCTGGGGTTATCTGACGCAGAATCTGGCGATCGGCGCATTGATCACCCACGTTGCCATTTTCTACGGCAAGGACATGGTCCTCGCATGGAAGCAGGCCAGGAGCAGAGCCCAGCCAGACCGCCATTATCAGGGCATGCTGAAGTACAAGGAAGTGCCACTCTGGTGGTACCTAGTTCTGTTCGTCCTAGCTTTCCTCGCCGGGTTGATCGTAAACATCAAGGGGCAAACGACGCTGCCGGTATGGGGCTACATCATTGCTCTGCTTCTGGGAGCTTTTATCAGCCCATTCTCCTGCATCCTCTACGGTCTTTACGGGACTGGTATTGCAACCAACCAACTCTCCAAGATGGTCGCCGGGGCCCTCCACCCCGGCCGACCCCTTGCCGGTCTGTACTTCGCCAGCTGGTCGCACCAAGTCATTCTTCTATCCGTCAACCTGTCAAACTGGCTTAAGGTCGGCCAGTACACCAAAGTGCCGCATCGCATCATGTTCGCCACCCAAATATATGGAACTCTCCTAGGTGCAGCGCTGAACTATGTCGTGATGACCACAATCGTCACCAACCAGCGCGAAATCCTTCTCGATCCCATTGGGAATAATGTCTGGAGCGGATCAACCGTGCAATCCCTCAACTCACAGGCCGTCACATGGTCGCTCGCAAAGGAAGTATACGGTGTCAACGGCCGATACGTGGTCGTGCCCCTGGGTCTAGTCATCGGCCTTGCCCTCCCGTTTCTGCATTGGGGTTTGATAAAGTTATTTCCGCGGATTCGACAATGGCCGCTGAACACGGCGATTATCACGTCATATGCTGGGCAGGTGTACTTTGGAAATACGTCGTGGATCTGGTCTTCGATTGCTGTTGGCGTGTTTTCTCAGGTTTGGCTCAGACGGCGGATGCCGAAGATCTACAACGACTATAATTATCTGATTGGGGCTGCACTCGACGGTGGATCGCAGCTTATCGTGTTTATTTTGTCTTTTGCCGTGCTCGGTGCAAGTGGCACAGAACGTCCGTTCCCGACTTGGTGGGGGAACCCAGATGGTAATCCAGATCATTGCTTATAGTTATCTTGTGGGATTAGACCCGCCTGGTCAGTGGATTTTGGGATTTAGATTTTTACGTGGAATATCAAGTTAGATGCCATGCCTTTCAACCAAACTATCCCGGACGATTTACTCAAGCTCCAGTCTAATTCTCATTTCAATGAGGGCCTTCAGTCCCATACATAGACTCATTTACCGTCCATTTGCGTGTGAGACGCGCAATACCTACTAGGCACCTAGTCCCCGACGCGAGGATGGCGTATAAAGCCTCCCGGGTGATGCAACCCGCATAGACAGACACTTCCATCACAGCCCAACGGCGGTTTCTTCTTTATACACAGATAGCATTGGTTCGATATGACGTTCTATATCGTAAACAAAGCTAGCTACTAGTTAGAGCACCAGCCAAGGACGCCGTCCGGTGAGGAGATACAGGTCCTACAGGTTCTCTAACCATGATCCCATTACTCCGCTCTGTCACGACATAGGAGTACTATAGTGCTATATATTCACCACAATCACAGACATGGGGGCTTCTTGTGCATACAGACCTCCTTGAATATCCGAGGCATCCCTTCTTCCCCCCCCCCCCCCCCCGCGGAAACCTGACTGTGGACGAATCCCAGTCGGTGCAGGTTTCTGCTAACGAAACGGGGACTTCCCCCAGCGGCAGCATCCTGGGTGCTACTGGACACCAACGACAAAAGCGCAATCATGGGGGATACAGTACCTTTTAGGGAACAGAGAACTACCGCTTCTACCGTCCCATTGACAGCTATGAAGGCATTCACCGCTGGGACCCGGAGTTTCAATGGACAGAGAAAGAGGAGCAGAAGATTGTCCGAAAAGTAGGATACTCTCGTGGATACCAGACATCAGCGTCTAACAGCGCCGGGTAAGATTGACGCGCGAGTCTGCACATTTGCCTGCGTGACCTTTTTCGCATTGCAGCTTGATCGGGGAAACGTCTCACAGGCGCTGGCGAGCACCCTCCTGCAAGACTTGAAGATGACAAGTAATGACTACAATCTGGGTCAGACCATCTTCCTCGTGTGCTTCCTGCTGGCGGAGCTGCCATCCCAGTTGATGTCCAAGCGGGTCGGACCCGATCGCTGGATCCCTCTTCAGATGGTCGCTTGGAGCTTGGTCGCAGCCTGTCAGGCGTTTCTGAAGAACAGAGGGTCGTATTTTGCCTGTCGTGCGCTGCTGGGCCTTCTGGAGGGTGGTTTGTAAGTGGCAAGATGTATACGTGCCCAATGCTTTGATCTAAACTGACAGCCTCCAGTATCCCCGACACGATCCTCTTTCTCTCCTTCTTCTACAAGTCCAAGGAACTCCCCAAGCGCCTAGCCTGCTTCTGGATCTCCCTCACAATAACAGGCATCATCGGCGCATTCCTGGCATTCGGCTTCCTCCACATCAAAGACTCCACCGGCGGCGGATCCTGGCGCTATCTCTTCGCGTACGAAGGCCTCATCACCGGCGTGATCGGCATCATCGCCGCCTTCTGGATGCCCGCCTCGCCGGTCCAGACCAAGGGCGGCTTCCGCGGCAAAGACGGCTGGTTCACCGAGCACGAGGAAAAGATCATTGTAAACCGCGTTATCCGCGACGACCCCAGCAAGGGAAGCATGCACAACCGCCAGGCCGTCACCCCCAAGCTGCTCTGGGAGTCGCTCAAGGACTACCACATGTGGCCGATCTACATGCTCGGTCTCGTCTGGATGATCCCCACCACGCCCTCCACCAACTACCTCACCCTCCAGCTGCGGTCGCAGGGCTTTTCAACCTTCCAGACGAGCCTTCTGACCATTCCGGCCGCGGTCCTGGCCATCATCACCATGATCGGGATTACGTGGGTTGCGGAGCGCACTGGCCAGCGCTTGCTCTGCGGCGCCTCGGTCGAAGTGTGGAATCTGGTTCTGCTGATTGCGCTGGAGGTCCTTCCCGAGAGGAGCATGCCCTGGCCGCGATGGGTCATTCTCTCGCTTCTTGTTGGCGGGCCGAGCATTCACCCCGTCGTGGTGGCTTTGACCTCGCGCAATGCGGGATCGGTGCGGACGCGGACCGTTGCGTCGGCGCTGTATAACATGTCCGTGCAGCTTAGCAACATTGCGGGCGCAAATGTGGGCTATCTTCCTGTCTTTTTCTGTTCGTTAGATGCAACGCTAACGGGAGCAGGTATACCAAGCGAAAGATGCCCCCTACTATAAACATGGAAACAAGGTGTTGATCGCGTTGGCGGTGGTCAGCATGTTTCTTTTTGTTGCAGCGAAGCTATACTATGATTTCTGTAACCGGTAAGCAACTCAGATCTTGTATGTTGGGATCTTGCTGATGCAGTGTGGCTCAGACGAAACGCCGCCAAATGGAATGCGTTGACAAGCGAACAACGCGAGACGTATTTGCGCGAGAATCCTATTTTAACTAATAAGAGGTAAGCAGCGGTCCAAAGCCCTTTAGAAATTGGCAAGCTCATGTATTCGCCGCAGGATCGATTTCAAATTTGCATTGTGAGATGTCTGAGTGGTATAGCTGTGCGGTTGGGTATGGTTCCGTTTTCAAACCATCAACCTGACATGACATAGGCGACGCTGTATGGAGAGCGTAGAGAGCATCAAAGAAAAGTCAAGCATATACATGGTCTTCACTGCTCTTGTAAGGCTGTAGATACTACCTAGTAGTGAAGCAGATGGTGTATACAAAGTATGAGCAGCTCACGTGCATGCGCCCTATGACGCCATACCTGAACGGTTCCTTATCAGCGGGTCCAGCAACAACACCGCATTCGCCTCATCTTCGACTATCTGCGAATACATCCAGCTGCACAGTTCCTCGCATCTACACCACATTATATCTCAGATTCGCCAACTCCAACCATGGTAATCGGTCTCCTCGCAATCACCGCCATCCCCACGGTAACAGGCACCTCGCTGGGAGTCAGCGAACAGCGCAAAGCCAACCAGCGCAAAGACGACGAGCGGCGCATGGCCAAATTCCACATCGACGCCAGCTCCCGCGGCGAAACAGAAGACGACGCTGCCATACACGGGAAGCGAGTTGTATTAAGAGATAGTAAGGTGAGCACCGTCGCATTATCATATTCGCACTCTGTCAACTACTGACCCGCGACAGGTGTATCTGGATCATCCCCACCCCTCCCACCGCAGAACTCCTTCCCACACAGCGCAGGCGTTCTACATCGACTACCCCGAGCTCGAGGAGACGAAACACCTCAAGCGCGGGCTCGGCCTCGTGACGACGATCTCGGATGACCCGCCGATGCTGAACTGGATCTACGCGGACAAGGACACGCACGAGCTCAAGTACGGGAACCGGTCGCAGAGCGTGGCGCATGTGGTCGGGCCGTGGGACTGGGCGGACGAGGAGAAGACGGTCACGCTGGAGCAGAAGCGCGGGTTTGTCGCCGTTGAGGAAGACGATGGCGCGTGGGCGGTGTATTTCGATCGGAGCGGCGACGAGCTAGAAGGGGTGTTGGGGCAGCAGGGGAAACTGGACAATGCGTTTGCACCTGTAAATTTGAAGCGGGTTTTGGTTGAAGAGCCGGCTCAGCCGCAGGGATCGAGCGGGAGTAATAAAAATACGTCTTGAAGATATCATGGGTGTGATGGGAATCGTAAGATTGGTTATGCTTTTTCTTCGTAGCGGGACTCTATATACATGACAAGGTGAGTGATGCAAACCGTGTTTAATCCTCAAGCCCGCTCCAGCTATCGTCGCCGCTGTCTGCCCCTGTTGAGGGGGCCTGCGGCTGGGATTTTCTGTTGCGGCTCGCAGCGATGGCGCCCTTCTTCTTGTTCTCCATCCGTCGCTCATAGCCGCTCTTCGTGCTGATCTTGGCCTGCCGGAACTCCTTGTTGTCTTTGATGCTCTTGAGGTTGGACTGGCGGGCCTTGACGCCGTGCTTCTTGAGCTCCTTCTTGTCCTTCTTGCTTAGGTCGGGCAGAGAATCCAACAGCCACTTCTGCACGGACTTCTCTCCGCCTGCCCCTCGGAGTTTCTCGCTGACGTCGATGATGTTGGCGATGCTTTTCACGTAGGGGATGTCCTCTTTCGTGTAGTATGTCACCGCCACGCCGCCTTCACGGCCCGCGCGGCCGGTCCGACCAACACGATGGACGTAGACGGCTGCAGAGTTCGGGATATCGTAGTTGACGACCCCGTTGATGCCCCGGAAGTCGACACCACGTGCCAATAGATCCGTCGTCACCAGAATCCAGATCTCGCCCTTGCGGAACCCTTTCATGATCTCGGAACGCTGGCTGTCAGAAAGCTCTGAGTGGAGCACGGCGATGCGCGAGGAGCCACCGGCCTCGGGCGGGATATCGTAGAGTAATTCGGAATGGAGCGCAACGGCCCGGGGAATGGTCTGGGTGAAGATCAAGAACGGGGGCCGAAGGTGGACGTCCGTGGCGGTTCGCGCTGTGGGGTGTAGCAGTTGTCGGAGTCCAAGAAGCTTACCCTGCTCCGTGGCAGCATACACGAGCTTGTGTTGGATGTTGGGAATGGCGGAATCCTTCAGGCCGACGACAAGGCGGATTAACGGGTACGACTTTGTCGTGCCGGACAGGTCCTTGCGCTCTTGGATGGTCGACTTGGCCAGATCCTCGACGTTCGACCCCATGGTCGCTGACCAGAGACTGGCCCGGAGCTCGGGGTGTGTACAAGAGCGCCAAATATCGAGAGTCTGTTCGCGGAATAGCGGGTCCAGGAGAACGTCGGCTTCATCGAGAACGATATTTCTCACCAGGGGCAAAGCGGCCAGGGGCTTGGTTCGATTTGCAGACAGCGCGTTGACGAGAAGCAACGGAGTCGTTACGAGGATGTCGCTCTTCGTCACAGGGGCTTTGCCTTTCGTCTTCTTGTCGGTTGTCTGTTCGTCGTCCTCGGAGTCCGAGCCCGAATCCGCACTGTCTTCGTCCAGAACATCCTTCTCATCACTGTCCCCGTCGCCGTCGCGTTCCACAACCTGCATGCCTTTCTTCATCAATGTGATCTTCACCCCAGTCCCCTGAACGAGCTTCCGGCCCTCATTGACAATCTGACTCGCAAGTTCCTTGGTGGGCGCGACAACGACGGCGAAGATGCCCCGTTCATCCGGCTGCTCGTGGTGATGGCGCACAATCTTATTGATGACGGGGATCAAGAACGACAGCGTCTTGCCACTGCCTGTGGGAGCGACAACCAGCAGATCCGGCTCCACCGTCTCCCCCGGTTTCGACGCCTGCTGGACGCTGGAGTCTCCCAGCTGCAGAGGGAGCGTTCCCAGTTGCACCTCCGTCGGCACCGTAAATCCTTGTTCGGCGATGTTTTCCGCGAGCCGGCGGGAAATCTTGTATTTCGTGCGGAGCTCCTTGAACGAGACGAGAGGCTGCGGGAATAGACGTCGGGCTTTCTTCTGCTCCTTCTTCGTCAAAGTCTTCGGTTCCTCCTGCTGCGCTTTGGCCTTCTTCTTCTTTTTCTTCTTGGGTTCTTCCGTCTGCAGCGTTTGCGCGTTCGTCGACTGAATCTGATCCAGATCGCGCAGATCGGTCACCTTGATCTTATGCGCATTCAAAACCGTCCGACGCTGCACCTCATCCATCTCGCTTCCGTCTTCGGAGCCCGAGTCGCCATCCTTGTCGGCCGAGGCTTGCTCTTGGTGTCGTTTCCCCGCGACAGCACCGCCGGTGGAGGCGCGCTTCGCCGAGCTGAAAAAGTCCAAGTCCGCCGCATCCTCGTCCTCAGAGCCTGCATCGTCCGCCCCGTGGCCTCTCTTCCTCTTCTGACCATGTTTCTTCTTTTCCTCTAGGAGCCGGTCCGCCTCGGAGTTGTGGAATAGCTGAGGGTTGGCTGCCTTGCCTGTAGACGGGAGCCGCGAGGTTTGCGCTGCAGAGGTCGCCGCCGCACGGCCGGTTTTCAGGTTCGTCGACCGAGTCAGGAGTTTGAAAGCGTCCATCGCGCACAGCAACAGGGATTTGCGCTTGCGGATAAAGACCGGCGAGACTGAGAACCTTCGCGTGGACAATGGTGGTTGTGGGAGTTGTTGGTTATGGAGGGAAAAAAGTGCATGTCCGTTGCAGAAATTCTTTCCCGCACGGGCCAATCAGCGTTGCGGAAGACGGTTTCTCCTGGTGTCCTCCGAAGTACAACAAAAAATACATACTGAGTACCTTCTGTACTCATGCAATAGTGTGCAATAGTCTATTTCAATTTTTCTAATTGCCGACTATGGAGAAGGAATGCTACAGGATTCTTGGAGTGCTACTAATCGATCCTCCACTTGTTCAAAAAACCATTCTGTGCTTCTAATGGCAACTTCTATTCAACATCATTCGCAACATTCCAACAGTCGAGGTGATAGCCCAGGCATAGACTGGTGCGCAGATATCATCCGTCCCAATATCACATTTTACCTCAGACAACAGTTATATTCCATCGTCTATCATACAGTACAACACGCAACAAAGGAAAAGTAAAGGACAGGTTTGACATGCTCAAAGGCGGTAGATCTAGTGGTGGTGCTCAGCGTGGCCCCGGTAGCCCACGATGTTCATGCGGCCGATCATCTCGCCGACGGTGAAGAAACCAATAACCTCCGCAAGGGTGACACCGGCCAGAGCGATCTCCTTCTTGTTGGCGTTGCGGACGCGAGCGACGATGTTGGACGGGGAGACGACATTGACGTTCTTGAGGGCGGCGGGGTTACGGAGACCGTTGATCAGAGGCTGGAAGTAGGACTGGAAGGTGGCCAGGTTCCTGGAAGGAAGTATTAGTGGGGAGGTCGTTCGCCGGAGAGACGGAAGCGCTTACGGGGGGGTCATGTTCTGGCCACGGAAGACCAACTTTCCGAGCTCGATGCCGACCTTGGTGTAGTAGACAGTAGGGGGTATCATGGCTAGATTTCATCATCGCAAACGGTCAGTCGACACTCTCAAGACATCAACGTAGGAGCGTTGGATAGGGTAACCAGGGGGTTCCGGGGAACTTCAATTGCTTGAAGTAGCAGCTCGCTTCTCTTGTCGAAGCGAGTAGAACGTGGAGGGTTGGACATCAAGCAGGGGCCATCATCTTACAATCAACAAAGGCGATGACTTTTCCGGTCCTTCCACCAATCTTCCGCAGGGCGGCACCGGCGTTCTGAGCGGCACCGGCGATGGCGGGACCCGCGGAGGAGGTGACCTTGGAGAGACCCTCAGAGGCCTTGGAGGCGGCCGAAGAGGCAGTCTCACTGGCCTTGGAGGCAGCCTCGGAGGTGGAGGAGGCGTGCCTGACAGCGGTTCTCCGGACGAGGAACTGCGATTGCCGAAGGACGGCACGGGACGCCGTAGCGGGCATCTTGAAGGCCACTTGAGTGAAGAAACAGGTAGGCGAGGGAGAGAATGACACTGAAAGGCCGGGTGGAGGACAACGGAGTCCAATGGCGGGTTGGTCAAGGGCCAGAGATGCTAGATCGTCGCGCAATTGCAGGACCGAGAATCTGAGATTTGACGCTCGGGAAGTTCAGGGAAATCCGTGTGTCACGTGAGCGCTCGACATCCGGGTTTTGTTTCGCGGATCGGGCCAGTTCCTTACCAGACCTTGACCGAGCCAATTCAATATAAATCGATTCATTGTTTATCAAGTAATCCGAAAGCCAGAATCAGTCGAAAAATACCTGAACAAATCAGTCAAATATTGCATCTTGGAATCAGACGGCAACTTGCTCCGGCAATCACTGGATTAGGTCTAGCGCTCACGTGTCGCTCTGTTGTGTATCCCGTTCAGTACATCTTCATGATCTCTACTATAAAGAATCTTCACGTTTCCATGATGAATTCATCTGATCGAGTGGCCCTGGTCCCGTCTTACTATGGTTTGGTCTCTCTCGTCTCTCTGCAGTGCGATACTCCAGTACGATACTATAGGGGCCCTAACCAGAACCCTACAGAGACCCTCTGTGTTTACCAGGTTAAAATCTCTACTTTTCATCGATCGTTTCTTCCATCTCAGACCACAGAGGCTCATACATGCTAGGCTGTTCACGAAGGTACAAGGTAAACTATATCCAAACATTCATGCTTGCCAGCCTCGCAACCCTTTCCCGGGCAGTTCCACTTAGAAACTCTACCCAGTATACATCAAGCAACAAGCTATAGTTGAGCACGATTCTAAGTCAAAGGAAGAGAACCTTTCAGGTTGTCCTTACAATACTGCTGGATAAAATCGGATAAATGTGTCGTGAAATCCGATGTTCCGGGCCTCATAGGTCGACCATTGACAATGGATATATACATGTCCCAACAGGTGTTTTCATGATGATATATATTTGCAGCTCATTTGAATTTTTCTGGCACCAGAACCATTGATCTCTAGACCAACCATTTATGGGACTGATAGCAGATCCAGCACGAGTTTCTGTAAGTCTGAATAGGGACCTTTCTTAGCAGAACGCGTAATATACACCAGGATACTTATGCAAGTGCGGTTGATATCAAATCGGGGTAAAGTCGGAACTAGAGAACAAGCTTCTTCGCTTGGACTAGACCCTGATCAACCGAGCTAAGAGCGACTGGAATAGCTGAGACATGAATTCCTAGGACGAGTCGACGATAAAATAAGCTACTTTTTAGAAAGATTTTAGACTCTGGCACGCACGATGTCGACCACAAGGTAGGCCCACCGATCGAGATTACCAGGATCCTGGCCAATATTGTATGCTCAAGGGTGTGATAATGCCAGGTAGATATCCTGATACTCAACTGTCATGATCAAGTGTTGTTCTGCTATAACATGTTGTTTGGATGATGTCGGATAGCACCATTGAGGACAAGTTCCCTTCTGACTTTTTAGTTAAATCTCCTCTCCTTCAATGGACTTTAAACATCCACGAGAGCTGTCTGTATCCTGATAGGAAAGACAACGGACACTTTGCTTTATTCTTCAGGTTTTCTCCTTCTCCTTCCTATCTGAAGTTCATGGTTAGTAGTCCTGACTCCATATTCTTGCTTTGCGTTGTATATTCTATGGCCCTCGAGTAAATAAACTGCTCGATGCGCTCGACGATTAACCAGGTACACGGAATCACCATTGACGAAACTGAATTGCGAGAAGGATCACAAAAGCCGATGAGGGACGCTCCGATCAGACCGGCAATGGTGGAATCGTAGATGGGGAGGATTCTCCACCAAAGACGAGCGGCAAACCCACCGGAGAATTGCCACTCTAGGCGAGGGACCAACAATGAACAAGAGCGGGTAGACATGTGGGTTCCGGGAATAAAAATCTGAATGAAAGGGTAAAACGCTGAGTAAACGGGGATAAGCAGACTGCTAATTAACCGAGCAGAAGGTCCGATCTGTCGACACGCAGACGGAAGATAAGAGTATATATCGGGCCTGGGTCGGTCCATGTTGTTAGTGGGTTATGGCGTCTCTGTTCGGCCTCATATCCGACGGAAGACATCCTCAACATGGCCTCGACTTCTTCCGTAGAACACTATCCAGGTCAGGTACCTAGTGAGATCACCTTCCGTTCAGGCCTGTAGGGGTATCTGACTTTGATTCTTCCGGACTCTGATGTAACCCTCCTGACCAGCTGGAAGAATTCTGCCGCAAGGCGATCCCACCAGCTGCAGAGAAAGGGCGGAATCAAGCGGGGGGAGAGCGCGGGGCAGTCACTGATGCCCGCCGGATAAATGGCCATTCGGGGGTCCCACCCGTCCAGTGTCCCGCAGGAGCATTCGGTATGGATCAATAACGATAATGGTAATAATTTTCCATTATTGTCGTTTTTATTATTTGGTAGGACACTTCGTCAACGATTCTCTGGATCAACCCTCATTTGTCATTGGATTCTTGACAAATCCAGTCGGCCCGGATTTGCGGCGTGGAGCGGCGAGTTTGCGACGGAAGTATAAAGCGCGTGGGATCCCAGCATCTTCCTTCATTCCTCCCACTCCTTCTGCTTCTCTCCTCCTTTCCCTCCTCTTGAACACCTGACAGCCCTGTCCGGATATCCTCTCCTCACACCCGACCACCATGACTAACGCAATTGTCCTCGAGAAGCCCAACATTGGTGTCTACACCAACATCAAGCATGACCTCTGGGTTGCTGAGTCGAAGCCCTCGGTCGAGGAGATCAAGAGTGGCCAGGGATTGAAGGCCGGAGAGGTGACGGTGGAGGTTCGCAGCACTGGAATTTGCGGGTATGAGCTCATTTCCCCAAAGATTTCTGTTGGGTTGTTGCGAGTGAGACTAATCACTGGTGCCCCGACAGATCCGACGTCCATTTCTGGCACGATGGCTGTATCGGTCCCATGATTGTGACCGGCGACCATATTCTGGGCCACGAGTCCGCGGGTCGAGTCCTTGCGGTCGCCCCCGACGTCACCCACCTGAAGCCCGGCGACCGTGTCGCGATCGAGCCCAACATCATCTGCAACGCCTGCGAACCTTGTCTGACGGGCCGCTACAACGGCTGCGAAAGAGTCGCCTTCCTTTCCACCCCTCCCGTGGACGGCTTGTTGCGCCGCTACGTCAACCACCCCGCCATTTGGTGCCACAAGATCGGTGACATGAGCTATGAAGACGGAGCCTTGTTGGAACCCCTCAGTGTGTCGCTGGCGGCCATTGAGCGCAGCGGTCTCCGCCTGGGTGACCCCACCCTCATCACCGGCGCTGGTCCCATCGGTCTGATCACTCTGCTCAGCGCGCGCGCCGCGGGCGCCACCCCGATCGTCATCACTGATATCGACGAGGGCCGTCTGGCTTTCGCCAAGTCTCTGGTCCCTGATGTGCGCACGTACAAGGTCCAGACCAACCTCTCCGCGGAGCAGAATGCCGAGGGCATCATCAACGTGTTCAACGACGGTCAAGGCGCCGGCCCGGACGCTCTCCGGCCTAAGCTGGCGCTCGAGTGCACCGGTGTCGAGAGCAGTGTCGCCTCCGCCATTTGGAGTGTCAAATTCGGGGGAAAGGTGTTCGTCATTGGCGTGGGTAAGAACGAGATGAACATTCCTTTCATGCGCCTGAGCACCCAGGAAATCGACCTCCAGTACCAGTACCGCTACTGCAACACCTGGCCCCGGGCCATCCGGCTGGTGAAGAACGGAGTGATCAACTTGAAGAGTCTGGTGACCCACCGTTACCTGCTGGAGGATGCGCTCAAGGCCTTTGAGACCGCTTCCAACCCCCGGACGGGCGCCATCAAGGTGCAGATCATGAGCTCCGAAGAGGATGTGAAGGCTGCTTCTGCCGGTCAGAAGATCTAAGATTACCCTGCAGTGATGCTCAGCGCATTGCAAGGTGATTGCTTACCTTTGATACCTCTTTGCGATTTTCCTTTGTTTAATTGTCTCGGCATTTTCTTGATGACCGGTGTTTGTTGATCCATGACGTTCCACGTAATGCTTGTGATGATTTGGCTAGAGATGCATGACCGTTGAGAACTATAGATACTCCGGTAGAATTACATTGATTCAAGACGATGATTTCCTAATAGATCGCCTAGGTCAGCCTGACGGTCTGGTTGGGCTCTATCACAAGCCAGGTTACCTTTACCTAAACAGCCACGTATTTGACAGTCGAGATCATAGAGAGGCCGTACGGATGTTCCCAATATTGCAAGAGTCGTCTCTGTACTCCTTACTCCGGAGTACTATTTATAACCACTTCAAGACAAGATTGTAGGGATCTCCCAGCTAACCGGATGATCGACGGTCGGACAAGGGGCTGCATGAGTGACAGGCTGCTAAGATGGTGACATGCAAGATGAGTCTTCGTGCAGTTGCAGGTGGACGGGAGTTCGGATCGTCCTGTTGGGAAGAGATGAAAGATGAATCAAATCTCTTCGTTCTTCCCAATAGATACCTAGGTACCTAAGGTACTTCCAACTCTACCTAAGCCGGTTCAGGAACATTGGCCATACCTTGGGTCCGGGGAAGAGCTAAGCCGAAACGGGATCTGGCTCCTGAGGTGTCTACGGGGCATCCAAACCGAATTCCGACTCAACTCAACTCGGCATCCCTCTTCTTCTTGTCTTCTCCAGACCCCATCTCCTCTTCCATGAATCTGACTCCTTACTTCCAGCTAGACCGGTCTGTGGCTTGGAACTGCAGCCGCCATCACCTAGTCCGCATTCCAATCCTGAATGAGGGGAAGATCCGCGCCCCAAGTCTTGGAAGAGCCAACGGGACTGGCAGATTGCCCGATATTTGACCGACATCATACCCTGGGCGGACCCTGAACTCCCCCACTCCAAGCTCTCGTCCCGACGCCATCCTCCGATCTGAGCTCAGAATTATGTATGCTTCTTCTAGTGTAACTAACCAGCTTCCCTCGCATAAGCCAGACGGCGGAGCATGGCCCATCGCCCCAGGGCCAAGTCGACCAATGTCCGCCCCATACGAATGCCCAGACCCAATTTCCGGTGCTATTCCTCAAGTATGGGGTTTACTTCATCTGACGCAGCGGAGCTCGGTCATACCGTCGTACCATCGTGCGTCACCAGGTGCTCGCTTCGATCCCCTGGGAATGCGTCGGAGTAGCTCTATTCCCTCGGTCATCGTTGCCTCACATATAAATACTTGTTGATCATCCGCCCTCGGAGTTCAGAAATCTGTCCAATCCCTGACATTACTCTCCGCTCTATACATACTCCTTCAGTATGTTGGGCTCTCTTTTGTTGCTTGCTCCTCTTGCGGGAGCGGCCGTTATTGGGTCCCGCTCCAATAATACCGAACCGTGTCCAGGGTACAAGGTTTCCAATGTGCGCGAAGGTGTCAATTCATTGACTGCCGATTTGTCCCTCGCTGGCAAACCCTGCAACACCTACGGCACAGACCTCAAGGACCTGAAGCTTCTCGTCGAATATCAAACCGGTAGGCCTTTCCATTGAATGCGGCTAGCTAGGTGGAAACTAACGAAGAACGTCCAGATGAGCGTCTCCATGTAATGATATATGATGCCAACGAGCAAGTCTACCAAGTTCCCGAATCTGTCGTTCCGCGTGTGGAAGGCCGCAAAGGCGCCCGCCCACATTCCGCGCTCAAGTTCACCTACGAAGAGGAACCTTTCTCTTTCACTGTGACCAGAGACGATGAAGTATTGTTTGACACGTCTGCGTCAAACCTGATCTTCCAATCCCAGTATCTGAACCTTCGCACCTGGCTCCCTGAGGACCCCTATCTGTATGGCCTGGGAGAGCATACTGACTCCCTCCGTCTGCCCACCACCAACTACACCCGCACCATCTGGAACAGGGATTCCTACGGCGTGCCTCAGAACAGCAATCTGTACGGTGCGCATCCTGTGTATTATGACCACCGTGGCGAGTCGGGCACTCACGGCGTGTTCCTGCTCAACTCCAACGGTATGGATATTCGCATCGACAAGACCGAGGATGGACAGCAATATCTCGAGTACAACACTCTGGGAGGCGTGTTCGACTTCTACTTCTTCACTGGCTCCACTCCCAAGGAGACCAGCATGGAATATTCGAAGATCGTCGGCCTTCCTGCTATGCAGAGCTATTGGTCTTTCGGAGTATGTCCCTCTCTTACCTGATACTCCGATATGGAAGTTCTGCTAACCTGTCCAGTTACATCAATGCCGATATGGCTACCGTGATGTTTATCAGGTTGCTGAGGTGGTTTACAACTACAGCAAGGCGGGAATTCCCCTCGAAACCATGTGGACCGATATCGACTACATGAATGCCCGGAAAGTCTTCACTCTCGATCCGGAGCGATTCCCTCTCCCCAAGATGCGTGAGCTTGTGGATTACCTGCACAAGCATGACCAGAAATATATTGTCATGGTTGACCCTGCTGTGAGCGCCGTCGGTACGTAGATTATAGCGTTATTTACAAGATACCGAGCCTGGATGCTGATGAATTTTCCAGATAATGAGGCCTATGAGCACGGCGTTGACCAGGGCATCTTCCTCCAGCAGCAGAACGGAAGCCTTTACAAAGGTAATATATTGCATCGCCTTATGAGAAGACTCCGCTGACACAAATTGCAGGCGCCGTGTGGCCTGGTGTGACCGTTTATCCCGACTGGTTCCACCCCGACATCCAGGAATATTGGAATAGCGAATTCAGCGCTTTCTTCAGTGCCGATGACGGTGTTGATATTGACGGTCTTTGGATTGATATGAATGAGGCTGCTAACTTCTGTACCTGGCCTTGCGCGGACCCCGAGCAATACGCAATCGACAACGATCTTCCCCCGGCACCTCCAGCCGTCCGCCCCAGTAACCCGCGCCCCTTGCCTGGATTCCCTGACAGCTTCCAGCCCTCGTCCTCCAAGCGTGCCGTGAAACGGGCCGGAGGCTCTAAAGGTGCGAAGGTCGGACTCCCTGGCCGCAATCTGGTGGACCCTCCGTACAAGATTCAGAACGCTGCTGGATCCATCAGCAACAAGACCATCAACACCGATATCATTCACGCAGGCGAAGGATACGCCGAGTATGATACCCACAATCTCTATGGAACAAGTAAGTCAACACTCGACCTTGACTCAAGCGTCGCTAACGTCTTCAGTGATGAGCTCTGCCTCCCGCGGCGCCATGTTGAACCGACGCCCTGATGTGAGACCTTTGATTATCACTCGTAGCACCTTTGCTGGTGCAGGATCCCATGTTGGACACTGGTAAGATCTTTCCCTGTGCAGGCCATGCATAAGTCGCTAACAGACTCCAGGCTCGGCGACAACCTCAGCCAGTGGGATCAATACCGTATCTCGATCTCCCAGATCGTTGCCTTCGCTTCCATGTTCCAGGTTCCCATGGTCGGTGCTGATGTGTGCGGCTTTGGTGGCAACACGACCGAGGAGCTCTGCGCCCGCTGGGCCGCACTGGGCGCATTCTACACCTTCTACCGCAACCACAACGAAATCGGCAGCACAAGCCAGGAGTTCTACCAGTGGCCGACGGTTGCTGATTCCGCCCGCAAGGCCATTGAGATCCGCTACAAGCTCCTCGACTACATTTACACCGCGTTCCACAAGCAGACGGAGACCGGCGAGCCGTTTCTCCAGCCGATGTTCTATCTGTACCCCGAGGACGAGAACACCTTCGCCAACGACGTGCAGTTCTTCTACGGTGACGCCCTCCTTGTCAGCCCGGTCCTCACTGAGGGCAGCACCTCTGTGGACGCGTACTTCCCCGACGACATTTTCTACGACTGGTACACGGGCGCACCTGTGCGTGGCCACGGGGCCAAGAAGACCCTCGAGAACATCGACGTGACGCATATCCCGCTGCACGTCCGCGGAGGCAACATCATCCCCGTCCGGTCGTCCGGCGCGATGACCACGAAGGAGCTGCGCAACAAGAGCTTCGAGCTGATCATCGCCCCTGGCCTCGACGGAACCGCCTCCGGCAGTCTGTACCTGGATGACGGCGATTCCTTGGAGCAGAAGGGTACTGCGGAGATCAAGTTCGAGTACCGTCGCGGCAAGCTTTCCGTGAAGGGCTCGTTTGGCCGCAGCGCCGCCGGCGTCAAGGTCCAGGCTGTCAAGGTGCTGGGCCAGAAAGCCGAGTCGCGTATGTCCGCATTCCGCTCGACTGAGTTTGAGCTTACGAGGCCGATGGAGATCTCGCTGCAGTAGGTGTTCACTGCGGGAGACTTTAACGCGCTTGTATAGTTTAGGAGGTAGATAACAAATAGATGCGCGTTATGCCATTACCAAGAAGAATTGTAGATTGAAACTAGAGAACTCCTGACCGACGAATGTTTCCACGCAAGGGGCATCAACAAAGACAGAAGCTCCAACTCCGTACCTGCATAACAACTCCAAACTCCATCCCTAGAGCCAGTCGCATTCCTGTCCACGCCCCTTCGCAACCCCTCCAGGGGCCGTTCACCACCCTCGTCTTCCTACATTCTCTCGCACGACCAAACCACTTCCTTCGCTCTTATCCCCCGCAACACAAGAAAAAACAAAGCAACATGCAGCTCAAAACCGCTCTCCTCGTCCTCGCCTCCGCGGTCTCGCTGACCGCCGTGGAAGGCCGATACCTCTGCGACCTGGGCCGCGGCGACTCGCACCCGATGCAGAAGCCCTACTGCTGCGAGCACGGGTACAAGCCGCAGGACGGCTCCAAAGTGAACTATATCGGCATGGGCTGTGAGTCTTCCGACCGGTAGTAGGGATGAGAGTGCTGACGGTGCGGTGCGCAGGCAAGGAAAACCCCGAGTTCAACGAAGAGAGAAAGTGTCCTAACGGGAGCACGGTGACGTGCTGCCATAAGATTGTAAGTGGCCTGTGTGCTGGCTGTGGGTGTGGCGGCGGGCGCTGACGAGGTGTAACCATGCAGGTGGGCGAGCATATCTGCAGCACGCATGCGAAGCTGCACGGCGAAGATCTCGTCCCTATCAATGCCAATACCCATGAGCGGGCGTGAAGAGAGATGTGGGTAGTGATGCGAGGGCGTGTCTGAGGGTGGTGGATTGTGGATAGTGAATAGTGGAATATATGTCATTTAGCATCATGGTTGATCGCTCAATGGAAATGCGATTATCCAAGTCGAGTCTCTATGTCCGGGTGTTTACATTATCAACTGTACAGAATCACCATCCTCGCTCTCGCTCGTCATTCAAGTGGCTCCTGCGGAATCTGCTCCTCGGATACATCCACGATCTCCTCCAGGATCGGGTCCTCGGGCGTCGACGCCTCCGGGGTCGACTCGGACGTCGATGATGATGACGACGACTCCTCCGGGACCACCAAGCTCATCGAGTTCAGCAGCAGCTCCTCGCAATCGGTATGGCCGCCTTCGGCTGCGAGGTCGCGCGGCGTGCGTCCCTTGTTGTCTTTGGCGTCGGCGCGAGCGCCATGGCCCAGCAGGAAGTGCACGTCGCCCATCAAGCCGGCGCGGGCGGCGACGTGCAGCGCCGTCTGTCCGAACATGTCCTTTGCAAATACATCGGCGCCCTTGTTGACTAGCAATCGCATGACGTTGTTCCGGGCGGTGATGGCCTTGTGCAGGGCCGTGCGCCCAAAGTCGTCCGGGATGTTGACGTCCGCGCCCCGCTGGATCAGAAAGTCGACCATCTTCCGCCGGCCCTCCTCTGTCGCTTTGTGCAGCGCCGTCTCGCCCGAGTTGTTCGTCACATTGACGTCCATGTCGGTGTCCACCAGCATCGGCACGATCTTCCGCAGCCCGGCCGTGACGGCAAAATGCAGCGGCGTATCGCCCTGCTCGTCCTGGTCCTCGGGATCCGCCCCGACCCGTAGTAAAATCTCGACGACCTTCTCGTGCTCGTTGCGCACGGCGTAATGCAGCGGCGTCATGCCGTCGTGCGCCGCCACGTCCACCTGCGCGCCGGCCTGCAGCAGAAACCCTGTCAGACCGACGTCGCCGTCGCGCGCCGCCACATGCAGACTCGTCAGGCCGCCGGGATCGCGCACGTTGACATTGGCGCCCTTCTGCAGCAGCACATGCAGCATGCGGATGCCGCGCTGGGTGCGGTCGCAGACGACCAGCGCAAACAACAGCGGCCAGCCGTACTCGCCGCACGGCGAGTTAATGTCCGCGCCCTTGCGCAAGAGGTACTTGACGACCTCGACATGGCCCATGCGCCCGGCCTGGTACAGCGGCGTGCCACGCGGGCCGCGTTTTTTCGCCGTCTGCTCGTCGTTGTCGTCGGCCGCGGGCGGCTGCGCGTCGACTTTCGCCCCGTGGCGGATGAGCTGCTTCACGACCGGCAGATGGCCGTTACGCGCGGCGTACCACAGCGGCGTCAGCCCGGCCTCGTCGCCGTCGTCCACCTGGACGCGTCCCGAGCGCAACAGCATCACGACGAGTTCCTCGTGACCGCGTTCGGCGGCGCGGAGCAGCGGCGTGCGCCCGCGCGCGTCCTTGACGGATGGGTCGGCATTGACGCGTAGCAGCAGCACCGCCGACGCTAGACTGTTCTTCTCCAGCGCCCAGTATAGCGGCGTGTGGCCCTCGGCGTCGGGGAGGTTGGGGTCGACGTCCGGGTGGGCGAGGAGCTGGCCGACGATGCTGTCGTGACCGTTCTTTGCGGCCCAGCATAGGGGCGATTGGCCCAGTTTGGTGTCTTGGGCGTTTACGTCGACCAGGCCGGTGGCCAGCAGAAGGGCGAGGACCTTGTCATGGCCGGCTTCGGCAGCCCAGGAGAGTGCGCTGCGGCCGTCCTCGTCGCGGCAGTCGATGTCGACACTGGGGGTGTTGATGATTTGGTTGACAACGGAGTCATAGCCTTTACTGGCGGCGAGAAAGAGCGCAATCTCGAGCTTGCTCTTTGGCTGTGATGGTGCTTGTGGTGCGTCGGTTTCCATTCCTGTGTGGCCCTCGTTCAACTCGCGCTACGGGATCCTCAGTGACGATCGGGTCGGTCCATGTGGGGAATGAACCCTCGTGGAATTCTGAATTCGGTATGGTATGAGTCGACTCGTAATAGGGGGTTCGGTTCGTCTTCGGTGGTTATTCCTAGGGTGGCAGTTGGCAGTTGGTTGGAGTTAGATCTAGGGACAGACGGGGGGAGAAGTAGAGTTCGGTCAGGTAGTGATTGAGTTAGGAGGGAGACTAACGGAGCCCAACCCCCTGGGTCCCGGCACTAATCCCGTTCTTTCGTCGGCCCTTTGTTGCTGCCCATGATATCATGCAGGACGGGTTGTTTAGGGATGGCGGTTGCTTTTGCTTGCCCACCCCCGGCAGCCACGTGTGTCGCCCTCACTGGCCGTGGATGAGCCCATGGGGTGATTTGTTTCCTGACATGTTCCGTCGTGAATCGTCTCAGGGAGCGAGGATATTCCCATTGTTGCGTGGCGTCGTTGGCTTTGGGTGTTTTTTGGGCTGTTGACTTCACGATGCATCGTCAGTAGTATGATTGATCAGGTATGATTGCCACAGGTCTTTTGTCTTGGTTCAATCGGATTTTCCCTGACAGAGTTGCACAAACAAGTCCTGGGAACCCTGGCCCTGCGCGAATGCGGTGCGATTGTGACTTGTGACTGACTCTTTGGCGAATTTGTATCCATCTGTCCACATATGCCGCGGGGATCCCGTCGTCTCCCATCCAGGCGAAGAACACGCTAGAACAGATCCCCAGGGTATATATCGAACTCCACGAACCGAAGATCTGAAACACAATGGAACGGTTCATCGAGCCTTGAACACTCTTGTCTCCACCTTTGCCGACGACTCGGCAACCCACCGAGTCCCTCGGAATCTGACCGAGTCTATACAATGTCGGAGCAGGCCGACAGGGAGCCGGATGATCCGGACAAGTAACTTTCAATAAAGTAAGCACTATCTCATTAGATTGCTGTCTGTCATGACTCGTAAATCGTCTCGCTTGTCCAAAGCGTCAGGATCGTCCGTCCATCATGTCCTCTGCATTCCGTCGGAACACTCGCTCGACCAGGGCTGGGTCATGAGCACACAGTCGCAAACACAGCTCCGTAAAGGAGGTGATGTCCGCGCCCGCAAACCGTGTATGCGGCCAGTCCGTCGCGTAGACCACCCGGTGCGGCGCGTGGCGCAGAAATTCGCGGATCATCGTCTCCAGGTCGCGCAGCCCGCCGTCCGGGCTGAGTCGATACGGTGCGGAGATTTTCACATATGTAGATCCTGTGCGCAGCAGCGCCATCAACGAGGTGAATCCCGGGAGGGAGTAGGGATCCAGCGGCCGGGGTGCAGGACCAGACGCGGGGAGATCGGGGCTTCCGAAATGGTCGACGCAGACGGTCGTCCCATGCAGTCGGGGCACGATGCGCTCCAGCATGGGCATCATATTGAGCGGGAGGTACACCTGGATCATCCAGCCGAGCGGTTGGATGACTTTGGCGTGTTGGAGGAGAGTTTCTGCTAGGTCTCGCTCGCTGAGCACCTTCCCGACAGACTTGAGGTTCACACGAACGCCACGAACACCGAGAGCGTGCCAGGTGGTGAGGGTGTCAGAAGAAATAGCAGTAGGGTCGATAACGACTACACCTCGTCCACGAACAGGCCCGATGCGCCTCAGGGCGTCGAGGAGACATGCGTTGTCTGTGCCATAGACGGACGGCTGGATGAGAACGATATTGTTGATCCCCAGGGATGATTCAAAGGCGAGAGCCTCGTCGAGCGGGTGTGCCGCGGGCTGATAGACTGCTTCGGCTGCGATAGGGAAGCGCCGTGGTTCGACGACGTGCATATGAGTGTCCCATGTGTGTGGAGGGAGTCTGTTTTTCAACGAGAGTCTCTGTGTGCTATGGAGTCTGGGGAGACCCCAGGCACGGTAGAGTGACCTGGACTGCGGATGTCAGCGGGATTCGAGGGAGAGATATGGGAACGTACGAGGGCGAGAAGGGGGGTCATGGCGACATGATGCCGATAGATGAGGATGAAGATGAAGATATAGATGTAGTATGTGAGAAGTATAGTATACTACCAGAGACTGGGTATATAAGTCAGGAGTATAGATTTAGTCATCACGGACGATGGCCGAGACAAACACGCCGACGACAAAATCTCTTTCTTCCTCACGCATAATCGCTTGACCGTTCATCTCTCCCATACCCACTCGCTTCCCCGGATCCCCATCCGACTTTGCTGCTTTCAGAGATCTGTCGTTTTAGCCCCGAATCTCCATTGGCGTTGGTGCCCTCCTGGATCCCACGACGGAGGTCTCCGCGAGGGGCGATGGAGCCCTCGCGCTGGTCCACCCATCCATTCTATGCCCTGGTCATCGCCATCATCGCCTGCGGGAGCATTCCGAAAGGTATGTCATGCCGTTTCCCATCCGTCGTATATGGTGTTGGTTGTCTAACTCTCCCCAGGTTACGACGAGGGCGGCTTCAGCGCCAGCGTCAAGCTCGACTCCTTCAAATCCGACTTTAATCTACTCGCCTCCAACTGGACGCATGATGAGACCGGTCTGGCCAACCGCACCGCCAATATCACCTCGTTCAACGTCTTGGGGGCGGCGTTTGGCGCGCTGTGCGCCCTGGACCTGAACGACCGCCTGGGCCGCATACGATCATGGCGTTTGGCCTGTCTGGTTTGGGCGTCTGGTCTTTTAATTCAGATCTTTTCTTCCGGCAACTACGGTTTACTGCTTTTTTCTCGAATTTGGGGAGGTCTGGGGGCTGGTTCCCTCACTGTGGTCACCCCACTGTATCTGTCCGAGATCGGTGCGTGCATCCCTTGTTTGCTACCAGTGTGAAACCCCTCTGCTGACATGCATCCCTAGCCCCTGCAAAAACCCGCGGCCTCGTGGTCAGCATGTATATGGTGGTATTACTGGCCGTGCTGACCTTAGGTATGTCGAGTCTTCTTCTGGCAACGCAGGGACCCCCACTCACTATGCGACAGGCTTCTTCATCAACTACGCTGCCAGCGCGCACATGGCGCCCACCCGCACACAGTACCGCCTGGTGCAGGCCATCCCGCTCATCCCCGTGGGGATCGCCTTCTGCGCCTCGTACATCGCCCCTGAAACCCCGCGGTACCTCGTCTCACAACAGCGTCATGCCGAGGGACGCGCAATTCTTGCCCGCCTGCGCGGTAAAGACCCGTGCGACCCGGCCGTGGACGACGAGTTCACGACGATCGACGCGCAGGTGCGCGCGCGCGCCGCAGACCTCGTGTCCGTATCGCATTGGCAGGCGTTCAAGGAGACGCAGACCAACGCCAACTACCGCCAGCGCTTCTGGCTGTTGATGGTAATGCAGACGATCGGACAGTGGACTGGCGGCAACGGCATCACGTACTACATCGCCACCATCTTCGAGTATGCGGGCATCTCCGGGACGCGCCAGTCGCTGATCTCGTCCGGCGCGTACGGCGTCGTGAAGCTGGTCTTCACCATGGCGTTTACCTGGGGCCTGATTGATATCGTGGGACGGCGGCGCTGCGCGCTGATCGGACTCGCTCTCCAGCTAGCAGCGCACATCTACATGGGCGCATACATGGGGCTCCAGCCGGGCAGTAGTGCGAATCGGTCGGCAAGCGATGCCGCCATCGCGTCGGTGTTTGTGTACGCCGTGGGCTGGTCGGTTGGTCTGTGCACGATTCCGTATCTGTACGGCGCTGAGATCTTCCCCACGCGCGTGCGCAATGTCAGTTATGCGGTGAGCATGTCGTTGCATTGGTTCTTCCAGTTTGCGGTCGTGCGGGTCACGCCGAATATGTTCGTCTCGCTGCATGTCTGGGGCGCGTATCTGTTCTGGTCAATCGTGTGTGTGCTGGGGCTGGTGATCCTCGGCGTCTGGATGCCCGAGACCAAGGGCGTGCCCATCGAGTATATGGGCGAGCTGTTTGAGGGGCCGTGGTATCTCCGCTGGCGGGCAACGGTGTCGTCTGGCCCCTGGGCGACAGGATCGCCGACTCTGACGGTGTCTGCCTGTGGACCGGACGGAAAGACGAGGACGGATAGCTTGACTTAGTACGATTACTCCGCGTGGTGCGTGGACGATTCGTGAAACGTGGTTACCATTCATTCTCTACCTCCGGTTCACTTTCCACAATCTCTGCGATGGACTCAGTGAACTCCACTCCTTGGTCTGAGTCATGTCAACGGCACGAACCGACCACCTGCAGCCATAGACAAGCTGCTCCATTAGTGCCATGCACTATGTCCAGCGGCTCCGATCCTTCTGCCAGCGACAACACCCCTCGGTGCAGTCCTGGTCTGGCCCGTTGCCGATGTTCCGCGCTCTAAACTAGCAACGCACTAAAGGGTGCTACTAGGCTGCTTCTAGCATGAACTCCATGCCCAGACTAAGACATGTGGCGCAACTTTGAGGACCAGTATTGGCCCCCAACAAGGCAACATCTCGCTTCGCCTGGCTGCAATTTCTTGCTGCGTCGAGGTCCAATCAGCCTTCCGTGATGCCCGCCTTCGCTAGCAGTAGCTCGAGGACTGCGCCTCTGGTCAGGGCCGGATGATTCACAAGATGTGAGCTCTTAAGGAGCGTCTCCCGCTGACATCGCACCTCTTCCATCTTGATTTCCTTCCACATCCCGTTCTGCAAGCTACATACGAAACGACCTACACGTCGACGCCAACATGCAGCTCTTCGCGCTCCTCGTCGGCGTCCTCTCCGCCGCAACCGCAGTCTCTGCGGACGACGCCAAAACAACGACAATCGGCTACTTCGGCGCCGACGTCTTCACCGTCGAAATCCCCCGCTACGACAGCACCGCCGCCAGCGTCGCCGGCATCAACGCCCTGGCCACCACCTACCACATCAAGTGTCTCGACGGCGCCCCCAAGTCCGACTGCCAGATCGCGACCCCCTGGACCATGATCCAGGGCGAGTCGACCTTCAGCCTCACCGGCGTCTACACCTACGGCACCACCGCCACGGCCGCCGTCACCGCCACCCGCGACATCAACTGCGCTTTCTCCTCGTACTCCGTGTCGGCTAGCTGCTCCTTCAGCTTCGCGGCCACCGGCTCGTGGGACGCCACCGCGTACTCGACCTCGACCTCGTCCTCGACAAAGAACATCCCCACCGAGTCCGTGACGTTCTATGAGTTGGAGGTCACCGGCGGCGTGGACTCGTTCACAGCCCCCGCGGCGACCAAGACCCCTGATGCGGCTGCTGCGCTGCCCGCGGCACAGCCGCTGATTACGGCCGCGCCGATTGGGGCGGCGGCGGCTCTGGCTGTCGCGGCCATGTTTTAGGTTGCTTGATTGGGGGGGGGGGGTGGGATAGGAAGGCTTCGCACCACAGGACGGTTACTGGTACCCGGTACTATCGATGTTAGATCTTTGACATGTTATATTATGGAATGACTATATACCCTCGCTAAACGATGCCCTGTCATGCCTGAATCCTATGGTATATATAATTTGTGGACTATCGCTACCCCATGCCCGGATCAAAGGCAGGCGTCATGTTCGTGGAAATCGGCTCCGCGTAGGAAAACGCCTCATACACCTCCGGAGTGATCTCGTACGACCCCTGGTTTTCCAAGGTCATCACTGCATGCGGCATCCCGCCCAGCAGATGTGTGGGCGGCATATGCGAGACGTTCGGCGGCGGCGGCGGCGGGGGATTGAAGTCTGCCATGGGCGGGTAGGCGTAACCCGGCAGAACGGATGGGGCCGGATGAACGCCCGTTAGAGAGGGATCCGTGGTCCGGGGGGGCTGTTGCTGCGGGTGATGTGAGGCGGGGGAGTCGTGGCGGGAGGTCGGGTTGAGGTGTTGGGCACGGGAAGGAGATTGGCTTGGTCGGGAGGAGGACGGTTGTGTTTGTGGTTGGGGAGGGGGGAGAACGACGTGAATGTCAATTTGAAGTCTTTGGACTTCTTGGTAGATAAGACTGAGGGCAGTGTTGATCACTAGACGCCGTGTTAGTTTGTTGTATATGGGTGTTGATAGAGTGTGTTGTCGTACCTGGGCTGGACACCTTGACCCGCTCCAGAGCGTAAATGCAAAACTTGAGCTTGTCGAGGGTCCCCGCCGCGGCGTATTTCAACGCCTGGATCTCAAGGAGGAAGATCGAGGCCGCGGTGTAGATACCGTAGGCCACGGAGAGCACTACATGGCTGTCGCCAAACGTGCGACGATACAGGTCGAAGATAGAGAGGATGGCGGTGGCAGACGTCATACACTGGACGAGATGGCTTTTCTCGTATGACTCGCGGTTCTTCTTGGAGCAGAGGATGGGGCGATGGAGGAGGATGTTGACAGTATGGTATAGGCAACTGCAATTGCGTTAGAAAGACAATCACCAGAAACGTATCGCACAACATACTTTAAGATGACAATATGACCTGGAGGGGAATACGGAGGAAGATCGGCGGGTATCATCTTCAGATACGGCGGTAACTCCTCCCACCACCCTTCCAGGTTCTGGGCCTGTTCGCGGACGCAGTCATGGAACTCTGCCTCCGACACCTGTCGGATAGGGTCGTAGATATGGATTAAAATCTGGTTGAGGATCTCCGCCAGCCCGCACGTCTTCATAAAGCATGAAGTCGAATGAGCCTGACTCGGCGGATAATGGGTACCTTCAGGGAAGTCGACGCCGTGGGGGGTCCAAATCTCGACCTCTGCCGTGTCGTCGAGGATGGTTCTCGGGGGACTCACGCAGGAGTGCTGCATAGTTGGCGAGCGACCAAAGTACAGCGACACCAGCTTGTCCCAGAAGTAGCAGCTCCAAAACAGTCGGTTCCGGACCTCAATGTCTTCATCGTTCAGATGAGCCGAGTCGGAATATGTGCGACTGTCGATCGAGATGCCCAGGTCATCGAGCAGTCGGAACGCCATTCCACTATATAACCACGCCTGCGTGCGGTTGCCGCGGCCACATTCCTTCGCACTGAGCAACAGGAGCGTTTGGATCGTGGGGATGTCGACGTGGCCCACTTTTAGCGAGTCATAGAGACCGGTCACGGCGCGATGGGAGAAGTCGGCACCGCCATCGAACTGCTCCAGGATCGGGCCGATCCGAGGCTCCGACTTGCACCATCGGACCGAGTGGGCGAGGATAGCGTGGAGAAGGGCATCGGAATAGTAAGGGCCGTTGATTTTCATGTCGCCTATGATTGTCAGTACGTATAGAGCTGAGGGGACGGTCGAAGAGAACACACGTGTAAACGCCGGTCGATAAACAAAGTTGAACAAAGGTTGGATCCAGCACCAGTGCGAGTCCAGCAAATACTGAAAGGGTTCCGGCATCGTGGCCATCTGTTCGTACGCGCGTTCACGCCACGCATTGTTGATGAGCCGTTCTTTCCGAGTCTCCAACTGCATGCCCAGATGCGAAGTGGAAGAGGCTTCGGTCAATGCACCACTAGGGAGCTGGAACAGACTGGTCGGCCCGTGGAAAGATATGCGACCATCATGTTCGACATTCAAGCCCTCGAAATTCGACAGATTGGCCTTGTTCTCGTCCTCCTCCTTCACGCGACTCCGTCCGCCGGGACTCTTGGAGCTGGATTCCCGGGTGGAGGCGGGAGAGGCATCGTGGCGGGGATATACGTCGGAGGACGAAGACGGATTTCGCAGATTGGACAGGGCGGCTTCGAGCTGAGCGACGCGGGCTTCTAACTGCTTTGTGTAGGAAAGCGTTGGAGCCCTGGGATTCCGGGGCGGTCCGGTTAGATCGGATCGGCAGACGCAAGAGAAGACGCTTCGACAAGACTCACAAGCTATAGACGCAGGTCTCACCACGCGCCGCACAGCGTGAGCACGACGGACTGGCTCCGTTGCATTTGACCTGCACGAGGTCAGCCTCCCGATCGCCCGATCGATCTCGGATGCTTTTTCCACGTGGAAATTCTATTTTCGACCCAACCCTTATCTCGGAAAGCATCCGAGTGCGGCCACATGAAGACGAGGGGAAGTAGGAAAAAAAAAAAAACCCACCTTGCGCTTGCGACAAGCCTCACACGAGAAGGCGCTTTTTCGCGGAAGATTCGTTTTCAAGGGCACATCGGCCATACCGGGGAGTAGGCGGAGAGATAGGGACAGGGACAGGGACGGGGTCAGGGAGAGGGAGAGGGAGAGGGAGACACAGAGAGAGAGGAAGCGAGGAGACGGAAGACGGCCGAAGAGAAGCGCGACGGCGCCATGGGGGGTGGAAAGAAAAGGAAGACTGATGAGGAGGAGACAGTAGTAGAGAAGAGGAGAAGGAGCAGGAGAAGGAGAAGGGGGGGGGGGAACACTGGATTACTCGATTCATAGTCATCCGCAGAAAAGAGCCCATCGTGGGGCGCAAAACGAAGCTTCTTCTGGATCCTCACCTATCAGGCCCATGGACGCGGCCCATTGATCGGTGGCGAATACTGCTTTGAGGAAGAGCTCCATCTATAACACGCCCAGATTAAGCTTAAAAGTGCCCGCCACATGGGGCCCTAGGGGGAACTTCGGCGATACTTCCTCTCCACTTGGTGCTATCTACCGGTATCTATCAATCTACACAAATCCCGACGCCAGCTCTTGCAGCAGCCCGTGCACCCCGTCCACCGCCAGTCCAATCGCCCGTGGTTTCTGCAGCGCTGCCTCCCCCACCCGGCGTGTCAGAATCTCCTGCGTCTTCGTCGCATGTCCCGCTACGGCGCTCTGCAGCTGTCCTGTCACGTCCATCGTGATGCGCGATTGCGCCACGTCCTTGGGCCCCAGGATGAAGATCAGGTTGTACTTCATCTGTTTGGCCCGCTGGATCTTCTTCCCCAGAGTGGTACTGCTGGTATCCACATCGATCAGAAACGTTGAATCCACCGACGACAACGGCGTGGGGGTCCCATCGCCCGGCCGGAGCGCGCGAAACCCCGAGATCATCCCGGCCGCTTCCTGCGCCTGTTGCACCACCGCCTCGTCCTGGTTCACGGTCAGGATGATTCCCTGGCGGGGGGAAAGCCAGAACGGCCAGCGACCGGCGTATTGTTCGATCAACAACGCCAGAAACCGCTCCAGCGACCCAAAGTTGGCCCGGTGAACCAGCACGGGCGTCGCGCGTCCTGGAGTCGCCGGGTTGTAGTCCTCTTCCCCTTCGGCCACCTGATACTCCAGCCCGAACCGCTGCGGCAGGTTCATGTCCAGCTGGATCGTTGACAGTTGGTGGTATTTCCCCGTCTGGTCCTGTAGCTGAATGTCGATCTTGGGCCCGTAGAACGCCCCGTCGCCCTCGTTCATCGCCCACTCTCGTCCCGTACTGTCCAGCGCCTCGCGCAGCTGGGCCTCCGCGCTGTCCCACAGCGCCAGACTCCCGATAAAGTCCTTCTCCGGACGGGTCGACAGCACCAGCCGATACGGTCCCAGACCAAACGTCGTCATAACCATGTCCACAAACCCTAACGCCGATGCGATTTCCCCTTTGATCTGCTGCGGTCGGCAGAAGATGTGGCCGTCGTCCTGGTGGAAGCGGCGCACGCGGGTGAGCCCGCTCAACGACCCAGACACCTCGTTGCGGTGCAGTGGGCTGAAATCAGCGTAGCGGATGGGGAGCTCGCGGTAGGAATGGTTCTGCGACTTGAACAGGAGGCAATGGCCCGGGCAGTTCATTGGCTTGAGTCCGTACGACTCGTCCTCGCCCGCTTCTCCGTCCGTCTCGCCCATGGCGCCGCGACCGCGCACCTCATACATGTCATCCTTGTAGTTTTGCCAGTGCCCTGATACTTCCCATAGCGAGCGTTTATAGATCGTGGGCGTGAGGACCTCGCGGAACCCGTACTGGAGATATTGCGTGCGGAGAAAGGTAATGAGTTTGTTGATGACATGGGTGCCATTGGGGAGGAAGAGCGGCGACCCCGGGCTGTAGACGGAGGTGGTGAACAGATCCTGGGCCGTTCCGAGGGTTCGATAATCGGTGGACGGGGTGGAGGAGGATGTCGGTGGTTGTTCAGGGTGCGGTTCGGAGCAGGAACAGGGACGCGACGGGGTTGAGGACAGCCATTGTCGCCGCAATCTGGGAAAAGGCGGAGTGCGAGAAGATCGACAGGTTCGGGCAAAGGGTGGGTATCGGAAGAGCGAAGGGTTTAGTCGGCGCATGGCGTGAGAATGGAGGATCGCAAGGATGAGGCGGACTCGGAGCAGAGCATCAAAAAATGATTTAGATCGATGGTTGTCCCGTGATGATCGGCCCGATCGGGCTTAACGTTCCCGTGATCTCCCCGCCATACTTGAAGGGCTCCAAACATCCCTTCTATCTATACCTCCCCTCGTGTCGTCTACATGCGACACATCCTCAATGCAGAGTTCGGTCCCTCTCTCGTGCCACCGCCCTTGAATCCAATATCATGTCCACAGCCGCCCCTCGCCCTGGGGATCGTCCCGCCCTGGGCGACTCTTGGGTTGTCGCGTCCTCATACATCCCGAAAGATGAGCGCCCACGATCATCCCAATCAAGCCCCGATTGCAAACGAAGTACGGCCACAGACTCCATGACAACCTCCGCCTCCTCCTTGTCCGGCCCAGAGCTCATCATGCCCTCTATCTACGAAGCCCCCATCTCCGAAGCCTCCTGGGTGAGTCCCACGGTCAGGAAGCGACACACATCGCGCGAGTCCACGTCGCAAAAGCCCAGAGCTCCCGCGACACAGAAACGGCCTACACCAAAGACGCCCGAGTTCGACGACCGGCCCAAGCCCACTCCCAATACTCTCCCGCTCTCCAACCTGGCCGAAAGGTCCCTCCGCACCTTGATCAATCTCGTCCTCCTCGCCGCGATCGCACACCTCCTCGTCCTCCCTGAACTGGTCCAACAGTACCAGACCCTCTGCGCCATCGACGCCCTCTCTACCCTCTACCCAACCAGCTGCATCCCCCCCGTGCCGTCTGCGCACGACGCTCTGCACAGCAAACCCGCATCGCCACGCCACAACACCGTCTTCTCCGCCCAAACGCAGCTCGAATCCCTGCTCAACGCCGCCCTCCAGGAAATGCAGCCCCTCGCCCACGCGCTCAAACACAGCGAATCTCGCCTCCGCGATCTCCAGACTGACCTCCACCACCGCGCCCCCGCCGTCCCCCACCACGAGCTGGACCTCGAATTCGACGGCTGCTGGCAGGCCACGCGCGCGGCGACCCGCAAATTCGACTCGCTGCGTGCCGACATCCGCGCCGCCGTCGACAACCTCGTCGTCACCGCCCCTGCCCCCGCCGGTGACGACCACTCCGTCGCGCAGGACGCCCGGCTGTCCACGCAGATGCGCCGCCGCGAGCAGTACCTCGAGCAGCTGACGGCGCGCATGCAGTCCAAGGCCGACGCGCTGGGCGCCGACCTGGCGCGACTGGAGGACCATCTCGATTCGATTGCGGGCGTGCTCGAGCGGCATTCCTCGGGGCCTTTTGGCTCCGCTGGCGGGGCGCGACATCCCGAGGGCGAGGCCCGCGCCGGGCGGGGATGGTGGAGAGTGGTCGAGGAGTTTGTTCCGGGGGCGTTGTCTGCGGAGCGTGCGTCCGCCAGTCCGCCGATTATGAGGGTCTTCCAGCATGCCGCGGCGCAACATCGCCCCGTCGCGGATGCCGTGCGAAGCCTATCTTATCGGCTGCAAGCTCTGCAAGGGAGGCGAGGAATGTAGTCTGACACTTAATGATGACGACCGGTTATGTAACTAACGTGCTATGATGGATGCCTCGGAGTCTTTCTGACGTTTGTGTGGGTCTTTACGCAGGTCATATTGGACATGGTAATGTGAGTGATTTATTATTATTATTCCAGACGCGATGAGCCATAGCTCATCGCGTCTATCGTCCAAGCGAATCCTTCCAGCGCGTGTAAACCGACCGTAACAAATAATTCCATCGTAGAGCATCAAATCCAAACTGCGCAGCGAGCCGCTGCATTCAACATTCATGTTCATATGTACTTCCGGGGAAAAGGAGTGAAATAAAAAGTACAAGAAAAAGCGAAAGCCCCCATGCCAGGAAAGAAGAAGCAAACGCAAAAGCAAAAGCGCAAGGCGGTCTAATTCAAGCCCGCTGCCACGGCTCCTTACAGCTGCAGCATCGCGGTAATGAATCCAAAGACCGTCGCAGCGCCCATGGAAGAGCGTGAGAGAGAGGACGCCGCGCCGTCGAACACGCTGGGAGTGGCGCTGGTCGCCGCGGCAGTGCCAGAGCTGGAACCACCACCAGTGGCCGAGCCGCCGGCACCGCCGGCACCGCCCGTCGCAGCGCTGGAGCCACCGCCCGTGGCGGAGCCAGCGCCGGTGCCCGAGGTGGAGGGCGCGGTGGTGAGGCCAGAGGCGGTGGTGGAGCCCGCCGTCGTGGTGGTCGGGGCAGAGGTGGTCGCCTCCGTCGAGGACTCGGTGGAGGAGGAGCTCGAGCTGGAGCTGGAGCTGGAGGAGCTCGAGGAAGTGCTGCTCTCCGAAGTGGAGGAAGAGGACGAAGAGGACGAAGAGGTGCCGCCGGTACCGCCGGAGGTCTTGATGCTCTGCCAGGAGCCGCTGTTGTCGGAGTAGGTGTAGGACTCGGCCGGCGTGGAGTTCTCGATGCGCACGGACTTGACGTACATGCTGAAGGGCGCCTGGCTGTAGTCGGTGACACCGCCGGCCCACTCGATGGTGCCCTGGGCGTTGTCCGGGTCACCACCGGCCCAGATGCCCAGTCTCAGACGCATGGGGGTCTGCGGGAAGCGAGAGCCGCCCTTGGCGTCGTTGTAGGCCAGCGTGCGCACCACGTTGCCGTCGATCAACCACTGGATCTGGTCCTTGGACCAATTCACGGTGTAGGTGTGGAAATCGTTCTGGGGCCCACCAGCAACGCCCACGTAGGTACCGCGATCGTACGACGAGGTGTCACCCTTGCCGAAGTAGTTGGTCTGGATCTGGGTATTATCGCCCCCGAGAGCTTCCTATAGTGGAGTTAGTAAAGGACGGGAAGACTAAGCTCTGGAAAGAAACGTACCCAATCAACTTCGTCGAGGACGTCCGACTCCAAGACAATGCTGCTCACAATACCGGTTCCCGGGGCAGCCTTCATGACCACCTCAGCCGTTCCAAAGAGGAAGTAGAAGTCGGTATCGATGGTGGGAGCATCGCCCTTCTTGTTGATGGTGAACTCGGCTCCGTTGGGGCCAGTGTTGACGGTTCCAGCAGTGGTCTTGAATCCGTCCAGATTGTGAAAATCAGAGCTGAAAGACGAGGTCGCCAGGCCCTTGTCAGCCGGGCAAGTCTCTGGACGGGTTGTTAGTAGCGGCGACGGCAAGCATATCACTGGGAAAGCACATACTCTCAAGAGGGTTGCAGTCGCTGTAGGTCTGCGCAGAGCAGAGAGGAAGGACGGCCGCAATGGCCGCGGTGGCGTACTTGAAGTACATGATGCTGGACAGGACCAACGAGTGGAGTGCGCGACCAGAGAATGAGGGTAAATCGACCAGAGGGACCTGATCGCTTAAAAGAAGCCGACGAGGTCGAACGAAAGTGGCACAAAGGACAGAAAAGACCGAGGCCAAACGGGACTGGAAAGGAATGCGCGGTCGCAACGCAATGATGACACTGATGCTGGGGGACAGGAAGTGAAGGAAGTTGCACTGATGACGGCGTCGTGGAATATATTAAGGGAAAAAAAAGTCGGTCGGTCCCCTGAGGATCCTCGGCTGGAGCCGAATGGGCTGGCATTATTGGAGGCGCAGTCGGCTGGTCCAACCTCTAGAATACTACTTGGAGAGGCTGGCAATGCGTCACAAGCGAGACAAATTGATTGAAGGAAACGGAAAGGATAAGAGAGCGACCCCGATCGGGTGGAACCATGACTGGAGCCTCGTCGCATGGACTGATCACGATGATAGGCGCTGATGGTCCGCGCTCTCCACGGTCAGGCCCACCGACTGGACCTCAGCGTCGGCCGGGAGGATCGTGTTATCCCCTATCGGTGCCTGGGGATGGAAAAATGAGGACAGACTATTGACTGCTCCACCAGTGAGAGGGGACACCAAAAGCTTGTGCCGCGGCGCCTATGTACAGCCCCCCCTAGCGTTCGCTGCGTCCGGACTATGTAACCGGGGCTCAGCCGGGGTGTGGTCCCAGGGTTGCATCTGACACGAACCCAGGTTGCTCGCTTATTCGTCCTGACCTATTCTTGGTCGGAGGATTGAGATGTGGCAGGAAGGCCATCTGAGAACCTATCCAATTTCGCTCCGACTTAGCGACGGTGACTCCTCCGGGGCCAAGAGAGTCGGCGAGATTGCGCCAAGGGGCCGCCAGGGGAAACAGTCCTTTGCCACTGCAGGAGTCGTCAACTCGGTCGATCGAAGGGTCGTGGACAGGCGGGAGGAAGCAGGTCGATCTGCTGATCACGTCAGGGAATTGTCGCAGCCTGGGCTGGCGGATGCACGAAACACGGGGGAGCCACGGGTCTCCCTGTGCTGACCCTCTCATTTTCCCCAGGACATCAGCAGTCGACAGATGGATGGGTAGCCCACTTTCCAAGACATTTCCCAAGGAACTGCAATTAATGGACATGCACGGTTTAGGCAACCTCCGCGGCACATGATGGTGCAAAGCGAGCGATAGGCCCTAGCGTCCTGCGGTCGGAGCTAACGATGTCTCAGATGGGCTTGCCACTGACATCCTGGAGCCGAGCGAGTAACTAGTAGTACGGAGTAAGCGACTACTCCACTTGGTCCTGGAGGAAGGACAGTTGACAGGGGGGTGACAGGGAGGAAGTGATACATGCGAAACAATGGGGATGGTAACCTGGTAACCAGCCACCGGGGATGGATGGGGTGGCTGTCGGTTGTGAAACCGGGGGTGTCATCAACAAGTGACTGTCTTTCCGAGGTGGCGTCCAGGTTTACCGGAGTACGGAGTAGACCCCTTCACGAAGAGCCAACAAAAGCAACGCTGGCCACGAGGCTCGAACGGCCGACATTCCGCTCCGGAGAAACCACGCTCCGACCACGTGCTCGCTCCCACTCGGCTACTCTGGGGAAACCGCTTATGTCATTGCTCACCGCCTACCCCGCACGGCATGCTTGTTTGGGATGTTGGGGCAATCAATCACAATTAATTGGAC